ACAGGGGCTGTGTAGAAGTGACCTCTGTGTAAACTGGGTACCAGGTGGTCTTGGCAGGGCTGTTTGAGCCAGGCGGGCACTCACTGTGCCAGGCCGGAGTGGCCAGTTGTGTGTTGTGACATCCTGTTGGCTCTGCTTGCTCCCTTTGGGCTCCCGGCCAACGTGGGCTCCAGGCAGTTTGGCTGGGAAAGCGCTGCTGCAATCTTGCAGGTAGGCCAGAGCCTAGGAATAGAGCCACGCTTATCCTGTCCAGCGGTAAACATTAGTGTTTACCAGTAGCTCCAATCCTCCATCCCCACAGAGTTCGGAGAGCTCTCATGATTTCCTGACCTTTTCCATTCACTTTGCTTGTTGTGCAGAAGCTGTTCAATGAGCCTTTGGTTGTCTCAGGAGGAAATGCTATATGTATATAGTTGTATATTTTTGTGTGCTCGTCAGGGGGCGAGTTCAGGGTCCTTCTGTGCTGCTACCATCTTGAACTTCCTCACGTGTGGCTCTATCCCTCCTGTTTCACTGGTCAGAATTGAGGTGTATGCTCCTGCCATAGCTGCAGACATAGTTTTCTTGCTGAGGTCTTTTTTTAAAAAAAAATTTATTTTTCAATTTCAGCAGACATACACTATTATATTAGTTTCAGATATACAAGCCAGTGACTAGACATTTATATAACTTACCAAGTGATCACCCCAATAAATCTAGTACCCATGTGACACCATACATAGTTATTATTGACTGTACTGATATTCCGTATGATGAACTTGATCTCCCATGACTGTTCTGTAACTAGCAATTTGGTACTTCTTAGTATCTTCACCTTCTTAACCCATCTTCCCAACTCCTCTTCCTTTTGGCAACCGTCAGCATGTTCTCTGTATCTATGAGTGTTTCTGGTCTGCTTGTTTGCTTATTTTGTTTGGATTCCACATATAAGTGAAATCATATGATATTTGTCTTTCTCTGTTTGACTTCTCTCACTCAGCACAATGCCCTTTAGGTCCATCCATGTGGTTGCAAATGGCAAGATTTCATCCTCTTATTTTTCACGTATCTATAGATACAAAAGGCTGATATGCAAAGTGTCCCCTCGGGGGTTCAACAGGGAGACCAGAGTTCGATCGCTCGCTATGACGTGCGCTGACCACCAGGGGGTGGTGCGGAATGAAGGAAGGCCCCAGCCAGCAGCTGGAAGGCCCCCAATCAGCCGATCGCCGGCCAGGCCTAGGGACCCTACCCGTGCATGAATTTCGTGCACTGAGCCTCAAGTATTTTATAAACTCTTTCATACAGATCTTGTAAATATTTTCCCACTGATTTTTTTTTAATGCCATCCTGACCAGGAGCAAAGTTACACATATGACTGAGTCTGTTCCTACACCCAAACTGCCTTGTTTGAATTCTTTAGCTTTAAAGTAATTTCTCAATAAGTCTTGTTATTTTATGGGGAATGTGTCCCCCACCCCAACTTTTGCAGGCTGTAGTTTGCTAACCTCTAAACAGTCATGATGCATGTTTGAATACAGACCCCAGAATGATATTTCTCAAGAAAGCATTAAAAAATAATCTTTTCAGCCAATATGTAGCTACAGAATTTTAAATTTCATTTAGATCTATCACAGCACTTTATTTATTCAAAAGTATTTATTTCCACAAATTTTTATTCATAGTTGAATATTACAGTGACTAGTACAAGCATTTTTCTATAAACAAAGGTATAGTTTACAGATTTGTTCAAAATGAAAAAATATTTTTATTATTGTTTCTTCTACAATGTCAGATTCACTCCTGAATATGTGCACCCTGTCAGAGAGGCAATCCTTCATCTAAACATCAGTTGGTGGCAAAGTGTTATATACAAATCTGGATTATTCTGATATGTGTCACCTTAGAAAGTAGCTTAAATTCATTTCTGATTGACCCCTTTATCTGAATTAGATTTTTTTTTTTTGAGGAAAAACTGTCTTTAGTATCTAGTGACCTTTATAATAAGAGAACAAAAGTCTTGTGTTTTATTATCATTGGCATAAACCACTATTTTTCTGATACCCCCTACTTTTCTAATTATGGCACCAATGTGTATAAAAAGTGAATTGTGGATATTTGGCTCATGCAGCAAATTAATTTGAGAAACAGACCACAGAGAAATACTCTATGAGGAAAAACTACAGGGTCCTGCCCCATGCTGTCACACTTTAATATCTGTTTAGTCATACAGGCATTATACAAGAGTTCAATTTAGGATAACCTTGCTGCCTTAGAATTAGGTCAACCATATGAAAACGATTAAATTTACTGTATGCCAAAGAAACGGATTCTAATTTATTTGTTACTATAATCTTAACACATTATTTAATGTTCTAAGTAAATATTTGATGAATTGATGGTAGCAGTGTTATTTTTCTAAATTTTCCAAGTTCCTAGTTTTGTCACTTTTTTTTTTTTTTTTTTTTTTTTTTTTACAAAAGCCTTAAAATTTAGTATAGGAAAATCAAGAGAAGAAACTCCTATTGACGTGCTCCATGAAAAGAGAATAAAAGTCTTTCCCTTTGGGTCTAATCTGCTTGCCAGGTACCATATGTGGAACTGCAGATATGGACAGGGAGAATGCATGTCAGTAATATGCTTGCCAACTTCAGCAACAAGTATCTACACTAATAAAAGAGAAAGATGCAAATTGATTGTACCTTTGCGACGCCCACCAGCCAATCAGGAGTATGCAAATTAACCCAACAAAGATGGCGGGTTAATTTGCATACACAGGCGCTGAGTGGCCAGGGGTGGTGTGGGACGCTTGCGTCGTCGCCATGGCGTTCTACACAGCCCCAGCCACTCCAGGCCTCTGGGCAGCGCGGAAAGGCGGCTCCGGGGCCGGAGTGGAGGCGGTGCCGGCAGCCAGGGGAAGGAAGGCCCATTCTTGCACGAATCTTTGTGCATTGGGCCTCTAGTTAACCTATAATAATGAAAGCGTAATATGCTAATTAGACCAGACGTTTGAACAGCAGAATAACCATTCCTGATGACCTTCCGGATGAAGCTGGGGCTGCGAGGGCCGAGCCCCTTGCACAAATTTCGTGCATCGGGCCTTTAGTATGTACATAACACACATTACTATAGGTAAACGGGTAGGTCCCATATAATACTTAAAGCACAACTTGTTTAATCTATAGATACTTGATTCTTAAATAATCTTTAAAATGCTTCTAATGTTTTAAAAGACAAAACTTCACCATGATGTTATGCCAGGCATTAAAGTTCTTCCCACAGCAACACTTAGTTCAGAGAACTAAGTGATAAGTCAGTTATCTTAGTAACTGCTAAAGGCACATAGTGAGAAGTGTCAAATAAATTATAAATATTAAAAAGTAAAGACACATCTAGAACAGAGTTCAAACCTTTATGTTGAATTAAGTTATTTAAACTAAAAATACTGATTTCATGAAGTTGGAAAAAGTTTGAGTTGAACTGACTTTTAAAAATGCAAAAAAATATAAATGCTAACAAAAGATTATAGTTTCTCTAAAGATGCTTATTCCAGTCTCTAAGTGTTAAGTTAAATAGGGCAGATCTAAACATTAGGTAACCAACTACTATATTGTTTTATTGTTAGTGGTCTATAAAAGGCTATTTGTTTTTAAGTATATATAAATTTAGTTTCAGTGAAACACCTTTATGTTTTGGAAGAAGAGAACTAAATCTGCCATTTCTTAGGCTAAGTAGAGGACTGTTCATACGTTTTCCATTTATTCTAATTGCCAAGCTTTCATTTAGTGAGTTGTTGGCACCTGGTGATTAACCAGTGACAGCAGAGAGGTAGTGACCCAAAGAGATGGAGAGAATGAGGGTGTAAGTCAGAATGTAAGGACAGTAAGCCATGGCGTTTATGGAGTCACTGCTTTCAAACTCCTTGACTCTCTGACAAGGCATTTTTGGTTATCTTGAAGAGTAAGGACAGTCCTTAAATGAGAGACTCAGTTTTAAACACATTGCAGTAAAAAGTAAATTATCCTAGATAATAAAAGGCTAATATGGAAATTGACAGAATGGCAGAAGGACTGGTCGCTATGACACACTGACCACCAGGGGACAGACGCTCAATGAGGAGCTGCCCCCTGGTGGTCAGTGTGCTCCCACAGGGGGAGCGCCACTCAGCCAGAAGCCCTGAGCTGGACTCATGGCTGGTGAGTGCAGCGGTGGTGGCGGGAGCCTCTCCCACCTCTGCGGCAGCGCCAAGGATGTCCGACTGCTGGGAGCGAGCCTAAACCATCAGGTGGACATCCCCCGAGGGTTCCTGGACTGCGAGAGGGCGCAGGCCAGGCTGAGGGACCCCCCTCCAGTGCACAAATTTTGTGCACCAGGCCTCTAATACTTAATAAACATTTTAAAAAAGGGAGCCATGGACCCAATTGGTTTTAGACTGGCCTTCCACACACAGTGTGTGTGTGTCAAAGGGTGTGTGTCATGGATGTCAGATGATGTCACTGGAATTGGGAAAGAGGCTCAGCTCTGCGTACCAGTAGACACCCAAGAGCAGCCAGGATGTTGAATGTGGCAGTAGAGGGGGTGAGGTCAGTGACAGATTTGGGCATGGTGGTCAGCAGTCTTTGCCCCGGTGCTATGCCTTGTTCTGCCCAGTGGGCAGGGAGAATGACCGAGGAAGCTGAGCTGTAAGAGCACAGTACTCAGATTGACTGGTTAGGGCTTGGTGTGTGTTGTGTTTCCAAGAGCCATTTAAGATGAGTGGCTGCATTAACGGTGGGTGTGTGGCAGGGTGTTCTATGTGTATTTCATGGAGAAATCTTATCTTGACTCAATATGGAGGCTCTATGATTTGTAAACAACATCTGTTCTTATCATGAAAACAGCATACTGTTCCCTACCAGAAGTATGGAACAAATAGTAAAAACACGGGTGTGAAGAATATATGTAGGGTTTTCTAACTGAATGCCTGATTTTGAAGAGATGACGACAAATTTGTGAAAGCAGCAAACATATAAAATCTGTTGTAATATCATCAAATACTCTTTTAATCTTTATTTCAGAGCAGAGATATTTATGATTTTTATGTGGCAAATTTGAAAATAACACGAAAAGAGAAAGTTGGCTTAAGTTATTCTCCCTTTTAAAAGAATACTTACAAAAAAAAAAAAAATACCCCCAAGATCTCTTGTATAACTTAATTCTTGAACTGATTTTTACAAAGGTTTTTCAAACAACTTGATCCTCGAGATGGTTTGCTTTCCTGTATTATTTGGGTTATCTGGAATCACCAGTGCATTCTGTGATGTTCTCATTGGAGGTTTCGTGGCAGAAAGGGATTAAAGGCTTTCATACTGACTTGTTTGGTTCTTAATCTGTAAATAAAAGAGTTGCTACTCTTTTCTAACTTTTCGCTTATATAGGTTTTTGTTGACTCAGTAAGTACATGGACTAGCATTGGGAACGTTTTTCCTCCTTGCTCTCATCCTTAGTTTGGGACAGCAGCCTTTTTAGCATAATTCCAATAGACTCAGGGCTGCACAAAAGCGGCTGAGCACGTGAGGAACTGCCTCATCTAATTTTGCTTCAGAAACCAATACTCAAAATGTCTGGTCTGGAGGTCAGTTACACCATTGTCTCTGCATCACCAGGCATTAAAAAATACCTTTGGGAAACTTCTCAGAAGGCCCAGGCCTGTATTCCTGTTCTCAAAACATTTCCCCACAAGCTCATCCATACCTATAGTTTGTCACCCTGGGGAGACGTCACGCTATATGACAGTGTCAGGCGCCTCTGAAGGCAATTTATGTGACTCACGTAGTTTTAATATTTTATTTTGGACATTCTCCAGTTATATGCAGAGATCAAAAGAAGGCAGTTTCCATTTTGTAACTTGGCACCTTTTTTATGGCCACGGGGACTGCTTTGCTTGGTGGTATAAATGCTAATGTGAACTTTATTCTGAAATCGTACTTCAAAAACTCTCCCATACTTCAAGTGTTTTTATTCTGAGCAGTAGGTACAAAAAATAATGACAGCTGTGTTCTCCTTCTTATGGCTCAGCACTCGGCGCATCCTCTCCGTGTCTGATCTGATCCACTTTTAAAGCCTGGACAGACCCTTAAAGCCACTTGACCGTAGACGTCTTGTTCTCGCTGCCAATCCAGCCAGGCTGGCAATGCGCGTTGTTCAGACTTCAGTGAGGAACTCAAGATTGAGACACGCTGGGATGTGGATGGAGTCCATAGTCAGAGCGGACGGATTAAAGGGGAACAAAACGGGAAACATGTGCTTGTAGTCCAGCAGCAGTTGCTGAGGGTCATTCCGATCTTGTAGTTGTGCCTGAGGGAAAGGACAAGACCATGTAAAATACTTACGACACCTACAAATATTTCCCCCCTTTAGTCAGATGTATCAGTAGGCTCTGCTATGAAAGGGCTTGAAGAAATTGTGAAGGTGTGAGAGGACAGTATAAAAATGGGACAAAGTTAACGTATGTAAGTTATTACAACTCAGCAGCAAAAGGTGTGTATACATTTAATTATTTAAAATTCACAAAGTACCTGTAGTCATTTCACAGGAACCCTTTTGTGAATCCTTTATGAGTTTAACAAGCCCCTCAAATTAACATTTTCAAAGGTTTACATAGTCTACCCATACTGCCCTAGCAAATGGTTTGCTTTAATGACAACTTGTGTTTATCCTACCTAAGGTATGCACAAACATAGAAGGATAGCGTGGATTAGTCCACCATTTCCTCTGAGTACTGTCTAGGGAGCAATAAAACATAAAACTATAGCTGGAAAAACAAACACATTTTTAAATCCTCACCAGCGGATATGCTTTTATTGATGAGAGAGAGAGAGGGGGAGAGGGAGAGGGGGAGAGAGAGAGAGAGAGAGAGAGAGAGAGAGAGAGAGACATCAGTTGCCTCCAGTACGCACCCTGACTGGGGATTGAACCTGCAACCTTTTGGTGGATAGGACAATGCTCAAACCAACCGAGCCACCTGGTCAGGGCACAGAATTTGTTTCTGATAGAATTGCCAAATACTGAACTTGACTGCTGAGGAAGACTCGCAATCTGAGTGCATATATCTTTCAGAGAATATCCGACCAACCTCCAGTTACCTTTCTCCTCCGTCCTTCATTCAAACCCGAAGTCTGACTTGGCACATAATCTTTTACCTTTGGTCTGAATTCTGTTCTCGTAAACGGGGCCCTTGTAAGTTTATAAGCAGTTCCTTTCAAAACAGTGAAGACTTTCTAACCTTGCACTTTGGTTTGTGTAAAGTGTAAAAATCAGTAGCGGGCCAGATATTTCAGTGGCTTCTTCTCTGTCATCCAACTCCTCCTCCCCTTTCAGCAGTGACCTGCACATTTGTCCTAATAACGGGACTCACCATCAGTGCCCCTGCCTGCTGGCGTGGCCACGTTGGCGAGTCTCTGCCCGCTTCTCTCTGTGCCCGGATCTTTACTAACCCACTGCCTTTTCCCCACTGCACGTGGGGAACAACCTTTGATCTGACTTGGCCTCCTTCCCTTGACCTTCAGCCTCTATCCTCCACTCAGACACCATGCTAAAAGTCATTCATCCGTCTTCCCTGTCCCTGCCCTGACCACTTTCCCCATTTCTCTTTATCCTTGTTTCGTGTTGCCATGAATTCACTGGCTGAAGGGTGTTTTCCCACAGACAGCGGAGAAGTGTTCACTGTGTAATCTTGATATGAGTCATCATTCGGATGCTATCAGCTACAGTCACACCACAGGTTAGGCGCTCAGCCAGAATCACCCAGGGCTCAGCTTTAGGAAGCTCGTCTTTACGTGAGAAATCCCATCATTTAAAGGCCGATTAAATAACCATTTCCCTGGTGTTTTCTTTCGAGCATATTCCTAAGGGCAAATATTATAAGTCTTACAGGAAAGACTTAAGAGCTCAAATTGTCCTCTTAAAAGATCATTTCTAGTTCCATTCGTGAATAAGCTGATAGCCTTCTGCTTACTTTGTTCATGCCATTTGGCACTGTGGCTCGGAAACATGCTGCTGGCGAATGAAAGAATGCTTGGACTGTGTCTAAAATCTGAGAGGCAGAGATTATAAAAGTTCAGTCTTCTGTGTATATAATAAGTTATTCATGAGTGATGTGGTTCATGTTTATATTTACCTAAAGAACGTAAGGCCTTTTATCATATAATGTAACCAGTATTTTATTAATAAAGGGAAGGTTAAAAATCTGAACTTTCAATTTCCTTTATTAGTTTTAGACTAAGAGTTTATAAAATTGATTATTTAAAAACTCACCTGGATCGTGCGTATGAAGCCCACTGTTACTCGTTCTTCAAATTCATTCAAGGGAGTATAAAGGTTTAGAATTTTGACAATCTGTTGGAATAAAAAAAGGTTAGTGGAGAGCTAAATGAACATAAGGAAACTTGAATGTTAAGGACCGTGACATTGACACGAGTCCAGTCCTCTGTAGACAGGCCCACAACAGAGCGGGGCCGGAGTCACCGTTAGTAAAGGGGTTCCGAGCCTTGCCTGGTAGGTCTGAGCCTTCTCACCACATTCCTATCTCCTCCAGCCCCTCCCCCCCTGCTCTATGGCTTATAACATGAGGATTTTCGGAAACCTGAAATCCTCAGCCTCTTATCTACTCATAATTTAAGGGTTTTTTCAAAAGAGTACTGGGGATCTTACCTTAGGAAACAAAGGTCTTGTTTAGCCACCCCTCTCTCCCCCTCACCCTCCAAATCACTTATAAAGGAACAGATTTTTTCCTTATTTGAATGGAGGATAACCTTTGGCTGCCTATCAATTGTTTGGTCGTAGTAGCATGTCCCAATGCCAATCAATGGCAGTTGCATTCTGGAAATAAACTTAATATATTTAAAAGGGGGGAAAAAAGTTTGAAAAATTTCAGTGCATTTATAGAAGGGAAGCAGTTTTCTGAAGAGCTTGCTATTTCATCTTTTAGTAGTTCATGGAAGAGGTAAGGGAATTGTTTACTTAGTTTGGATTTTGCTGTTCTTTCGGTGCTGAGCAGGGAGAAGGTACATGATTTAATTCAGAAAGTCCCATTTTCTTGGTCTCATTTTGAGAAAGGGTGGGGTCCCCCTGTGTGTGGACAGGACTTATCTTTTCATACACTAGTAATAGCTCTGCAACCCTGTCCTAGAATAAATACAATTTTTTGGGGAGAGGGGGGAAGGAAAGGAACACTTAAATGCCTCTGGGTTCTTAATGATTTTATTTAAAACATGTAAATGGATTCTAAATGAAAGCATGAGCATAATGAGATTATAACTTGTAAGAAAACAATTTATTTAATGCCAAATGCCTGATGCTGCCAATTTAAAAATAAATTAAATTTCTAGGTGAGAAACATCCCAGACTTCAGTGTGAGTGTTTTTAAAAAGTTTGTACTTCAGATTAATGTTTGTGCAATTACTACCTCATCTAAGTGTGCAAGAGGAAGCAGACAGTCAGTGGGAAGCAGTGACACCTCCTTTCACAGACCAAAGTACTCTTTGGCTCCCCGAGGGATGGTATCATTAGGGGATAGAAAGACTGGAAGTGCAACCCTGAAAAACAGCTACCCACTGGCAAGAACAGACTTGGCACGCAGCTGGGCAGGCTCTGAGTGGCTGGCTGACGGGTGTGCGGGGGTGGGGTGGGGGCACTGGGGGGAGAGCAGTGGCCATACCTGCTGGGTGCTGAGGGAGGTGCTCAGGGAGCAGATGGCCTCAGCGTCCTCAGGCGTTTTCTTCTTTAACTGCAAGAGCTGGGCTGCTTGGATCAGGGGTTCCATGGTTTGAACGGCTCCACTCTGGTGAAGGTTTCTCCCTCGAAGCCACTCCTCCAGCTGACTTATGTTGTACCTTGGAGGTAAAAGGGGGTGCGGTGAGCTAAGCGGCCCTCCTCATTCAGGATGAGCACACCTGCAGTGTGTACTCTGCAGCCTCGGCACTACCCACTACGGTTATCGGTCTCCTCACTTTAATTGTCCCACATGGGCCAAAGCTTGAAAAGCGCCTGGCACTCTAACTGTGTTGAATGGATAGGTGCCTAAAACAAAACATGAAGTACCTAGAGGGGCTGTATAAGTTAATGGGGAAAAGAGCATTAAATATACTGAATTAAAACAACTAATCTATATACTAAAGGCCTAAGCGACCATTATGGTGGAATGACCAGAACAACCAGTTGCTATGATGGGCACTGACCACCAGGTGGCAGACACTCAATGCAGGAGCTGCCCCCTGGTGGTCAGTGCGCTCCCACAGGGGGAGCGCTGCTCAGCCAGAAGCCGGGCTGATGGCTGGCGAGCGCAGCGGCAGTGGCAGGAGCCTCTCCCGCCTCTGCGGCAGCACTAAAGAGCAGGGAGCTGGCGGGTGGTAAGGAGCGAGGAGTCCAGGACTGTGAGAGGGATGTCCACCTGCTGGCTTAGGCCCAATTGGGGTCCTCGACTGCGAGAGGACACAGGCTGGGCTGAGGGACCCTCTCTCCCCCAGTGTACGAATTTCATGCACAGGGCCTTTAGTATTTAATATTAACAAACTCACAGGGTGGAGCAAAAGGAGGTTTACAGTTGTGAGTACCTGAAACACAGAGTTTATTCTTGTATTACTATTTACTAGTTACTGTGTTTTCCACACGAACCACTGTAGACCTACTTTTGGACCACGGTGTTACACTTCTGTGTGAACCTTCCTGGCACTTGCCGCATTGATTTTTCTTTCGGACCTACCCACACTGTCTTTAGTCTTTCAATGAGAGTATGTAAATGTCTTTAAGCTTTGAACCAATTTGTTTACCAAGTCACCATCTCAGTGTTTGATGAATTTCACCAGCACATGAGAGGCGAGGGGTGTGAGGTGCACGCTGACTGGGACAGGACTGCCCGGTGGACGTGGGTTTCACTTGCAGAGAGGAGTCTCGGCTCTGACCCCGGGCCGGCTCCTACCTGAGCTGCATGCCCGTGCTCCAGGAGCACACGTCCTTCCGCAGGAGCAGGTTGTTGAGCGTCACGGCCGTGATCATGTAGAAGAGCTGCTTGAACACCTGCAGGATGATCTCGGGGTCCAGGCCCTGGTCGCACATGACCGTGTGGAAGGAGCTCATCTGGCGGATGACGGCTTCCAGGCAGTAGGCGTGGTCCCCGTCCGCCATGCTGGACGAGCGCTTCCGGTAGCCCGTGGGCTTCACCCCGGACAGGCCCTGGATGCTCTCGTTTTCCAACATGGCCGAAACTGCAAGGAGAGCACATGACAGAGGCCGGCACGCCCCCCGAGGTCCCCCAAGATCTGGCGCCCGGGCCATTCAGCCCTCTAGCACCCAGGCCCGTGGCAGTGGTACCAGCCAGAGGGTACAGTGGCCACATGCCCACAACTCACAGCATCAGCACAGACATTTCTAAGGCATTGGTCTCTCTGGAATAAGGGAGCTGTTGACCATTGGGGATGGGACAGAGGGGATGGGCATGTACCAACTCGCTTCTGTTTCTGCACTGGGTTCTGTGTGAAGGGTCCCAGGTTTGAGAAGTGAGCAACAGGGGTGTCATCCTGGCCCTGGACCCAGGGATCCTGCCGGTGGTCAAACAGCTCCTCCACCTGAGCCACTGACACGCAAACCGTAGGGTCCTGTCTACTGCGCAGCACTCGACTGCGAGCCGGGTACTTGAGGTTCAGGATTTCTCTTCATCTCCCAGCAACCTATTTGCTGAGGAAACCGAAGTGTACGGAGGCCACACTGCTAGGAAGTGGCAGGGCCAGGGGTTGAAGCCAGGCCTGTCCGACTCCAGAACTGGTGCTGCTGGCCGTCACGTTACCCTGAGTCATGAGGTATTCCCGTTCTCCCAGTGTCCGGTGAGAACACACTGTGCCTCACGGGCAGATCTCAGACAGGAGGGCGAACTCAGAGTGACCTTATCCAGGGATATACTTCTGGACGGCATGGACTCTGTCCTACTTGGAATTCTCCTCGGACCTACTTATGTTGTAAGAACCTGGGGAAAGCATGACATGTAGGTCCCGGGGACCATTTCCACCCCAGCCGCATGGGACAGCGAGTGTCATTCTTTTACCTTAAAGAACTGCCTTTTGTTTTTTGTTTTTAATTCGGGTGTCATGTTAAATGCCCAGGTGCACTGCCCTGGACAGAGTGGGCGCTCAGTCGCAGTTGCTGCATGAGCGCTCACCATTGCTTGCTTTCACACGAACACAGTTAATGCTTCCCTTTTCCCATACATGAAGCATCTCTACGGGCAAGAGGATTCTATATCTTTACGGCATATGTATTTGTGCCTTTGAACTTATATTTATGACCTATGGAAATTAGTTTGTTTGGGGAAGAATAACACCATGTGCTACAGAAGAAGAGATAAGGGGAAACGATGTATATTCTCCACCCCGGCACTATGGACTCCGATGGGAAGGCGTTGGAAATGTCGTAGCTCCTCTCGAGCGCTCAGCACACTGCTCGCAGCTGCCCTCACTGGGCGGTCCTGGGTTCTGGGGGCTGTGCCCAGTAGACCCAGTTCCCTAAGGGTAGGCAGGGCTCCCCACACCTCCCCCTCCCCTCAGACCCGTGGTGAGGCCGGGAGAGCAGCTGCCAGCTTACCGATCATGGGCTGCAGCACGCCCTCGGCGATTTTAATGAGCTGCTGGTAGATCTGGATGGAAAGGTCGCTCAGCACCTGGCGGTACTCGGTGAGGTCGAAGTTCTTAAGACAGTGCTCATTCTGCTTGGCGGTGTTCTGCGTCATGAAGCCCTGCAGCGGGAGAGGCTGGCTTTATTGAGGGGCTGGGGTCTGCCCGGCTTGGCAGGAGTCCTGATTGCTCTCTGTTTACCTGATGTGCTGTGAGTCCCTGCCATGTCACATGACAAAGGGGAACAGGGACAGAATATAGTCTGTTATCCCAGGCGGAAGAATGCGTCAATCAACCCTGTCCTGGCACAGACGGACTAGAGGGGAGCTTTGAACATTGTGCTATGCTGAGTGACACACACCTTGCCCTTGGGAAGGGTGGAGGCTGAGACGTGAAGGAAGGGGGACAGGAAAAGCGAGGGGACCCGTAGGGAGGGGGCAGTGTCTGGCACAAGCTGGGTTCTCACAGGTGAGACTGGAGTGAAGACATGCAGTGTGTTACCGCCCCGGGCCGAGTGCAGTGCACGGGGCACCAGTGCTGGGAAGGGTGGACTCGGTCAGATAAGTCTGGGCCCGAGCAGGGCATGACACAGTGAGGTCAGATGGCCGCAAGCCAAGGAACCGCATGTGGCTAGAAGCCGAAGCTGGGCCTCAAGGTCAGCCTGTGCAAATGGACTGGCTGTGTTGTACCTCTTTCCTGTGGTTCTCTGTGTGCACTTGAACGTGGACACACTTTGTCAGCTGGCATAGCAGACAGTCTGACGCACCAGACGACTGACTGGGCTTTCTCCCAGCAGGCACTGCCAGGCAGGGCTCTTAGGAAATTCAGTCTCCAGGTGTCCCTGGAGAGTCCCAGGTGCTCTCAGACGGGGGTGGGTTATGCAAACTCATTTCCTAATGCTGCTTACGTCATCCAGGGAGGGGAGCCCTCGGGGGCCCTCGGATCAGGGGGCCTGCCTCATTCCTGCTTCTAGCTCCAGGGAGAGGAAGGCTGCCCAGGGCCTGGTCTCAGAGGGCACTCCCCACACCTCACCCCCTCCTTAGGGAGAGGCACGGGGACAGAGCAGGCTGCCCAGGGCCTGGTCTCTGAGGGCGCCCCCCACACCTCACCCCTCTCCTTAGGGAGAGGCACGGGGACAGAGCAGGCTGCCGGATCCAAGGTGCTCCCCACACCTCACCCCCTCCTTAGGGAGAAGCATGGGGACAGAGCAGGCTGCCCGGATCCGAGGTACTCCATGTTGCTGCCGGCCCGAGGAAACTGCTGGAGGGTTTGGGGCACCTGAGGAGCTTCAAGGTAGACGCGGGGGCTTGTCAGGCGGCACTCACCTCGTCCCCACTGTACTGCTTCAAACAGTGAAGCAGGCGGCAGGTGTTGGACAGCCAGAACGATGTCATCTCAAAGTCGTCGCTGTGCTTCTGAGGAAAGGAAAAGCCGTCCCTCCTCAGGAGTCAGGTTCCCATTCGGTCTCACGGTTCCCACTCTTACCCGCAGGCCCCCAGCAGCCTGATGACCGGTGGGCACTTGCCGGTCACAGAGGCCAGACCCACCTCTGGGCATGGCACACAGACCCTCCTCCTGGTCCCCTGACCAGTGGCGCACACACCGGACAGGCTGCTTTCCCAGCTGAACAAACAAAGCCAAGTGACACCGACGAGCTGGCACCCAGGGGCCCTGGGTGGGCGGTCCTGGCAGGTCTCTCAGTGACCCAATGCGAGAGAGGCAGGAGCAGCCGTGAACTAAATATTCTGGGATCCCATTCACCCAGAGGCCGCATGGCCCCCGTGGAACTCTCTGGAAAATGGCTACCAACCAGCCGCTGCGGTGCAGTTTCTGCACTAAAACTAATGAGTCCCCGCATCGCCTCTGCCAGGGACACTGGCTATTCAGCAGGAGATAGGGGTGCCTGTGGGACAGTAGGATAGGAAGCTGAGCAGAAGGTGACGGCGGGCTGGGCATGCTAAGGAGCCTGGGGGTTAGGAAGTGACCTCTGAGGTCAGTCCTGGACTCACCTAGACTGGCCCAGGCCCTCGTACAAGAGGTCAAGGCAGGAGACACCATCTGGGAGTCGCCTGCATATGTTTAGAGCCGGGAGTGGATGAACGTGCCTACGAAACCCATGGCAGAGGCGGGGGTGCACCTACTGATACGAAGCTGGCATGAAGCTGGGCGGGAAGGCGGCTATGGCGCGCTCTGGAGGCAACGGGGCAGCCCGGCCCAGCGGGTGGCAGGATGGGTCTGGGCGCGGTGCTGCGAGGATGGCTTGCATCCTGAAGTGGCAGCTCGGGTGAGAACTGGAGAAGATGGGCTCCCGGGGCAGCGCCTGGGCCTGGGCCTGGGCCTGGGCCTGCTGGGAGGTGTAAAGCACTTCCCCTCCCACCTGCTGGCCCCCCGTGTGGCCAGGCCTCACCTCCCTCTGCCGCCCCCTGGGAAGCGGGCACCAGCCCCTTGGGAACGTCAGGGAGAGAGAGGGTCTGTGTTCAGGTTGGTCCCCTGAACGTCACTTCAGGGCGGGGCAGCCACATGGCTGAGGATGGACAGCTTCCTAACGCTCTGGGCCCTGGGGCTCCTGCCGTCTCCAACCTGAGGACCTGAGCATCCTTCTCTGGGAACCGCCAGGTCTCCCAGTGACACGCGTGAGCTGCTGCCGCCCTCATGTCATTTACCGGCAGAGTGGAGCCTGGAGGACTCCCTGCTGCAGCATGCAGACGGGGAGAAGCAATGGGGAGAAGTGTGAGTCCACCGCCAGCGCCCCCTGGTGTGGGGCACGTACCTTGAGGACTTTCTTAATGCCGTTGATGGTGGAGGTCAGCAGGGAGTGCACCTTGAGGTCGTCGTTGACGTAATCCGCATGCCTGATGCACATGTAGAGGATGTAGGCGGGAAGACAGGGCACTGTGCCCGCCAGCGCCTGGGGCTTCAGCTCTGAGCAACAGACACGAGGGTTAGACTTACAGCGATGCCTGGGGAGTGAGAATCATCTGCCTGCAGCTCACCTGAGAAGGACCGCGCACGGGACTGGAGGAGCAGGGAGAAGCTGCACCCAGGGACCCAGACTTCCCTCACCCTGACCACCAGCAGTTCCGGGAACTAGTTAAAACCCCTCGCAGCCCTGGCCAGTGTGGCTCAGCAGTAAGAGCATCGGCCTGCGCACCGAAGGGCTATGGGTTTGATTCCGGTCAAGGGCACGAACCCGGGTTGCAGGTTTGATCCCCGGTCAGTCAGGGCAACCAGTCAATATTTCTCCTCTCTCTCTCCCTCTCTCCTCCCTTCCCCTGACCCTTCCCCTCTCTCTAAAAATCAATGGAAAAAATATCCTCACTTCTCAGGTAAGGATTAAAAAAACAAAACAAAAACCCAGACACACACAGTGCTAATCACTCCGTCCATAACATTTGAACGGGCTCCATGCCTTGTCCTCACAACACGGGAGGAAAAGAGCCAGCAGCGGCTCCCGCCCGGATTCACACACCGTGGCCGAGGTCCTCGCCAAGGGGCCCAAGGGCAGAGGACAGCAGAGACTGGAGCGGCTCCCCCGCTGGGGAGGGTCCCACAGCACTGCTGTCATGGGCGCCAGCGCAGAGGAAAGATGCAGGAGAACGGTGCCTGGGTGTCAGACCCAGCTGTGCGGCTCCCCCGCTGGTGAGGGTCCCACAGCACTGCTGTCATGGGCGCCAGCGCAGAGGAAAGATGCAGGAGAATGGTACCTGGGCATCAGACCCAGCTGTGCTCACGGTGGCCCTCACCCTCCACTCTCATTACTTCCACCCCGATCTCCGCCCAGCCCGGGCCTCCCCAGGTACCTCCAGGCTTGGAATGACACTGAGGGAGGCCCCTCCTCTGCAGCTGCAGGTAGGCCACGGGGAGGAAGGGGCAACACCCTCAAGTCTTCTGCCAGGGCGATCCTGGAGGGGCTGGGATGTGCTGCCAGCATCTCCAGCTGGAACCTGGGCTCCTGTCCCCTCAGTACATCCCACCCTTCGGGCTAAATGCTAACTCTATGGGGCGGGAGGGCTAGAAGAGGTCAATGGGGGGAGAAAGAGGACGTATGTAATACTTTCAACAATAACAATAAAAAAAGAAAAAAGTGCTAACATAGGCCTAATGCTCTGGGTACATTTGGGCAGTTATAGGCTCAAGAGATGGCAGGGGCTTGGCCTGGCTTTAATGATAAGGCCAGTGACATTCATTGAGAAGAATGTATTTTAAAGCCCACACTTCCGACCCACAACTTCTCGCGTCGAGCCTGCCGCGTGCGGAGATGGCACCGCCTGTCCTGTCCAGCGAGCTCTGCCTGAGAGCGGGTGACCTCAGCCCGTTTCCCAGAGCTCGCCGGGTCTCCCGCGGAACACGAGGATCGGGAGCAGGGCATGGTCGCGCCCGCCTCTCGGTCCTCCACGGCAACCGGCCAAGGCCGGGCCTGAGGGGCGGTCGGACTGGCGTGGTGTTCGCCTGCATGGGGGTCTGTGGGGTGGAGGCGACGGGCTGCGCTCAGGCAGCTCACGGGCGGGGACCTGGCCTTGGCCACCTGAGCAGCGACCGTCTCCGTGATGGTGAGGATCTGTTATCTGTTACTCGGAGGCTGTGACCTTGAGTTTCAGTCACTAGAGATCAAAGGTTCATTCTTAGCAGCATTGGAACAACATGCAGCCTGTTTAAGGAAGTTTGAGATGAACTGGTGTCACACTGAGTTGTTGGACAACAGGGGGAATGTATCCTTTATGGAAAGAGCAAAATACTCTGCTGCGACCAAGGCAAAGAGCCGAAGTCACGCTCCCTTCCTCCTGTAGCCCTCGGCACAGTGGACCTTGATAAATTAAAATTTCTCTAAAACAACGCTTACCTCTTATTTGGGCTTCAAGTGCCCCCGCCAAAGCTACCTCTTCAGATTCCTCACATTACAGAGGGGCTCTGTGCGCTAACATTGCACGGTCACCTGTGCTATATTTCACGACCTGGGGGGGGGAGGGCAGTATCCTCATCCCCATTTCACAGGTGGGAGAACCGAGGCCCCGCAGAGAATGGAGCTGATGGCTCAGGGCCCAGAGGACCAGCCCACCAGCGTCCTTTTCTCATCCGGGACTCTCTCCTCTAAGATGCTCCCTCTGGCTCTGCGGGCGGCTGCTGCACTGGGCTGGGTGCCAGTTAGATGGGGAACAAGACGAGAGGAGAGGGAACCATACAGTTGACAGACCAGGCCCAGGGCATCTCAGCCCCCACACAAGCCACAGCCGCACCCCCAGAAACTCCCCAGCCACACAGCAGCTGGAGGCCAGGGGTGCGAGGGGGAGCAGAGAGGGGGCAGGGGTTGTGCAGGGGATTGGAGGACAGGGGCTGAGGAGGTGGAGGGTGACGGGAGAGGATGGTGGGTGCCACGGGCCTGACCTGTCACCAGGTTCCGGATGAGGAGGGCCTCGTCCTCCCGGTGGTACTCCAGCATGCCCTGGAAGTCCTTCTCCTTCCGCTGGACAGCGACCTGCCTGCTCAGCTCCTGGTGCCTCTTCCCGTTCTGGGCTAGCGTCTGGGCAGCTGAGGGGGAGGAGACAGCTGGTCACGGGGGTCGGGAGGGTGGACAGGGCACCCGAGGAGTCCCGGGTTCAAGATGGAGCGGCGACAGAGAGGAGCACCTTACTTATCAGAAAGCAGCAGCTGCCGCCGCCACCCGGGTGACCAGGAGAATGAAAGCTCAAGGAGTAGGAAGCAGGAACCCACAGACGGAGATGGGGGAGGGCAGAAATGGAGGGAGCTGGCCCGAGGCTGAGCAGGACAGACTGCCCTGCCCTCTTAGAGCCTCGCCGGGGGCAGCAGGCGGGCAGAGCGGGTGACGGAACACCTGTGACGGGCGCTGTGCCCCCTAGGCCCAGGGGCGGGACAGTGAGGGCTCAGCCCGCCCTGGGAGGCAGCTCCTGAGGAGGGTGGAAGGAGGGGAGCATCCAGGTGCTGAGGTGAGCAGGAGGGTGCCACGCGAGGTGCCATGTGCCAAGGGGTGGGGAGTGATACGGTTAGAGTTGCGGTAGAGAGTCAGAGGAAGAGAACGTTCTGGATGCTTCTAAAAGAGCAACTGAAACCTGCTTGACCTCTGTGGGCAGAAGCTGAGTCAGACCTCCCTCTCCTTGCTGACTAGCACGGCAGGCGTGAGGCCCTGGGGTGGGGACTTTGCATTATGTGGCTCCTTCCACACCAGGTCGTGCCTCCAGCTTCAAGCCCGTGGAGGGCAGGGCCACAGGCCACTGTCTGTCCGTCCCGCGCTCCAGCCCTCGGAGCTCAGAGTAAGCACCGAACACCTGCCGTGTCCGTGTCGTTAGCCCAGATTCTGGTAGGCGGGGTCAGGCGCAGCTCGCGGGTCTGAGCGATGCGGTTCCGTGGCTGGGCCCGCACAGGCACCAGGAGCAGGTGATGTGGACGGAGCGGCAGGGGAGGCGGGCGTGCGAGCACATCTGTGCCCCACAAAACCCGCACTCACATGCACCTACCTTCTAGGTCCTGGACTCTCTTCATGTGAATCTTCAGTTGTTTCTTGAGTTTCTTCTCATTCTTTTCCAGCTTTTCCACCAGTTCTTTCAAGTCCTAAAGCAGAAGGTGCAGAGGGAGAACAGAGGGCAGTGTGAGTGAGGAGCCGCCCGGGACGGGCTCTGTGCCTGGTCCGGAGGCCCGCCCTCGAGGCTCACTTCCCCCAGGTCTGGACCCAGGAAGTGGGAGGGAGGTCAGAGTTCATTCTCACAATCCAGATGGACCAACTCCTGCTTCAGCTCTGGCTGCCTGGTGCCCTGCTGAACCCCCTGGTTACCTAGGCCCAGCGTCTCCGGTTGCCATGCCAACCCCCCAGAGATACTCAGCCTGGGGGTCCCCAGCTGTGTGGGCAGCACCCTGGGAAGGGTGGACAGTGTGACGGTGGGGGAGGCACTCAGCTGGAAGAGCCACCAGGCTGGTGAATTACCTGGGGCCCAGGGTGAACGGGACACCGGCCCCTGCCCCCTGTGGCTACCAGTCCCTAGCAGCCATGGCCCTGGCAGCAGCAGCCCACTGGGGCAGGGAGCAGCATTAGCGTCACCCCTATTGTACGGGGCGAAGTCCTCTGGCCGGGGAGGCAGGGAGCCCCATCACCACCACGCCTCTGTGCCCAGGAGTGCATGGGAGACCAAAGCAAACATGCCCCCCGGAGCCCCAGCCACAGCTGGTGGCGCGTTTTTGAGGCCGATGTTCAACCGCAGTGCACGGCCTGACGAGCCACAGACCTCGAGGACGTCAACTATTTATCTTCATAAAAATCTTAAAAAGCTTGTCCACAGCACATTTGGGGTAAATGGAAGGGAACAAGTGCTGGCCCAGTGGGTGGTAAACGTGGGGAGCTACTGAGGCCCACAGTCCTCAGGGCCAGGATGAGGCTCAGGGAAGAGCGAGGGTGAGCCCCAGGCATCTTGGAAACGTGAGCACGCCTGGACCCCTCTCAGCTTTGCCAGCTGCCACCAGAAGAGACACCACCTCCTCCCTCCCGAGGCCTGTGAGTGTGTCCCTGTGGTGGCTCCGCAGGACCCGGGTGTGGTCCCAGGCACAGCCGCGCCCTCCACTGCGCTTCGCTGCTGGCACCAGGGAAGCACTATGTTTGCTCAGCCGGGAACCCTGCCCTGGAGCTCGGTGCTCGGCTTAAGGGCGCGGCCTCTCAGGCTCCTCCTGCTCCGGCCCCAGGGCCCAGGGCGGGGCCGAGAGGGGCCCCCAGTGCTGCCTCCTGAGCAGCACGGTTCCTCCATGGGGCACAGGCCTCCACACCGCTTGTCCGTATGGCGCCAGGGGATGGGCCGGCCAAGGCACTGCCCACACTGCCTCCTCCACCTGGACAAGCCAGTCCGACAACCTAGTACGTATATTCCTTCCCATACAGCTACCTATGTACACACCTGTGTGAGGCAGGTAGTGACACGCAGATGGGAGAGGGAGACTAATGGGGGGAGGGGGAAGGCAGTTCATTTGTATATGATCCTATTCAGGGACCTGTGGTCCAGGCCCACTGCACCCCTCGGACTCAGTGATCTGGCCACTGGCCACCCACCATAGGCCACCTGGCTGTACAGGGGAAAGGGCATGGGCCGACTGGCAGCTCTGCTGGAGGTGAGCCTGCAGGGCCGGTTTGGGCACTTCCTGCTGCTGCCCCATAGGCTGCTGGCCGTCCTGTGCCACCCCTCACCTCCCCACCCCTCTCGCCTGCCGAGCCTGTGTCCACAGCATCCCTCCTCTTCTCCACCAGCTACATGGCTGACACCCCTCCGTGCCTCCTGCCTCAGCTCCAGCCTCCTCTACAGGTTGGTCCTTTTCTGTTAATGATCCCGTGTAGAATCATGTTTTCAGAAACATGATATCTCCCTTTTTTATGTGTCTTATTTCCCCGAGTAACCTGCAAGCTCTCTGAGGACAGACTGCCTTTCCTTTCTCTGGCAGCTGCCAGGCTCCTTTGGTGACTGTCAGCAAGAAGGGCCACCAGCAGTTCCTCCCACGACTCCTGCTAGCAAGAGGGGTCTGCCCCCCCCCCCACATACTCACACACATATATACTCACACACCCATACACATATACTCACACTCCCCCACCACACTCACACCCACACCCCCATATTCCCCCATACCCCCACCCCATATACTCACACACCCATACCCCCATACACATATATTCACACTCCCCCTCCCCCCACACTCACACCCACACCCCCATACTCCCCCATACCCACACCCCATATACTCACATACCCATACCCCCATACACATATATTTACACTCCCCCTCCCCCCACACTCACACCCATACCCCTATACTCCCCCACCCTATACCCACACCCACACCCCCATATACTTACACACCCATACCCCCCGTACACATATACTCACACTCGCCCCCATACACACACTCACTCTCACACACACACACCCATACCCACACACACATATACTCACCCCCCCACCCCCCCTCTATCCGGCATAGCTTATTTTGATCAGTGAAAGTGGCAGAAGCGACGGGGGAGGGGGGGCATCTCGGGGACTGGGTCCTAAGAGGCCCCCTGCTGCTGTGTTCATCCTCCTGGAAGTCAGCTGCCACGCAAAGCAGCCCAGGGCAGACCAGAAGTGAGAGAGAGTGGAGAGAGACCCCACAGAGGGGACCAGCCGGCACCGCACCCAGGCCCAGGATGGGCTGCCTCAGGTCCTCCGGCCCAGCCACCGCCAGGGCAGCCGAGACAAGCCGTGCCCCTGCGCCCAGCCAGAAGTCCTGACCGCACACACGTGCTGCCCTAACTGCCACGCTTTGGGCGGTTGGTGACACGGTAGTAGATGACCGAGATATCCCCACAACCCTTGCCGGCTGGAGGCTTCTAGATCCTCTGTTCCTGCTACTGGGCCAAGGACATGCACCGTGTCCGTTTAGCTGAAGGCCATCCCTGATCCCACTGTCTCCTAAACCATCCCTGATCCCACTGGTCGGCAAACCGCAGCTCACGAGCCACATGCGGCTCTTTGGCCCCTTGAGTGTGGCTCTTCCACAAAATACCACGTGCGGGCGCACATGTACAGTGCGATCGAAACTTCGTGGCCCATGCGCCGAAGTCGGTATTTTGTGGAAGAGCCACACTCAAGGGGCCAAAGAGCCGCATGTGGCTCGCGAGCCGCAGTTTGCTGAGCCGCAGTTTGCCGACCACTGTCCTAGAACATGACCGCCCAGAGCTGGGATCTGCTGGGCACGGCTACTCACCAGGTTCTCGTTGGTCAGCCGGGACATCTCCTGCTGGACGCCAAATTCCACCTGGGCCTCCGGGGACAGCAGCAGTGTCTGGGAGAAGGTCTGCTGCTGCCTGTCCATCTCCTCCTTCAGGGCCTCCACCTGGGTCTTGAGGCACTCCACCTCCTCCTCATGGGCACGGCTCTGGGCCTGCAGCTGGGCCTCCAGCAACCTGCACCCGGGAGAGGCGTGCAGATGACGTGGGGCTGGGTCAGTGACCCCAAGTGAGGGCCCCGGGCGGACATGCAAGGGGAGCAGCCAAGCACGAGCAGCAAGTGCACGAGCCCAGCGGGCGGACGCTCAGGGGAAGGTCTATGCAGCTCACGGGGCCAGCAGGCCAGCCCTTCCTCTCGGAGGACTCGAACCCACAACCCTTCGGTGCACAGGATGATGGATGCCCAACCAGCTGAGCCATGCAGCCCGTGCCCTTGTTTGTCACTTGAGCACAGTCTGGTTGGCTTGGGGATGAGAGATTGTCTCCACGTCAAAATGTCACCAGCAGAAACGCATTTTGTACAGCATCTTCCAAACAAAAGCACCCACATTTGCCCCAAAGCTCAAGAGACTCTCCCTTAGATGACTCTGGCAGAGCGAACGAACCATTTGCACTTTCTCCCTATAGCAGATTCCCTGCTGGCTGCAGGAAGGCAGATCCTTAGCCCCTTTCCTTTTTATCTTCACCACTGCTACGCCCACTTTACCTCCAGCCGCACATAAACACCCCCAAGTCAAACAGAAACAGAGCCTCTGCAGATGACCTGGGGGAGGTGTGTCTCTGAGTCCAAAAGGCCCAGGGCCAGGGGCAAAGGTGGGAGAGCACCTTCTTCCATCGCAACCGAGGAGGCGCTTAGTGAAGGTCCCCAAGCAGCCCCCATGCAGGGAGTTAAACACCAGCACGGCGACGGTGCTCTGTGCCTGGACGGACCGCCTGCACACGCTTCCCGGCCCCGTCAACGCCACGTGAAGGGAGGTAGGAGGCTCTGGGTGAAAGCTTCCTGCCACGATCCCCCCATGGAAGGCTCACCCCGTCTTCCTGGGATGCAGATAAAGACTGTGTCCAGAGCCGGGCACAGCTGGCCCAGGGCAGGGAAAGGCTCCCCACGCCTGCCTGAGAGCAACACCAGCCTCTCTTCTCGGGAGAAGAGCGCCCAGGTCGCTGGCTCTTGGGAGAGTGTGTCTCCTGACTCTGGGTTCGGACGTGACCCACCACCTGTGAGCAAGGCAGCCTCTGGCTCCATTTCCTCGCGGGTAGAATAGAGCCGGCTTCGCTGGGTCCTCACAAGTCGTGGGGTGACACAGGACGAGCGTCCTGCGCATGGCAGGCATGTCGTAAGTGCAGAGTTTATTCTCTGCTATTATTCATTAATTACTGTATTACCTTCTATACAAACACTGTAACCCTGGTTTGCCCACCCCTGTATTAGCTGCTGTTTCTATTATAATGGTCAGATCCCTGACCCATCAAGAGGTTTGTTTTATTGGGGGGGGGGGGGGGGGAACGACTTCCTTGTGAAACCAGGGAGTTCCTCCTGGCCCTCTGTCCGCCCAGGGCCATTGGGTATTTATAGCATCATTCGCGGGCATACAGAATTATGAGCTTAAAAAGCAGCCTGCCACATCTGGTCAAACCTTGAATTACCTCACCCCTACTGCCATGGCCAAATGATTTCATGGGCCTTATATGGCCCGTGGGCCGGGCGTTCCCACCCCTGCTCTACTGGGGCCTCCACCGTGTCCTCCAGGCAGACCTCTGAGGAAGGTGCATGCGCCCGGCTCCCAGCTCCCGTTCTGAGCGCCCACCTCACGGAGCCTCCGCTTCCTCTGCGGGGAAGGAGCCTGCAGGCCCCGCCCACCCGTGAGACTCCGGTGCAGAGCTCTGCCTGGGCCCCACGAGCCGCGTGCTGGCAGCAAGCGTGTGACGTGGCCCGCGTGCTGTCACCGTCCATGTCTGACCCCCTCGCTAACCTGCTCACCACGCTGCAGGCCGTGGTTATGGATTCAGACTTCGGGATCAAGTAAAACCAGGGTCAAATTCTGGGCCTTCTGCTTAAGCTGCAAGCTCCCTAAACACTGCAGCCTTCGGTGTCCTCCCCCCACACACGTGCGGTGAGGGTCAGGCGTGACACATGCAGCATGCGTGGCCCAGGCTTGCCAGCTGTTGCCAGCTCCGGGCAGTCATGGGCGCAGCGGCCAGCAGGCGTGTGGAGGGACGCAGGCTCCCGGGAGCCCTGTGCCCGGAGCACAGCCAACAGCTCATTCCGGCCGGTGCTCGCAGCGGTCCTGCGGTCAGGTCCTGTGCCACGAATTAAATTCCCTTCTCTGCCTTGTTCTAAAGCAGCGGTTCTCAACCTGTGGGTCGCGACCCCTTTGGCAGTCGAACGACCCTTTCACAGGGGTCGCCTAAGACCATCCTGCATATCAGATATTTACATGACGATTCATCACAGTAGCAACATTACAGTTACGAAGTAGCAACGAAAATAATTTTATGGTTGGGTCACAACCTGAGGAACTGTATTTAAAGGGCCAGAAGGTTGAGAACCACTGTTCTAAAGGTAGCCGTGTGTCTGTGACGTTCCCCAGGCTGCTCCTTCAGACCCAGAGCCGTGCGTCGGACCGGGGGTGGGGGAGGGGAGCGGGGGGGGGGGTGGGGAGCGGGGTGGGGGGGAGGGTTTGAGCCATCAGGTGCTAACAGGCAGCTTCCCCACCTCATCCAGGCAGCCTGGACAGCCTGGACAGGGGCCGCTCCCACCCCGTGAACCGGGCCCCTCCCCCTGCACCCAGTCCAGCTGGCACACAAGCTCAGACACAGCAGGCAGGACAGACGAACAGACACAGGAGAAAGGCATGGATTCCACCTGGCAACTTGCTTTAGGCCTTGGTAGGCCAAGCCGAGTTCTCCGTCTTCATTCAAATAGCCCCAGTCCTCAGTCTTGCTAGAAATAAAGGACACAGAGACACAGGGCGTCCAGTGCAGAGGAAAGAAACAGGCAGAGAGCCCAGCAAAGCGAGGCGAGTCCGGCCGAGGGCTGGGAACCAGAAGGGGGAAGGCTCACCAAGTTGGGGCCCCGGTCCTTCCCCTGCTGTCTGCAGCGCGTGGGCGCCCGCAAAGGGCCACCTCTCCCCCAAGTCTCCTGTGGGACTCGCTATCCACACAGAAGGGAAAACCCGTGGCCGAGGAGCGAGCAGCGGGGCACCGGTGCGGGTAGTTCTGTGACCAGCAGGGGCTCGGGCTGGGCGGGCCTTACACGTTCTCACTCAGCGTCCTTTGCCCTTTCAGGGGGAGTCTTCAGGAGCAGAAAGGGAGGACCCGGGGATGCAAACAGGGAGGGGAGGCCCCAGCGCCCTGGGACCTGCGGGCACGCGGCGGGCCAGGGAAAGCAAGCAGACTGCATGCTCGCCTGCTTTCCAATGGCATTCCCTCTCACTACCTACGGGCAAAACAATGAACGCATCTCAACCCCAGCCCTCGCTGCAGTCTTGCAAAAAGCAGCAGCTAATGAAGACTTGTGATGAGAACTGATCTTCCCCCCTGGACCATGGGACTGGGGGTTGTTAGTCCTGTTTACTCCACTTGCAAATTCTTGTGCCCTCTCCAGATGCCAGCAGGCAGCGCCTGGAGGTCAGGCACATGTCACATGCACCTCTGCCATGTCCCTCTCCACCGCGGACAGCCTGGCACGCGGGAGACGGCCAGAGGCCAGCGGGCTGGGTGGCTCAGAGGCCAGCGGGAGGGGTGGGGGTTGCGGGCAAACCCCTCAGGATTCTGCCCCTTTGTCCCCTGTTCCTAGGGCCTCTGCTCCGGGGGAACCTCCTGCTGGTTGGAGCCCAACTTTCCTGGCAGGAGCTGCAGCCACGCTGCCTGTATAAGGACCAGCCCGCCCTTCCTAGCTCCCGGGGAAAAGCAGCCGTCCCCAGGAGGGTCTTGGCCGTGGTCAGCCTCTGTGCGGCCCGTCAGGCTGTGTGCGCCATCCAGGGGATGTAGCTACCATTCCCTCTCCCAGGGCTCAGCCGCCCGAGGAAGGGCCCACCCTCCAGGGCTCCCAGGCTGCTCACGTCAGCACCGGGCCCTCGGAGGAGCCTGCCTGGCAGGAGGAGGGAGGTGCGGCGAGCACAGCTCTAGGGCTACTTGAGGCCTCTGTCCCGGTCCTGCTGCTCACTGTCAGGCTTGTTCTCTCTCTGGTCAGGCCGTGGGGGAGGGCTGCCAACAGGCTTATCCTGGGCTCCCCTCCTACCCAGGGCTCCTGCCCACAGATGTCCAGAGCCCTCACTGGCCCCCAGACACTGCCTTTGCTTGAGGCTTTCTGCTGGCCCCTCCTGTGCCAGCTGCCTGTGTGTCCCCTTGATCCCTGCAAAACCCAGCAGTGACCGGGGCCATGGAAGAGGAGCTGACAGCTCAGCACCGCTCCCTGCGCAGGTACTGCCGCTTCCACTTCAGGAGGCAGGGCCTCTGAGTAGCCCGGGCTGTGACCCACCGCACTCTCTGGCGGGGCTGAAGGGACCCAGGGCGCCCTCACTCCCACACGCCAGCCCTCTAGCACACACGTGGGCACAGCAGGATGCAGATGACTTGCCTGATGCTGAGCTAGACCAGGTGGTGTCCGGTCCCTGGTCTAAAGCACCTTCCCTGCCGCCTCTCTTACAGCGTCCTCGCAACCCCGACGTTCCCAGGACAGCAGACGCTCCAGCCCTAACGCTCTCCAGGGAGGGGCAGGTGTGTGGCCGGGCTACCCAGGGAGAAGCCGGCACTAATCTCCCCGCCACCAGCCTCAGCGGGAGACACAGAGTTCCTCCTCCTGTAACGTGCCAGGTGTTGTGCACAGAGATGAGTAGAGAACCCTGCAGCCCCGGTGCAGCCCCGTCACCCCGCGGTGCTCGGGAAGTCAGGCGCCCGGGGAAATGAAAAACCAGTGGACCGACTGGCGTCCACCCTTTGTTCCCAGATGAGAGAGAACCAAATCCTCCACAGAGCGTCGCCCTCTCCCTCCTCCTCCCACACACCATTAGGGGCAAAGGCTGAGGAGGGAGCGCCACCTGGTGGCAGGAGAAGGAAGACCCCAGACAACTCAGCTCCTAGGAATCTGCTAAATGTTAAGTGATGTCAATCAATCAACAAATACTCATGGCCATACGCCCCTGTGCTAAGCCCATTCCCAACGAGACCACAGACACACTGTGAAAGTTACCAAGTGAAAACGGTTTTGAACTTGGGGACCATGGGCCCTTTAGAGAGGCTGAGGTTGGGTATGGGTCGTTTCGTATCCCTCTAGAAATATAATCAGAACCCACTGTATGTTTAAGCTCTTCCCAACCCCTCTTCCCCATCACCCCCACACGATACAATTTAGGTTTAAACCAGAACACCCTCCATTACAGGAAAACAGTAGGAGAGGAAAAGTGACTCTGTGCTCAGGGCAGCCCCCATGGTGACGAGATGTCCTCGCCAGCTGGACTCCAGGGGTCAGTCCGAGTCCTCCTGTCCAGCCTGGCAGGCCTACTCCCTGCTGGGATCCTGCTGGGATCCCCCAAACTGAAGACAAGCAAACCCTTGGGGTCACCCCAGGGCCAGCGGCCCCTTTCTGTGCTTGTCAGTTTCTCAGGCTGGCTCTTGGTTCCCTATCGCTCCCTGGGCTTGCTGCGAATGCGGTGATTTTAAGATATCAGAAAAGTTATTTTTATGTTATCACCATCATTACTGCTGCAAGGGAAGGCAAGTCCAGGGCATTAAGCAGCTCCTAGAAACCTATTTTGACAGCCACTGGGTGAAGAAAAAGGGAGCTGAAAACGGTGATGGTTCCCACGATCAGAAAGATGCTTACACTTGCTAGTCAGGGCCAGCCATGCCCGCTTCGCTCTCCCTTACATTTTAAGCACCCCCTGTGCTCTTTTTTCTCTTCGTCTCATTTCGTGTCGTCGCCCAAGATCATGTAAAATGACTAAATCTTGACTAGCTTTAGCACTGTGAGGTTCACCTGCCTTTTCTTCTCTCCCTCCTGAAGGGAAAAGAATTACATCTCTATTGAAATGAATTTAGTTTCCTCCTGGGGTCCTTCCAGTTACCTACACAGTGGGCTGGAGGCAGGCCAGCCTGGAAGCCAGGCCTCCTGGATGCTACCTTAACGCGGCTACAGGACGCTCAACCCCCCCGGGCCTCAGTTTCCCCTCTGCAGAAAGGGGTGAGATGAAAAGCTGTGGAAATCAGGCCACAGAGTCAGCGATCCTGGGCCATGCCTGCAGGCTGCACGTTGCTCTCGAGCGCCACCTGCTGGCATTTCCTGGAAGTGCGTGCTGTTCTCAGCAATCCCGAACAAATGCTTAGGGGTTGCTCCGCATTCTGTACATTGAGGTTGGGAGAGACAGGCAGCCCGGGCAAAGGCCAGCCGCCAGTGCCCACAGAGGCACAGAGGCACAGGTGGTGATAACGGGGACGACCACACGCTCACCACGTGCAGCGAGTGCTTCTAACTCGCGGAATCTCAATCACCATCGGAAGCATGCGGCTCTGATTGCCCCCAACTCGCAGGGGAGGACAAGGAGGCACTGAGCGGCCAGGAAGCAGTTACTGCGCAGTAAGCGGCTGGGCGGGGGAGTGCACATTCCCCAGCGTCCGCCACAGCCCGGGCCCTGCTGCTCCTGCAGGCAGTCACTCCTGCCTGGTAGCTCATCCTTGAGGAGGGCCCGGAGGTGGTTGGTAACTAAAACCCAGGGCAGTCTCATTCTAGCCGACATGGTAGCGGCCAAGTTCTCCGGCCCAACCTCTGGAGTGCCTGGCGTGGGTTCTAGGGGTGGTATTGCAGCCAAGAGCTGGGCAGGCCCCACCTCCTGCTTAGTGGACCACATGTGCAACTTCCCTCTCAGTGAGAAAAGCCGCTCTTTCCCTCTCCTCAGCCCCCAGGGAAGCTCCCTTCCCCAGTGCTTGCAGGGACCTGGCTCCTGCCGCTCCAGGTGCCACTGGAGTCCCGCCGAAGCAGCAGCAGGCTTCCTAGGGTGATGGCTCACTGCCTGCTCCTCCTCACTCATCTCCCAGAACAGAGGAGACACCCTGAGGAGAGCACAGTCAGGAGCGTGCAGTCAGTGCATGAGGAGCGCACAGTCAGTGCACGAGGAGATGAGGTTGGGCAGGACCCCTTTGCCAGTGACGGCTCCAGGTACAGACCGCGAGGCGGGACCTACCTGTTCGTCTGGCAGACCCCGTGATAGGCCTCGATGGCATCTTCCTGATCCACGTGCTTTTCACTGTTGGGCCAACTGGTCCTGGCATTAATGTTCGGCTCCTACAGGTCCCGGGGGAAATAAAGAAATAACTCCGGTTATACAAATAGCTGTCACGAAATGACTTCATATCCCCGGAGAAATTCAAAACACGAATCCAAGAAGACACGCAGCCTCTGTTCCCTGCAGCGTCACTGACCACAGCCACGACCTGGAGGCGGACACGTGCCCGCCAGTGGACGAGTGGACAAAGGACATGTGGTGTCTGTATGCGGTGGCATGCTGGCCACGAACAAGAATGAAGCCTGACAATTTGTGACAACGTGGATGGACCAAGAGGGTGCTGTGCTGAGTGAAACGAGTCAGACAGAGAAAGAGAAATTCCATATAATTTCACGTATTTGTGGAATCTAACGAGCAAAGGAAACATCCCCTGTGCTCCTTTTTCTCTTCGTCTCATTTCGTGTCGTCGCCCACGATCATGTAAAATGACTAAATCTTGACTAGCGTTAGCACTGTAAGGGTCACCTGCCTTTCTTCTCTCCCTCCTGAAGGGAAAAGAATGACGTCTCTGTTGAAATAAACTAAACAGAAACAGACTCAGAGATGCAGAGAGCAAAGTGAGGGTGGCCAGCTAGGAGCGTGGTGGGGGGCTGGGTGGAAAAGGTGTGGGACGAAGAAATACAAGTTGGCGGTGAGAGAACCGTCGCGGGGATGTGAAGTGCCACCCAGGGAACACAGTCAACGATAACGTGATGCCTATGGTGCCAGGTGAGTCCTAGAATTATCGGGATCACTTCATAAGTTATATAATTTTCTAACCACCATGCTGCACACCCGAAACTAATGCAAAATAACACTGAATGTCAACTGTAATAGGAAAAAAAAAAAAAAGGAATGACTTTCTACCCAGAGGATAAAGCGAATCTTTGGGGAGTGGCGCGAGCCCAGGACCACCTCAGGTCCCAGCAGTTAGCCGGGCAGGGACGTGACTTTAGGTCCCGTTGGAAGAATGGCGAGGCCTGGCTGGGGAAGGCACGGGGTGGGGGTGTGGGGTACGATGCGAGGACAGTGTCCCTGGAGGAGAAAGCACTCCAGGCCCAGAGGACGAGACCCAGATCTGTCTGCTTGGAATCCTCCACACCAGTGGTTCTCAACCTTGGCTGCACATTAGAATCACCTGGGAATCTTTTTAAAATCCTGATTTCTGGGCCTCATCCTCTGGAAATTCTGTTTCTTTGTTACTAATGTTGTGGCCCCACCCCCATAACAAAGAAACAGAATTTCCGGAGGATGAGGCCCAGAACTCAGGATTTTAAAAAGATTCCCAGGTGATTCTAATGTGCAGCCAAGGTTGAGAACAACTGCTACACACCCATTCCTGCCACCCTACCCCACCCCATCCTCCCGGCTCCGAAGCCACCAGCCTGACCCGGTGGCCTCTGCCCTTCCCTCCGCTCCACACTCTGTCCCAGACGCTGAAACATGGGGAACAAATGCTGAGTTGGACTTGTCACCCTGAGAGGACCAAGAAAGAGCAAAGACTTTCACCTCAAAATTTAAGTAAAGAGCAAGGGGCAAAGCACGAGGTGAAACACCAGGCGAGGGGGGGAGGGGGGGAGACGATCTGCTGGGACCCTAGTTCCTTCTGGACATGCTCGTATTGAGAAATGTTTTGAGGATTCTAGAAACTTGTCCCAACACACCCACCCACCGAGGCCGCCCTGCTGTTACCGCGCTCTTGCCCGCCAGGCGGCGCTGGTCGGCACTGACGATCTGGGTCCTCAGGATGAGCACCTCCTCCTTGCGGACCTCGAGTTCCTCGTTGGCCAGTCGGAGCTGGTTCAGCAGGAGGCCGTAGCCGTCGGGGGAGCCGGGGGCGGCGTTGTTCTGGGTGGCCTGGTCGGCCACGGCCTTCCTCAGCTCGTTCAGGTCATTCTTCAGCTTCTTGTTTTCTGACTCCAGCTCCTGCCTCTGGAAGACGGCCGAGCGACAGGCTCCGTCACTCCTGAGCCCACAGCGCTCTCCCCACGCGGGTCCCCCTCCGCCTCCCTCACCCAACCTGCCCATCCTCCCGAGGAACCGAGAGCAACTCGGTCGGTCGGGATCAGGGCGTGACCCGGGGCTGTTCTGGGCAACGCAATGGTTCCCAGAGTTATGTGTGGTCCCATCACACTAACCGACCCTGGGAGATGGGAGACGTTCCCAATGACGAGGCTCGGGGAATGGGAACGGGGGTGGGGCAGCTCTGATGCCCCTTTCTGCACACGCCCCCCTGCAGGGGGCCCACTCCCCCATCACAGCAGGAACGCAGGCCCCTGTGCCCTGGGCCTCTGGCCTCCCTCCCTCTACCTCCCCACCTCTCCCGGGCCAGCACTGGACACAGCGGGATCCCTGCCTCACATCTCTCCCTGAAAATCCTGATGGTTTGTTCAAAGTGGTTTTATCCCACTGGCCACATTTTATTAGAACTGAAACCGAATCCGGCAGGTAAGACATGTGACATAAGAAACGCGTGTTAATGCCCTAGCTGGTTTGGCTCAGTGGATAGAGTGTCGGCCTGTGGACCCAAGGGTCCCGGGTTCGATTCTGGTTAAGGGCACGTGTCTGGGTTGCCGGCTCAGTCCGCAGTGGGGGGCGTGCAGGAGGCTGAAAATTGGTGATTCTCTCTCATCATTGATGTTTCTCTCTCTCTCCCTCTCCCCGCCTCTCTGAAGTCAATAAAAATATTTTTTTAAAAAAGAAAAAGGAATACGTATTGAGTCTCTGGCCCCAGTTCCTGGCACAGAGCCTCTAAAATTCTTTTGTCACATCCTGAGTGTGTATGCTAATGAGGTGACTCTTGGAGGATGCGGATTGGCTGCCAGAGGAGCCAACCTTGTGATTAGAAAGCCCCACCCACTGACCTCCAGAAAGGGAGGGGGAGGGCCTGGAGATTGCCTTAAATGCCAATAAACTGATCAATGGGGCCTATGCGATGGAAGCACCATGTAAACCTTAAATGATGGAGAGCTTGGGGCTGTGAGCACACGAGGTGCTGGCAGGGCTGGGCCTGCAGAGGCCGCGGAGGCGCCCATCTCCCCTCATACCCGTCCTCTGCCCCCTTCCATCGGCCACAGCATCCTTATGCGAAACCAGCAAAGGGCTTTCCTGGTTTCTGTGAGCTGTTCTCACAAACGACCGAACCTGGAAGGGGGGGGGGGGGCGCTGATTTGTAGGCAAGATGGACGGAAGCGTGGGCAACCTGGGAGCTGCAAATGTGATGGCGTCTGAAGTGGGGACAGTCCTGTGGGACTGAGCCCCCAGCCTGGGGTCTGTGCTGACTCAGGTAGTCAGGGCCAGAGAGGAGGTCAGTGGCAGGACACCTGGGCGTCCACAGAGACGTGGACAATTGCTTGGTGTGGAAAACCCCAGGTTTGGGGTCAGAAGGAGGGAACAGTTTCCTGTTAACATATATGACAGCTCCTCGTAGTAAAAACAAAATTCCCTTCATTTCGAGGACATGGTGTGGGTATGGCCCTGCTTATTAGCAGCCTTATGGGAACCTCCCCGGCGGGAGTCTGAGCCTCACCTTCAGCGTATTGTAGGCTAGATCTGTGTCCTGGTCCAGGTCGATGTCGTTCTTTGGTGGCTCCACCTGCCCAGACAGAGGCAGAACGGTGAGCACAGACGCCCAGCTGTGGTCAAACTGTTTCCCCCACACACGTGTGCTCCCTCCCCACCTGCCACACGCAGCTCGCCACTTCAGGCCACCAGGAGGCGCTCCATAAGCATCTTCCCCAGCCCCCCAACTTTACTCCTTGAGGCTCACAGGCACCTGAATACGTGTAACACCCTGTTAGGGGTTCAGTCCCCCCAACAGATAGGATGAAATCCCAACCCCTGTTGAATGTCACCTAGTCTGGAAACCAGGTCTTTGCAGATGTTATCCAGTTAAGATGCAGGCATTAGGATGGGCCTCATCCACTAGGGCTGTCCTTTAAGGAAGGGAGGACAGACAGATGCCAGGATGCCAGAGGTGAGCTGCCACAGCTCAGACAGAGCGCGGAACAGGCTCCCCGAAGCCTACAGGGAACACGGCCCCGCGGACACCTTCATTCCTGACCTCCGGCCTCCGGAACTCGAGACAGGAAGTTCCTGTTGTGGTGCTTTGTTTCGGCAGCCCCGGGAACCTAGCACTGTGAGACTCAGGTCCTTGTTTAAGAGGTTAATTAACGCATCATAATGATGTAATTATTAATGAGGTGAAACCCGAGCTACTCAGGTGAAGGGGGCATGTGTGCACATGTGTATTCTGTTTTCCCAGTTACATCTCTGAGCCCTTGGGGAGGAGCCCAATTCCTCATCCACCCCACAGCAGACAGGGTGGCAGGCGCCCCCCCCCCCCCCCAGCTCAGCCAGTGCTGTGTGACACCAGAACTCGGGGCTGGTGGGTGTGGCCCAGGTGACTACCAGGCCTAGGAAAGGGAGCCGGGCAGATGGGAAAGGGACAGCCTGGCTGGCTGTCACCGCGGCCCCTCCTCAGGGCAGGCGCAGTCAATCCCACACAGAGGTACATCTCAGACGTCCCGGCATCCCTTCTGCAAAGGCTGGGCTCTGTAGCCGAGACCCCGGCCATCTCTCTCCAGAACAAAGACCCTCAGGGTTCTTGGGACCCAGGGCAGGTCCAAGGGCACGTCCTCAGAAAGCCTGGTCTCGGGGTGCTGCAGAGGGATCCATCACCCCGCCCCCCGCCCCCTCTTACTAAGCCCCGTGGGAGACAAGGCCGCTCCCCTTGAAGAGAGACCCTCGGTGCATCCACAGGGCTATGGGCCACACCTTCAGCTCCGACTCTTGCCGGGTCAAAGAGATGCCCTTTCTCATTTGGTATCCAGACAAACAAAAGATGTAAAGCCAGGATTTCAGAATGACGAGGCCTTTCCGTGGTGGGGACCGGGGAGCGAGTCCTAGGGGCAGCCGGGTGGGCCGGAAACCTGTGAGCCAGGCACCGTCCGCTGCCGTCCGTGCAGTTTTGAATATATCTGATCTGTGCTCACCTGTCAGGGCAGCTTTGCTTCTAACTGAGCGAGTCATTTATAAACCTAATCTTTTCCCTTGTCATTCGGAATCCAGCCCCCCCGAGACATTTAAATCCATCAAGCAAGATTTGCCTCCCCTCCCCACTTATGGCTCAGAAACCCCAGGAATAAACTAGCATCGGTGACACATCCGATCGGGAAGGGAAGTCAGGTGTTGCAGAAGGAGACTGTGTAGGGGAAGCAGGGGGAGGCAGGGCTGGGGGGGGGGAGAACGGTTGAACCCCCACAATGGGTAATTCGGATCTGAGAACAGGCCAGAGGCCCTGGACAAACCCACTGTGAGGTCAGCTAAGGATATGACCCGTGTCGGAAACGGTCTTGCATCGCTTCGAGGGTCCCTATCCCTCCCCAGCAATAGCAGACCGCTCTCCCCCATGTCACCCTCAGCTCCCATCTGTACCCACCCATAGTTACTTCAGCACGACAATGCTATTTCCTATTCCCCCTGCTTTACCCGGTCCTCCCGAACTAGCTTACAAATTCCTCATGGCTGGGGCTTCCTCTTACACCTTTATCTCCTCTCACTCAGTGAACATTTCAAATATGCATTCAGGTGCCCAGCGGGGCCTTGCTTTGGAGCGAGTGGCATGTCTGGGGACGCTAAGGCTTCCACACAAGCCACTGAGATAACAGGGCTGTGGTGAGGGTGGTCGTGGGAAGGAGGGGGGTGATGCAAGCTGGGCTGCCCGCCCAATGGGGCTGGACGCAGCCGGGAAGGGGCACTCGATGTTCTCTGCTCTGATTTCACTTCTCGTATTTATACTTTGACCCCACACCCTGCTCCACTTCCCAAGTGGGTGACGGACGGCTCGCTGGCCTCGCCAGTGGAACCCTTTGCCCTGGGGGCACTGTAACCCTTACTTCCGTCCATCCAGGGTGATGTGGGTGGCACACGTGCAATGATGACGTCAACACAAGACAAAGTTCCTCTCTGAGACCCACAGGGCGACACCCCCGCTGAGCCCCGGGCGAGCGGGCTCTGCGGCCGCAACCTCCGCACCTGGACTTTCCTGCCGTCCTGCTGCTCTCTCCTCTCCAGCTGCGCCTGCAGCTTCCTCCGCTCCTGCTCCAGCTCCCGCACGCGCTTCTGCAGCTTCAGGAAGACCGTCATGTCCAGGGCCGCCTTCTCCAGGCCGGTTTCCTTCGGAGGAGGGTGGGGCAGGGAAGAGGAGGCCTTAGGAGAAGTGCCCCGGGGGACGCACAGCACCTCACTGCCTCCCGCCACCTCGCTGTCCCCCCTCTCCTCCCAAACATCAAATCACGTCTTGGGTACAAAGACAGCCCCAACCGGCCATCACTTCTCATGTGAACATCGTGCTCCGGGCGCATTTCTGTCTGCGTAACATCTGAGTCTCAGCCATTTACATTCCTCCTGTGTGAGCCACGTAAGATGACTGATCATATATCCAAGAACAAACAGATGAAGACACAGCCATTTCATTTGGAAATTAAAAGAGCTCCCTTCTGGAAAACAGTCTCATCCCAGAGGAACGGTAAAACGCGGGACGTCTGCTTCCTGATGAGGGACCAGCGTGGTTACCAATCACGGCAGGTGGGCTGCCACCCCCACAACCGCGCCTGGAAACCGCCAGCAGGCACCCTGCCCCGGACCCCCTGCTCCTGCAGCTCTCACAGCTCCAGTCCCCACATTTCCCCTTAGATCCACACCCGGGGTTGCCCTCCTGAGCTCTGTCACATGTGGGGTGTATCTGGATGAGCCTATCCATGTGGATCTTTTAAGCACACGTATGGACATATGTGACAATGGAATTTGGTTTGCCCAGCATTTAATGAGGGCTTAGTGCACAGCCAGGACTGTGCCTGCTGCTCTGGCCATACAGCCACACGGAAGTGCTCCTGTCTGCATGTGATGGCCACACACACACACACATACCCATGGGTGGTGCGTCTAGAGTCCAGGCTGACTGCGAGTGCAGTGGCAAAACCAAGGCCTGAAGCCAGCGTTTATAAAATGCCTACTAAGTGCAGATGGCAAACAACAAACTGCACTTTTATTCCAAGGCCCTCCTTTTCTATCCTCCTATTCTTTTTTATTTTAAATCATTTTTTAAGTATTTTTATTGATTTCAGAGAGGACGTGAGAGGGAGAGATAGAAACATCAATGATGAGAGAGAATCATTGACTGGCTGCCTCCTGCACTCCCCTGCCCCCCCCCCCAATGGTGATTGAGCCCGCAACCTGGGCATGTGCCCCGACCAGGAATCAAACTGTGACCTCCTGGTTCATGGGTCGACACTTAACCACTGAGCCACGCTGGCCGGGCTCTCCTATTCTTTACTCCATCACTCACTCTCGTAACCTTTATTTTTCCTGACAGCACTGTTGTGCCTGCAATTATATCACAGACTTCCTCCATCAGCTCATTCCCGTCCATTCCCCATCAGACGAGCTCCATGTGCCCAGGACCTTCGCACTCTGTCACCGCTGTTTCCCCAGCACCTGCCAGCAACACCCAGCACAGGCGTGCTACACACACACACACACACACACACACGCACACGCTGCTATAACTGCCCCTCCCCCACACCCACCTTCACCTACTCCCTACGGTTCATACGCTCTCGGTTTTCTCCTTTTCAAAGGCCAGAGGAAAAACTGTGTCTTTGTACCTCTGACAAAATTACACATCGACTGATAAATCCACGGTGTGTACATTATGTAGCGACTCTAAGAGGCCATTACTGACAAAAATACAGTCAAAATGACTAGTATGTGTTGTCCTTCGAGTGTTACCCAGCCTCTGAGTCAGGGAGGAAAACGTTCTTGCGCATTTATGAGACTACTGTATGCACTGAGTGGGAACAACCAATTACACCCATTCTAATGGCTGAGCTGTTCCTTCTGTGCCACTTCACGTCTCTGCAGTCACTCCTCAGCTTTGCAAGAGGCACCCGGCCCTACCTCCTTCCTTCCTTCCTGGAGGGCGGGCAAGGCGAACGGCTGTGCGTCCAACAGCAATGCACTGTTTTGCACGGCCTGCTCACTCCAGAGTATTGCCTGTACGTCACTGCAGCCCAAGGGCCTGCTGTCGGGAACGAGCCCCCTGGGACTCTGGTCACCACCAACCGAAGAGGAAATCCCTGTGGGGCTCCCCGCCTGGGCACAGGGCGAGGCCTGCCGCTCACCTCCACCTGCTGCAGGGCGTCCTCCGTGTCTCCCACCTCAGACGTGGAGATGGAGGGGTAGTTGGAGTCCGATTCTAAGCTACTTTGGTTTGACGGGTTCCGCTTGTGGCCTGGGGTTTGCTGTTTCAGGAGACAAATGTGAAAATGAGCTCATGTGCTAAGAACTGTGACTTTCCACGAAAGGAGGCGCTGGAGGTGGACTCTGCCTCGCTGGTGAGCGCTGGGTTCCCTGGTCTCTTAACGAAATACACCCCCACCGAGGCCAGTCTCTCCGGGGAGGTCTCCCTTCCCCCCGTCCTGCGGAAAGAGCACAGTCCTGTCCCGGGACCCCGCTCCCACACCTGCCCTCAGGCCCCACGTCAACCTGCCTCCACCAACCGGCTTATGAAAACCGTCATCTTGTTAGAAATAGAGGCTACCGTCTATACTGTTCATTGAAAAATGCCTCCCCGCCCCTCCACCCCCTGCATCTGATTTGGAAACTGGTCTTGGTAGCAACATCTTAGATTTCTATATTCCTATGCAGCTTCTCTTCATGGTTTCTACGCAATTAACTAGTCCAGTGGTCGGCAAACTCATTAGTCAACAGAGCCAAATATCAACAGGACAACGACTGAAATTTCTTTTGAGAGCTAAAGTTTTTAAACTTAAACTATATAGGTAGGTACATTGTTATTAACTTAATTAGGGTACTCCTAAGGCTTAGGAAGAGCCACACTCAAGGGGCCAAAGAACCCCATGTTTGGCCGACCACGGAACTAGTCAGTCTTGCTTGAATGTGCATTTCTGGAGGGAGTGTTTGTAGGTGGTGAGAAACCATGACAAGTCGTGAAATATGACATTGCCACGTGGAGAGCATTTCGTCAACGATTAGGGAAAACGACCAGACGCCGGGACCTCTCAGTGTGCACACAACTGCAGCCGCGGTCAGAACTCCCCGCTCTGTTACTAAGGCAACATGGATGCTCCCCCAACAGGAAACGAAAGAGAACACATCCACTGACACTCCTGAGATCTCGGCGAGATCCCAGAGCCGGGAAAGGCCCCGTCCTGGGGCGTGACAGCCGGCCCAGCTCTCCTCTGTGATGCCTCCCAGGAAAGGCCGGGACACGGACACCACACAGATGCCCGAGCCTCGCGTGTCGGACGCTGCCCGGGGCTGGAGCTGCCCGAGACCAGGCGGGGAAGCCGGAGGGGCAGCAGGACCGCCCGCCCTCCTCGCCTTTATAATGGTCATCTCGTCCCGGAGGTTGTCGTATCTCTGCTCCAGCCGGGAGTACTCCTTCACAAGGTTCTGGTACCGGGACCGCTCCTCCTCCAGCTCCTTCTTCACCAGCAGGTTCTCCTGGGCGGAGCCGCGCGCCAAGTCATCTGGAAGCAAGACACGCATCCTTCAGAACACCCCGACATCCCCACGCGTGTTCTGACTCATGCTTTATGGTCGGCCCCTTGTCAAAGGCTGCCCACGCCAGCCCCTGGCACAGACACGGCGAGCTGACCCAGCGCCCTCACCTGCCTCCCAGCCCGGGAAAGCTTGCTCTAGCGGCTTACGCTTTAAGGGGGGAGAAAGCCGACCTGCCAGTGGGGCGTGGGGGGCAGACCAGGCAGCACACGGGTCAGCTCCCTGGCTGGACACACCAGCGGCTGCTGGAGCATCCCTGCAAGAACCTGGGCTTTGTTCCTGATTTCTCTCCTGTTCCGGGTCTTTCTAGTTCCTGGAGTTCAGGGAGGTTCAAGGCAATAAGGCAATGAGGCCAAAGGTTAGGGGGCTTTTCTCACACCAAAACGTATTACTGGGGGACGGGGGGTGGGCAGGAGGGCGACAGGGGGAAGAGTGATCTGCTGGAGGCCACACTGAGTCAGGCGAGAACCGGGGCTGGGACCCCACGGCTCCTCTGTGGCCAAGCAGGATGTGGGGGTGACAGCACCAGAGGGGCTGGTGGGTGCTTGAGACAGGTGACCTGGATGTGACCCACAACCCTCTCCTCAGCAAACGGAAACAGATGACCCCCCGGTAGAAGGAAGCACGGCAGGAACGGTGATGCTAACGAGGAATTTAACAGCAGCAGCCACTGGCCCCTGAGTGCTCGCTGCGTGTCCATCACCAGCGTAAGCGGCCGGCGCAGTCTCTACTCCTCCCTGAGCCCCGCAGCTCTGTGCCCGGATGCCCATTCTGCAGACGGAGAGGCCGAGGACGGCACTGCTCAAGGCCCGCAGGAGGGACCCCTGACTCCAAGCCCCAGGCACTACACTGTCCGTTACCCGTGTGTCTCCACGTGAAACGGAGGGCCCTCCTCCTGCACCTCCCGTCGACAGAAGCCCCTTCCCCACGGCAGCCCTGATGAACCCACGCTGGCTGGGCCCCTGGGGAGATCGCCGCGGGAAAGAGATGAAAGCTCAACGTGAAGACTCGAGCTCTTTGGAGCTTACCTTTCGACTGGCTCAGGATTTGGTGGTTAAGCTGTTCTTTCTCATCTTTCAAGAGAGCGTTTTCCTGCTCCAGGTCTGCGACGCGCTGAAAGAGAGGATCACAGAGCACGTGTTTCCCCAGAAGCTGGCAAAGGCGAGGCTCCTTTTGTGGGGTCTGACTTTTAGCTGGTTGAGTTCAAATGCTCTTTTGATGTAAGAAAATGGAACCAGGGAAAGGTGCTTTCCTTTCCAGGGAAAATGTGCAATGAAAGACAAAGTCCATTAACCATCTGTATACCATAAGCGTCTACAGACGCAAGCGGAGGACTTTTTAAATTAAATTCAAAATATCGTGGCAGCTAACTGGTTAAAACAAGACAGTCGAGCTCGTCACAGTTTAGGGTCTCCCGGTGCCCACAAAACCCCAAGCTCCCCTGCCTTGCTCAGGCCCTAGGCAAGATCCCAGTTGGCTTTACTGCAAAAACTGACAAGCTGATCTGAATAATCACATGGAATATCTAGGGATCCAGAACAGGCAAAATAATCTTGAAAAAGCACTAGAGAATTCATACTTATAATTTTAAAACTTACTACAAAACTATAGTAATAAGATAGTGTGGAGCTAGCATAAGAAGAGACACAGGGATCAATGGCAAGAACTGAAATCCAGAAATAAAGCCCCCATTATAAGTCAATAAAGAAAGAAAATTTTTTTTCAACAAACGTGGCTGGGACAACTGGATTTTCACAAACAAAAGAATGAAATCGAACTCCTACCTCACACCACATACAAAAATAAGCTTAAAATGTTTCAAAGGCCTAAAGGTAAGCGTTAAAACTATAAAAATCTGAAGGAAACATAGAAGCAAATCTTTGTAATCCACCAGGAGGCACATACTACATAGGAAAATCATTCTTTAAGTGCATCTAATTTGCTATTATTGGAGGCAGTTCACCCCCAATGGCTTCATGAGCGCCTTCAAATTAGTTTGGCAAATCATCGGAATAGCTTGCATTTTCCTTTCCTAGATGCCCAAGCCAAGTCATGGAGAACAGTGACAGAAGCATCCACGTGGGGGGTGCCTTCCACATGGAGCCTAGAGTGGGGCCTGAAGGTCAGGCGGCCAGGAACAGGCTGTCCCCCTGTCCTGGCTGACCTTGGGGCTGGGGGTGATGTCACAGCAGGCTGGGAAGGACGCGACCACGGAACTGGGACTCTGCTTCCCCTAACCGCGCTCTGAGCAGGCAGACGGCTCACCAGGCAGGTGTCACCCGAGAAGGCTCCCCAGGCCCCCCCGTCCTCGTCACTGTCTTCTGGGCACCCCGAGGACAGTCACATCCCTTGGAACTGGAACACGTCCTCGGACCAGTCAGAGCCAATGCCTCACCACTGGGTGGGACACGAAGCTCCATTCCTCCCAGCGCACCCGGCATCACCTCACTTCCCTGCAGCCGCTGTGGTCCAAGACCTCCGCCCGGACTGCCGTCGGGAGACCCAGGTGAGCGCACGCCCCAGGAGTCCTCTGTGTGCGGGAGCCTCATGTCCTCCCCCACCTCCTGCCAGGCTTGATGCGAGGAGGCTGGCGGCCAAGGCGCTGGCACTGCTGTTCTGAGCCATACATCAAAGTGGCACGGGCAGCGTTGCCGTTCCTCCTGCCTGAGCGGTTCTGGAGGTGGGCCCAGCGGTTCTGGAGCGGTCCGGCAGACAGACAGCAGGAGGGACGGTCCCCCCCCTCGCCTCCGCGTCCGCCTCCGCGTCCCGGGGGGCAGACAATGCTTCCCCAGTCACACCTCCCGAGCACTGGCCACCCTGCCTTCCCAGCTGCCTGGCGTGGGGAGTGTGCTGGCAGACAGGGCAGGCGACAGACTTCTGCAGCCAAACGGCCCCCCTTTGCGAGCTGTCAGGGATGCAGACGGCAGAAAAGGACACTTAACAAGAACCAGGAGCGTTCCCCTCAGCAGGATGGGGGGGGGGGGACCTTGACTCTCACAGGCAGTATTCCTGGGAGTGTCTCCTCTCAAAGGTGACCTGGGACAGACCGCCAGAGCCAACGCCGGGCAAACCTGCTCCTGTCAGGCTCACGGCGCCCGGGGAAGTGAAATGAAACGAATGTCCCGCCTCTCCCAGCTCATCTCTGGGGACACAGATGTAGCGCTGGGCTTTTGTTTCTCTCGACTTAATCTTTTCAAGTTCGGTGTTTGCACTGGAGAGCGAGCCAGATGCAAAGGAGCTGGTAGACGCTGTGGAACGAACGGCTGGATGCTGATGGTCAGGAAGGCTCACCGGCTACGGTTGTGACCGCGTCTTAGATGCCGCGCACCTACCACCCAGCAGACAGGACAGGCCCAGGGGCCCTGGGCTCCCGCAGCCACGGCAGGGCAGCCGCAGCCTGACAATGAGGACTGTCACGGTGGGGAGCCCCAAGTTCCCGGATGCCGGTTCTGACACAACATGTGCCGACAGAAATTCCAAATCCATCCGTTAAACATCCCCCGGCAGTCGGCTCGCTCAGCGCCGAGCAGGCCCTGGACAAGCCGGGGGAACCGCTGTCTGGTTACTCAGCGTTTGCCAGGATCGGACTCCGTGCCTTTGACTAGGCCCCGAAGGTGGAGGGGAAAACGCCAGCCGCCCCCTCACACCCCCGGCCTCAGAAATAAAGAGGCTCTGGAGGCCCTAGAGAAGGGATACATTTTGCTTCCACGTTTTTCTCTTCCTGGAGAGAGGCGGACATTGCACTTAATGAATCGTCTTATGCCCGTTGTGCTCCCGGTACCAGCTTGGGGCCTGCACGTTTGGGGTCAGGGAAGGTGCCGTGCTGGTTCTGCCTCGGCATCGACTGTTCCCATGCTCTCAGCGTCCTCGAATTTCCTCTTCCTGCCAGTTCCAGACTCTCATCGTCTGTAAGACCTAGCTCAACGCACTCCTAGGACACAGTAACACCTTTTTTAAAGGAGAGGGGCAGGGTGTCCATTTCTCCATTTTGCTCTGCCCAGGGAGATTTTTGTAAGAAACCGCAGGCTCCCCTGGATGGAGATGTGGATGTTTAAAAGTGTGCTGAGCCCTGGCTGGTTTGGCTCAGTGGATAGAGCGTCAGCTTGCAGACTGAGGGGTTCCGGGTTTGATTCTGGTCATGGGCTCGATCTCCAGTAGGGGGCGTGCAGGAGGCAGCTGATCAATGACTCTCAATATTGTGTTTCTCTCTCCCTCTCTGTTCCTCTCTGAAAGCAATAAAAATATATTTTTTAAGAGCAGTGTGCTGAACCCCCAGTCACAGTGCCCTGGGGCAGCCAGGCAGGAGGCTGGGGGTTGAGTCAGGGCTCTCTGTGGGGTGGAAACGGGAGACCCATATTGTGGATCTGCTGGGTAAAAGGATGTCCTGTGTCTTATCTGACTGGTCCCCTGAGGGAACCCCCTTTTCCGTTTCTCCCAGTGGCACCAGTCTCAAGTCTCCAGTTCTAACCTGGCCCTTCTCCTGCCTCAGACGCCCCTTCTTATTTTTATCCACGTGGAAGGGTTACCATCCACCAGTTCCTAAGGGTCAATGGACAACAGGTGCCATGGTTGGCAGGTGACGGGCTGTGGTCCCGTGTTCCCAGCACAACACACTTCACCCCAAAGGATGGAGTGGTGCGGCAGTCCCGTCACTGTGGAGTGTGGGAGAGAGGGGCAGGGTCCCGGGTCCGTGGAAGCCTCCCGCGGCAATCGGGGCAGCCCTGGTCTGAACAGCTCCCCTGGGAGTGGAGACCGGAGTGTTCGCATCCTGACTTTGGAGATGGGTGTGGGGGTCCATCCCAGGAAGATCTATCTTCTGGGGCGAGCACCCCGACCAGAGTGGGCGAGTCAGACGGAAACCATCAACACTGAGACGCGGCAAACTCCCCAGTGACGAGGACTGAGCACGAACAGGGGCGCGTGGAGGCTGCCTGTCAGCCCTGCAGGCCACGTGGAGAAGAAAGTCGCTACGTCTGCAGGTCCCCCTGCCAGCGAGGACTCAGGCCGCGGGGCGGACGCGGAGACCCCAAAGCCAGCGTGTGCACCCCTCAGCTCATGGCAGAAACTCACCCAGGCCTGAGGGTGCCTGACATCGAGCACAGAGAGACAGTCAGCAGGCGGACGGCCCCCAGGAGGCCACCCACAGCGTGAAGGAGCATCACCTGGAGGGGACGTGCGCGGCCAGCCCCCGTCCGCCGGCCGCCCCTCGGCCCGCCGCCGCCGTACCTTCCGCAGCTCGTCGTTCTCCCGGCTGTGGGCGTCCTCCAGGATCTTGCGCTCGGAGTGGGCCCTCTGCAGCTCCGTCCGCAGGCTCTCCACCTCCTCCTGCAGCCGCAGGCCCACGTCCCCGCCGGGGCTCTGCTGGTAGTGGGCCAGCTCCTTCCTCAGCTTCGTCACCTCCATGGCGTGGGCGGAGGCGGCCGCAGACAGCTGCTCCGACAGCGTCTTGAACTCTTTGTTCTGAGGGGAGACACAGGGAGAGGGGGGAAGAGGCGGAGAGCAGCGTTATCTGGCCGGAAAATACATGAAGGCGATTAGAAATAAAAAGGACGGTTCAAGGTGGAACTAAACCTCACAGTCCCTGCATGCTCGTGTGCCTCCTGGCAAGTCCCTGACGAAACTCTTTGTGGGGCGGGGAGAGCGAGAGGGAAACAGAAGTCACCAGCACGGATGCTCAGGGGGCGCCCCGGGCAGTGGGGCGCTGAGCCGGCGGCAGTTGGCTTTCCCCGGCCGCGGGGCAGACCCTGGGCCTGGTGTTCAGGTGGTGGGAACAGCGCAGCTGCTTCCCGGTCCTTCGCGGCTCTGCAGGACTCCCTGCTGTCACCCTGCCCTCCTACCCTGGGGCTCACGGCACAAAGAGCTGCAACCTAATCTCTGGCTATGAGACAAAGGACCCCTTCCCGCCCTCTCCCAAGGAGGCCCCAGGACCCCTCACCACCTGTCAGCTCGCCCTGCAGGGCTCCAGCTCAGAGACCGAGGCCCTGACAGAACCTTCCAGGCCGCACCCCATGGGTCACGTGTCCCCTCAGTGAGAAGCACTCGCCCCCATGGGCCTGGTGCAGGTGTGGGGGGCCGGGGACATGGACGCTGGCTGAGCTCACATGGAGGGAGCACTGAGGGCCCAGGCCAGTGTCGTGCACCCGTGTAAACATGGGCAAATCGGTGCTGCAGGAGCCGAGTGTCAGTGGGCAACGTGGAGAGAGAAGGGGGGCTCCCCACACACTCAGCAAATAGTCACAATGACCGCCCGCGGAGCTCCACGGAGAACAGAACTACTGGCTAAAACACCAATAAGCTGGCCATCAGGAATCAATGCTCATTGACGCCAGAAATTAAGCTCCATGGAAAGCAGTGAGGAGCAGAACAGCTGTTGGACCCATTCGCTGCCACGCCCGCCATGGGACCTCACGCCTGAGACACCCCTTCCTCAGGGCAGCGCTGCACCCGGGCTGCCGGGCAGGTGAGTTGGACTGGAGCGCTCTTGTGCCCACAGCCAGCTACCCTGTGCCATGCTCAACCCGACAAGCTATACACAAGAGCTTCGTGGTCCCCAGCCGGGGGGGAAGGAGGAAAACCATCACAAGACAGTATGCAATATGACAGTATGCACACATTCCATACACAGCACCAGCACTCAGTGGGGCGCTTGCTATGGGGCAGGCTCTGTACTACGTGAGTTCATGTATTAACTCATTCACTCCTCAAAAAACCCCTATGTAGTAAGGCTGACTCACAGTCCCATTTCACAGTTGAGAAAACCAAGGCACAGGAGGCCAAAAGCTGTGACTTATAACACACTGTTTTTCAAATGTAGATGGATGCTTTTGTAAGTCACAAACATTAGCTAATTTAACATATTTACTGAGTGCATGCTACGTGTACTGAATCAAATTGATTCACAAGGCTACTGACTGAATCCATGTTTGTGGGGTTGTTTTTTTTTCAGATAAAATATATTTAAATATAGCCATATATTCATAAGGTCTAAGAAACTTGACCTATAAAAAATTATAGGTGTGTGCTGGCCAGTGTTGCTCAGTGGGTTGGGTGTCATCCTGTGCCCCAAAAGGTTGCCAGTTTGATCACCAGTCAGGGCACATGCCCAGGTTGGGGGCTCAATCCCCATTAGGGGGCATGCAGGAGGTATTCGATCAATGTTTCTCTCTCCCTTTCTCCCTCTCCCTTCCTCTCCTTCTCCTTTCCTCTCTCTCTAAAAATCAATAACAATAGTTTAGAAAATAATTATAGGTGCAACTGGCCTAGTCACTCTACATGTTGTGCGTAAAGCAAAGCCGGAGTGATAGAAAGCCGAGTTCATAGGTTACAACATTTTGGCTGAAAAATGTCACACCACAGGCTTCAACCAGGGCTGCTGCAAAAAATGGTGGTAGAAACGGTCACTGTATTCATTGCTGAAGGATACTGCGAAGGATGTGGCTCATTTACTTCACGTGCCATAAAAACCCACAGGAAGCGTCAGCACCAAGGACAGCGCCAGCCCTCCTCCTCCTCCTCCTCCTCCCTCCCCTCCTCCCTCCTCCCTCCCCCTCCTCCCTCCTCCTCCTCCTCCTCCTCCTCCTCCTCCTCCTCCTCCGCCTCCTCCTCCCTCCTCCTCCTCCTCCTCCTCTTTCAACAACCCCCAGGTGACCCCACTTCCCTCTCACTGTTGTTTCCTTGGAGCTCAGCACCAATGTTGTGTTTTCCTAGTTGAGACATGAGCTTTGGGTGCCAGCCTTGCCCTGGGTTTACTTTTCAGTTTGCTCCCTTGCTGGCGTCTTGGCGGTGGGGATATGGTTTGAAAGTGTCCCCTCCCCCAAGAGTGGGAATCACTCCTTTAGCCACATCCTGGCATCATGCATCGCTGAGATCTAGGCCGATCCCCCTAATGAACTCAGGGCTCAACTAGAGATTGGCCATGACCCCAAGCTGTCAGCTCTGGGTGCAGGTATAACAGACAGAACTCAGGCCTCCCTCCATCCAGCTGGGAGTTCGTCCACGACCCTGTGCTGCTGTGAAAAGTACTTTGAGACGCTTCGCCTAAGTCAGTGATGGCGAACCTATGACATGCGTGTCAGAGGTGACACACGAACTCATTTTTTTGGTTGATTTTTCTTTGTTAAATGGCATTTAAATATAGAAAATAAATATCAAAAATATAAGTCTTTGTTTTACTATGGTTGCAAATATCAAAAAATTTCTCTATGTGACACGGCACCAGAGTTAAGTTAGGGTTTTTCAAAATGCTGACACGCCGAGCTCAAAAGGTTCGCCATCACTGGCCTAAGTCATCCCCAGCACACGTGTGTCCTCTCCTCTGCCTTGGGAACCCTGTGTATCGGGGGGGGGGGGGGCAGCCTGAGTTGTTCCAGGCATCACGGAAGGAATAAGAGCCTGTCCATTCCAAACGGCTGGCCCTTCTGCTAAGAGGCTGTGATAACTCACGAACCTCTGAAGAGCTGGTGCCACGGATTACACGGATGCCCCTCCCACAACAGGGGGCCACGCGTGTTCTGTGACGCCGGGTCACACACCCGCTGTGAAGGCCAGCCAGCCCAAGGACAGTACTGTCTGCGCTGGTCGGAGGCGGCAGAACATGCCGTGGGACTAGGTGGCCAAAGTTTAGTGCCAGTCGTGCTACTTACTCGCTGTGTGACCTTGGGCAGGCTATGTAACCACCCTGTGCCTCAGTTTACCATGTGAACAATATTAACATTATCTCACAGGGTTATGGTGAGGACTTAATGCGTTCATATATGAGGACAGCGACTGGCGCACAGTCGGGCAACATGGGGAGGGGTACAGGGAAGCAAGATCCCATCCACCCTACCCCTCTCCTCCGACCACCCTCTGCACACAGGCACCCTGCCAGGGAGGTAACACCTGCCACCACTCGCAGATGCTTGCCAAGCAGGAATCGCAAGGCAAAAGCTCTGTTTAAAAATAGGCCTTTTAAATCTGCTTCCCTTGGATGTTCAAGCACGTGAACTGTAAAATACCAGCTCTATTTTTAACCGCTCAAGTCGACTCTGGAAATCAGCAACGCCAGTGCAGGGCTGGCTCCTGGAAACCCAGGGGGAGGTGGCTGGCGGTGCCCAGGGCTCCTGGCAGGGTGCGGCCGCGCCAGCAAAGCCTGCTTGTCCCCCGGACTATACTTTGCTCAGAAGGTTCACTGGCAAAATCTGACCCAATTATCTCTTCTGGTCAGAGATTAACACACAATAGCAATCATGGAAAATGTGGTCAACGATGAGAGACGGGGTCTTCTCTGCGCAGGCATTTTCCCAATGGCCTGTCCCAGGGACCTGCCCTCTCCTGTCCACCTGTCCCTCCAGGTGGAGGCGCTTCTCCCGACCTGGCACATCGCGGCAGGCAGGTGCCGAGTGTCCTCTACCCACGTGAGCTTTCTGTCTTGCTTGCCAATCCAGACACCCAGTGAAACTCACACAGAACAGAAACATACAGTCTCTTGTCAGATTTTTTTTTTTTTTTTGCAAGCAGAGAAGCAAGCCCGTTTTACTGCTCTCTGCACTGCTTCTGGGCTCTTATTCTGGGCAGCTGACTATGGTGTAAATGGCTCATTTATTTTCTTGCCCTATTGGGGTCATGAGAAGCTTAAAAATACTTACTGTAGAGAAGGTACAATAAAACCAAGTGGCCTCCCAAGCAATGCCCGGTGACCCCAGCTCTAACTCCCCCTCTTCCTCCACACCCCACACCATGCGCACTCGTTGGTTCTCTCCCTCTCCCTTCTCGGGGGAACTGCGGGAGCCTGGTCCTGTGGTCGCCCTAACACCCCGCACGAGCACAGTAACATTGAGCCCACTTTCACTGCCACCGGGAAGGCCTGAAGCTGAGTGACGTTTGGGGTGAAAACATCAGCCTCACCCTTGCAGCTGTGGGATCCGACCAACCTGGGTCGAGATGCTGGTTCTACAACTTGCTAATTCTGTGACCCTGGCAAGGGACTCGATGTCCCTGATTCACAGTTTCCTCATCTGTAAAATGACCTCACGGAGTTGTGTGAGGACCAGATGAGAGGGAACATAAAACACCCATCCCAGGGCCTGGCACGTGGGAGGCGGCCAGAGAGTTCCGAGGGCAATGGGGGCTGTTGGCCCCATCGGCACAAGACTGCTCCCTCATAACCCAGCATCCAACGTGTCCAAGTCACCCTCTGTTCACCGAGCCGACGAAGTATGAGAAACAGTCCATAAAGCTGCTCTGAAGAGAGAACGAGGAAGACTGGCCACTCGGACACCAGAAGGGGGGTGCATGGGTGTGTGCGCACCCTTCCACGCCTCATCTTTCGCTCTGTAAGGCGACATAGGCTCTGGGGATTAGGACGTGGATATCCCCGGGGCTGCTAGTCTGCCTGCCATAGTCGTAGCCACTCTTGCGGAGAGGGTGACGACCTGGGGACACATGCCCGCTCTTGGGTCCTCCCCTGGCATGTGGTTCCCTGAGGGAGCCGTGGGTCCCGGTCACACCTGCCCCCGGAGCACCCACCACCCGCACCCCTGGGCGGGAGCTCGCGGCACCCACCTGGTCGTCGATCTTCCGCTGCAGCTGGACCACCTTGTTCTCCATGCCCACGTTGAGGCGCTTCAGGTGCTCTGCTGAGCGAGCCTCGATCTTGAGGGCCTTCAGCTCCTGCCTGGCCTTGAGCCTCCGGAAGGCGCACTGGATGACGATGGCCGCGCCCCGCAGCCGCAGGAAGTGCCTGCGCGCCGCCCAGCCCCGCACATGCTTCTGGATGACGGTGGCCTTGTGCTCCCGGAGGACCTGGCAGGGGACAAGCACACACCTGTGGGTTCCCACTGCAGGACGGGAGCGAGAGAGGCTCACACAGAACCCGGGCAGGTGGGGTGGAGCCGTGGTCAGCCTAGGTTTTAGGAGGCACAGAGAACAGGCCTCCCTCAGGCTCAAGCTTTCACGGCTGTTTGTTTTATGAACAGGTCCGCAGCTTGCAAGCCTGCAGGGAGGTGGCTGTCAAACCACAGGTGTGGGGGTGAGTTGGTGGACGGATACGCTCGGACTTGGGGCCACCTAGCCAGGTAGCTCAGCCTCTCTGGGTCATGGCCTGGCGGGGAGGAGGTCAGGGTCCCTCTCCTGACGGTGCCTTGCTGGGTTTAAGGCTCCTGGTCTGTTAATAAAGGATCTAGACCTGATGATGCCTATCACCCCGCTCTCATCTGAGCGAGCCCAAGATGGGCCACCAGGCTCTGCTGCAGGCTGAGTGTCCCGGGAGCGGGGGTGGGGTGGGGTGGGGGGGGGGGGAGGGTGGAATCAGCTTCTCCAAGCATCTTGGCTGTCGGAGGGGAGGGGTACACAGGTGTGCACCCTTCCTGGCTGTGGCAGTTCATCTTGTGTCAACTGGCCGTGGGAGCCCAGGTTAAGCACTGTTTCTGGGTGTGTCTGCGAGGGTGTATCCAAAGAGGTGAGCATTTGAGAAGGTGGGCTCAGCAGACTGCCTCCCAGTGTGGGTGGGCACCCCCAATCCACAAGGGCCGAATGGAACATAAGGCAGAGGATGGAGAATTTGTTCCTTTTTCACTGTTGAGCTGGGACATCTCACCTTCTCCTGCCCCAGAGGGGGGTTTGCACCAGGGCTCCGCTGGTTCTCAGGCCTTCACACCTGGCTGAATGCCGCACCAGGGCTCCCCTGGGTCTCAGCTGAAGTGAGACGCCGGCCTCCACAATCACTGAGCTTTGGCTCAAACACACACACACACGCACGCGCGCACACACGCACATGCGCACACGCATGCACACACATGTACACACATGTACACATGCACACACATACACACACACATGCACATATCTCCTATTGGTTCTATTTCTCTGGAGAACCCTGGCCAGTGCACCTCCTCATGGGACTCTGGGTAGGGCTCCATGAGGACAGAGTTGTGAAATTACTTAGGTAAACCAACATTCATGGTGGTGACAACTCATCTGCTGGGGCTGAGGGCTGGGGTCACGCCCCGCGTGCACACACCTGGCGGTAGATCCTCCGCACCAGCATGCCCCGTGTGCAGGCCTGGATGACAATGGCCGCTCTGCGGACCTTCCGGTGGGCCAGGCGGGCCCTCCGCATGCGGTACTGCTTCTGGAACACCACGGCCGCCCGTGTCCTCCGCAGATGCTCGGCCAGCCTGGGGAGGGAGAGGGTGGGCCTGCTGACAGGGCGCCTGAGCTGGTTCTGAACGGAGCCCCTCCCCCTGGGTCAAGGTCACCCCAGGTCAAGCCGGGTCTCCTCCTCTGACTGATGGTAGCAATGCCTTGGGCCCTGGACGTGCAGGCTCAGAACAGAATTAGCCTCTTCCTTGTAACTCCAAGTCTTCCCACAAGCCCCAAACTGTCAGCCTGACCACCTGTGCCCTTCCCCTGCCCACTCCTCACCTGCAAGCCCCTCACTGCCACCTGGGCACATCACGTGTTCGCATGTCTGTCTGTCTCTCTGTGCCCTGGGCTCACCAGGACTGGAGATATCAGGGGCCATGTCTCAATCGTCCTTGCACCCCCTGCATCTAGTGCAGGGCCTGGCCTGGCTGCCACTTGGGAAAGGTTTGCTGAGTGGACAGGACCCTCTCAGGCTTCCCGTTTCCTGTCCCCCAGCCCTTTCTGCCTGGGTCGCACGGCACGTGGACACTGACTTTGCTGTTGCATTTCCGCTCCCCTCTACCACCCTCCCCCACCCTCCCGCCAAAAGACAGAACATCAGTCTAAGGCGGTGGTTCTCAACTTTCCTAATGCCGTGACCCTTTAATACAGTTCCTCATGTTGTGGTAACCCCCAACCATAAAATTATTTTTGTTGCTACTTCATAACTGTAATTTTGCTACTGTTATGAATCGTCATGTAAATGTCTGATATGCAGGATGTATTTTCATTGTTACAAATTGAATATAATTAAGCATAGTGATTAATCACAAAAACAATATGTAATTATATATTCAATATGTGTTTTCCGATGGTCTTAGGCGACCCCTGTGAAAGGGTCGTTCGACCCCCAAAGAGGTCGCGACCCACAGGTTGAGAACCGCTGGTCTAAGGCTTCTTACCTCCTGAAGGGCTTGGGGACAGACTCACAGCCAGCCCTCAGCCGGAGACTCAGAATATTAGAGCTGGAGGGACTTGGACTTACCTAATGCAGCCCCATGGCCCGAGGTGCGCCTGACTCCCAGCTCCCCCAGGTTCCCCGCGTGGCTGGGCCTGCGTGTCCACTAGCACGGAGTCCCCACAGCGAGCTCAGAGCCACGCAGGCCTGTCCGTGAGGACGGTGGCACAGGTGGCTGTGGTCACTCATTGTTGCTACCACGGACAGTCCTCCCATTCTACAGCTTTGTCCCCGAGGTCGTCCCCAGCTGTCTGGAGGTCCCAGAGGCCTCACCGACTCTGGTTATGCTCAAATACACAGCCCCTGCCGGACCGGAGGGTGAGCAGCAGCGAGCCTCCGGGGGTACGATACAAAGGACCCCGCTCTGGGCGTGTGACTCAGGGGCTCATCATGTTCATAGTCCAGCAGAGGAGAGCCCGTTGCATTGGCTTCCAACACAAGACCTACGGCAATTACTGCCACTTCCCCAGGGGGATCCCGAGGGCAGAGGTCACTGGCTGCTCCTGCGAGTTCGTGTCAGTGAGACGCCCAGACCCTCGCCCAGTGACACCATCACGGGGGGAGCATTTCAGAGCGGGAGGCTCCTTGGCAGGGCAGCTTCTTAGCTGGGCAGCCTTTGGTTATAGTCACCCTCCGATGCTGACTCAGCGCAGCAACTCAAAGGGGCCCCCAGGACTTGCCAGCCCGACTTTTAAACTCCCAGGGGAGTCTGAAACTGTGAGTGTAAACCTGAATCGGAGTGTAAGCCAACTGACAGAAAGGCTAAATTTATCACTGTTTCTAAAAGAAGATCATTTCACTTTGGAGCTTAAGCAAAAGGAAAGTGGTGGTTTTGGGGGCACAACCAGCCAGTCCTAGGCTAGCAATGGGGGGATGGCTAGGCCGGGGGGGGGGGGGGAGGCAGGAGACCTGGGAACTAGACCTACTCCCTCAGGCGGGAGGGGCATGGAAGAGGGAGGCCCAACTCCTGGGAAGAAGTCAGGGTGTGGTCCGGGCCCAGCAGGAACCTCTCTAAGGACAGAGGCCAAGAGAGGCCACCCAGTTAAGAGAGCCGGTCCCGGGCCCCTGCCGCTCACCCACAAGCCGCTGCCCAGAGGGGCCCCAGCATGGCTCACCTGCGGGCCAGGTGTCCTCGGCAGTACCTCTGCAGCGTCAAGGTCGCCCCCTTCAACCTGCGGTATTTCACCCTTTGCAGCCAGCCCCGGACGGTCTTCTGGATCGTGATGGTGGCTGCCCGGAACTTGTCGGCCCGAAGCTTCTCCAGGTAGGCTACCTGGCCTGCCCGGAAGAAGATCTTGGTGCGGCCAAACTGGAACTTGTCCGGGTCCTTTACAAGGCAAGGAGGGCAGCGGGCTCGCCATCAGGGAGCAATGAGGTGACGTGCCCACCACTGCCCTCCCGTGCAGAATTCTCGGGCGGAGCTCACGGGCCCTGCTCCGTAGGCCCACAGCCACTCAGCGCTCACGTAACCCACGGCCGGGCCCTGCTCCGTAGGCCCACAGTCACTCAGCGCTCACGTAACCCACGGCCGGGCCCTGCTCCGTAGGCCCACAGTCACTCACATAACCCACGGCCGGGCCCTGCTCCGTAGGCCCACAGTCACTCAGCGCTCACGTAACCCACGGCCGGGCCCTGCTCCGTAGGCCCACAGTCACTCACATAACCCACGGCCGGCCCTGCTCCGTAGGCCCACAGTCACTCACATAACCCACGGCCGGCCCTGCTCCGTAGGCCCACAGTCACTCACATAACCACGGCGGCCCTGCTCCGAGGCCCACAGTCACTCACGTACCCACCCACGGCCGAGCCCTGCTCCGTAGGCCCACAGTCACTCACGTAACCACAGGCCGAGACCCTGCTCCGTAAGCCCACAGTCACTACACGTAACCCACGCCGGGCCCTGCTCCGGAGGCCCACAGTCACTCACAGTAACCCACGGCGGGCCCTGCTCGTAGGCCCACAGTCACTCACCTAACCCACGGGCATGGAGGCCAGTCAAGCGAGCCCTGCTCCGTAGGCCCACAGTCACTCACGTAACCCACGGCCGGGCCCTGCTCCGTAAGCCCACAGTCACTCAGCACTCACATATCCCACAGCCGGGCCCTGGCCGAGGGTCCAGGATGACTGAACAAGACGCCTGCCCCTTGAGCAACTGGCATGTGAGGGCAGACGGACAAAGACCAGGTATGTGTTCAGGTGAGGATGGGAAAGACAGAGCTGGGGTTGGGAGGGTGGGATGGGGGCTGTTTAAACAGGGTCACCAAGTCAGCCATCTTGACAGAGGGGGCTGTTTAAACAGGGTCACCAAGTCAGCCATGTCAACAGAGGTGACCTTGGAGCAAAGACCTGAAGGAACCGAGGAAGGCAGCCTGGAGGAGAGAGTTTGGGAGGGCAGAGCTGATGCAAATGTCTGTGGTGGCAACAAGTTGTGCATGGTGGAGGGACGGGAGAGCTGGCGTGACTGAGTGGGGAGTGAGGGTGGGTGGTGGGAGGAGCCAACCACCAAAGGCCAGAGCACTGGCGGGGGGGGGGGGGGCATGGGGGGCTCTGAGCAAGGGAAGGACCCGATCTGGTTGACATTTTATAAAGATTAGCTCCAAATGGCCAGTCAACTGAATAATTTCAGATTGCACATAACTCCCCAAGTCAATTTTATTTGGTTTCAAACTATGTTATGGAATGCTGGGGGGACAGGACGTGTAATTACTGTCTTAACTGCATCTATTTACGTTAAAATCAGTCACCCTTCCCTGTGCTCGCCCAGGGGGATGAGGGACACTGTGCTGAGCTGTGAACAAAGCCAGGATGTACCCCGGGCAGGAAGGTGAGGGGGCTTTTCCTTAGTCACTGATGTATGAAAAGGGACTCACCTCTTGAAATCAGTTCCAATGAGAAGGATGAAAACCCAAAAAGGCAGGTAACCCCCACCCCACCCTCCGCATCTCGCGGCGTCCCATTTCCCCCGGAGCCCGGCCGCCCGGCCGCCCGGCTCACCTTGATGAGGCTCTCCAGCACAGACCTGCAGATGGCCTTCTTGTCCCCGCCGGCGAGCTCTCTCTTCTTGATCAGCATCCGATAGCGGTTGAAGAAATCATGGTAGGTCCACCTGGAGGGACACAGGTGTATCAGGTGACAGGCCCTGCCTCTCGGCCACAGGAGGGCCAGGGGGTCCCCAACAGTGCCCCAGGGGGTCAGCATTTCTGAGGGCACTTCCCACATCCGGTATCATGGTTATTAGTGTCCTCACTTGTCTTATTTTTCCTTATGAGCTTGTAATTTCTCTGGGAAAATCATTAGAGCAGCATTCCACAGGGCTGAAAACATCAAATGCTCTTCATTAGAAAATTTCCCACTGCTGACGGTCCTATAACCCAGGGAGGCCACAGGCTAAGGAAATGACAAGAGAGCAGGGCCCTGTGACCACAGACAGACACCGCGGCGGGTACCGGAGAAGCTGGGGTAGAGAAGGAGAGGGGCCCGGCTCAGACAGTGGCCAGCCGTGTGACGTTCGGCGAGTCACGGCTGCACGCCTCACCTCCGCTGCCTGCAACATCCAGAGGCCGTCACCCACCTCCCACAGCGCCTCCCAGAGCGCCAGTAGCCAGGGGGTTCGTGGATGTGCAGTGTTTGGAAAGATGCAAAGCTTCCTGAAGACCGAAATTACACTCCCTTCCCGCCCAGCCACCCCCTCCTCCCGCCCCACTTCTCTAGGGTCCCAGTCAGGGCCCGACACTGGACGTAACCATCACCTGTGGGAACGCTGTGCCCGAGCCGCCCAGTGCCCAGTGCGGGCGGACGGAGGATCTGCATGTGCCGCCTCCCCTCTTGGGTAGGTCTCAGGAGGGCACTGCCTGGATGGGACCAACTCTGAGAGTCCTGCAGGACCTCACAGCCTCTCAGACCATGTGCACGACATCAGGCCACAGAGAAAGTCCCTGAGGTGGCGATCCAGGTGCTCACAGGCCCCTTAGAAAATGGTGAGGATCCTTCAGTTTGTCAGGTCAGGGTGAGGTGGGCAGCCCAGCACCCACTGCCCTGTCACACTCGACTTGGGCCCTAGATTCCTAGTGCAGAGGTTTCCCGAGACCACACCCACACGGACGTGAGGGGCGTGCTTTCCTTTTGGTCCGAGACACTTCGGGAGCCCGCCAGCCTTGCCAAAGGTGTGGGGGGCCATGTGCCCGGTCTGAGGGGGAGGGCCTGGCTTCTGAAATGGTCAGCCCCTTCCAGGTGACCACCAGGAGCCACCCAGGTGAAAACCCTGTGCCTGACTCAAGTGCAAGGACAGGAGCACAGCTCTCAGGCCAAGGAGCCAGAACTGGAGGCTGCAAGACCCCGAGTAAAGAATGACCACACTCCAAACATGTGTGACATCGTCCTTCCCTGTGGACCTTCAATAGCAGGGCTGGGACCCTGTGCGAGTTTAATCATGACTCAGCAGGAAAGCCAATCAGGCGTTTCTCGGGCCTCCTTCTCCGTCTACAGCCCTGAGCCACTCAGTTCATGGGGCGGGGATGGGAGGTGTGTGTGTGTGGCGGGGGGGAGCATCTTTCCAGAAAGCACACGGAGGTTGTTGTTGTTGTTTTATGTAAATGAGAGGAGATAAATGAAGTGAAGGAGAACTGAAGATGTAGGAAAAGGTGCTTTTGAAACTAATGATATATATTTTATTGATTTCAGAGAGAAGAGAGAGAGAAACATCAATGATGAGAGAGAATCATTGATCGGCTGCCTCCTGCACACCCCTACTGAGGATTGAACCCAAAACCCGGCATGTGCCCTGACCAGGAATTGAACCAGGGACCTCCTGGTTCAGCTGTATCTGGAACGACAGCTACTGAGCCCACCAGCCGGGCAGAAAAGGTGCTTTTAAAAAACACACTAAACACTGTCCTGGGTGAGTGGCATTTGCTTCACGATTCCTCCGGGACACAGAGCTGCTCTGAGCCCCCCACGAGGAGACGGATGACTGTGCGGGCCCAAGACAGAGGGGGGCGGGAACCGTGACGGCGGACCAGCCCCTCCCGGACAGAGCATTCATCACGGTGCTTTATGTACACGATAATGGACATATTTCTTAGCCTCTGCTGCACAGTTCCAGCTGAATGATTCATTTCCATTCTAAATAAGACTCACAGAGAGCACATGTCCTCAGAGGATAAAAATAGACAGGTGTACGGAGTCCGGGCGGGCGGGGAGCGCAGAGCGCTGCTGGCCGCGGGCTGCGTCCGCCCTCTCCGGTGGGGGCGGTGGGGCACTGAGCGCTGTTCATGGCAGAACAGGCTGAGCGCTGTGCCCAGGCCTCGGCGCTGAGCGCAGGGACTGCGCCTGGCAGCCCAGCAGGAAGCGTGGCCCTCGCCTGGGCTCCTGGGCGAGCCCCCGGGACCGGTTCACCCACAGCCTGCAACCCAGGACTGCATTTTCTTCCCTTTGCCCTTTTCCTCGTGGCAAAGGATATTTCCCTTTGGCCATGGAAGTGGGAGAAAAGCAGGAAAACGGTGAAAGTTATAATTCCCCTCATCGAGGAAGCCGCGAGGTTTCCTTTGGGAACAACTGCAGAATTGTGCGGTAACTTGACAAGCGAAAGCAAGCGCCATCGCTCTGCTGTGCCGGTCTCAGCCGCCAGGGGATGACCCACCCACTCAGGCCCCTCTGGTCCCAGACGTTCTCTCCACTCCAGGCCCCAAGTCAGCACACATGATGGGTGTTACCAGCTCGATGGAACCGGGTTCTGTAGAACCTCTGGCTGCATCTCCAGATACGGCCCACCTGCCAATTTCCTGGAGGAAGCAGGCGGGCAGGCAGCACTTTTTTAAAAAACCCAGTGATGCTACTCCAAGATCCAGCACGGTTACCATGGCTGGCAGGGGGCGGAGAGGGAGTCAGCTATCACAGGGTGGGAGCCGCCCACAGCTGCCCCTCACCACTCATCTTCACAGACAGATCACGCTGGGTGCCGTGGCCTGGAAGTGGGGAGGGGCGAAAAGGGACTGGGACCTACATGAGATACTATGGATGATTCCACTCTGCCTCAGTACTAGCAACAGTGCCACAAAACCACGGTGCCTCTTCCCAAAAGCTAGCTTTCAAAAGGTGGTTTGGGAGGGAAATCCTCTCTTTGAGCCTTTCGCAAAGCCTGCTAAGAACGTGAACGTGAGGAGGAGGTGCAAGGCAGCGTCCTGGATCCGAGCCTAAACCTCGAGACCACAGCTCCAAGGAACATCTTCTGTGATATCCTATAGTCCTCCCTTCCTTCCCTACGCTTTCCACAACGCCAGCCATTACAGAAACAAAAGGTACAGGTGCCCTTGTAACTATCTGCTGGGAAGAAGCCGGAGGCAATTAGGGAGGCAGAGAAAGGCATCCATCACGTCCCTACACGAGGCCGGCGAGTGGGTGGGCACCCCGGCTTTGCTGGAAACTCTGCCGGCAGCCAGATGGAGTGAGGAGTCGGAGGAGCCACTACCTACCGGGGCCTCAGGGCCTGCAGGAAATGCGCCCTCCCAGCTGCCACGCCCTCCCAGCTGCCACGCCAGAGGCGGTCTGATGAAGCGGAAAGCACACCTGGCCCCCAGGATGCTTCGCCGGAGGGTTGGGGTGGGGGGCTGGACTGCAGGACTGGGGCCTCTTCCCGAATCACTGGACGGGAAAAGCAGGTCTGGCTCCTTCCACCCCAGGACCTGGCCCTGCCCTCATTCCTCTGACGAGCCTGAGCTTGGACGCCAGCGCCTCGCCGATGTGGGGCCGTAAGGTGCTTGGCAAGGACCACCCAGCGGGCAGAGGAAGGTGGTCCAGCCACCCGGTGGCCTTGAGCAGCTCCCTTCCTTCTCTGGGTCTCGCGTGGGAAAGTCCATTTACATCAGGACGTGCCCACACCTGTATACAAACTGATGCCAGGTCAGGCCACGGCGCCCTTTCTGCCACCAACGGCTACCTTCTATCTTCCACCCGTTATTTCATTAAAAACCAAGATGCTGGTCACGACCCATTAAACTGATTTCTGACCCACCCACGGGTTGCGATGGGTTTTGAGGGACGCTGGATGGAAGGTGGGGGCTAAGGAAACCTTCCTGGGAGCGGGGACAGAAGAGCCAGGGGCAGGAGGGGGAGGGGGGCCGCGGCCTGTGGTGCACACTCAGAAATAGTAAATATGATGTGTGTTTTACCACAATAAGAGGGAAGAAGGTAGGGGGACAAGGTGGGAGCTGAGTAAAGGAGAAATCTCCTTTGCAAGCGGCCAGTGCATCACCCAGACCAATGCCAGGTTGAAATCTGAAAGTTGCCCCGAGGATGTCACGGGCGACCCCCACACTTTTCAGACCCGACGGGAACACTCGTTTCCGCCAGCACCCTGCCTGGCCCTCAGTGCTCGGGAACAGTTTTGAGGACCTGTTTCTGGCGGACAGCCCACGAGAGGGCCCCTGGGTGCACCAGGGCGTGGCCGGCGGCACGTACCTGGACGGGTAGCCGGCTGCGCTGATTCGGATCGTCTCCAGCACCCCGCACGCTCGGAGCTGCTGCACCGCTCTCTTCGGGTCAAAACTGCGGAACCACGAGACAAGCAGTGAGTGGCCGTCGGGCGAAGCAGAACCAGCGCCGGAGAGGGCAGCCCACCTCCTCCCGCCCTGAGCTGCCGGCCCTCCAGCCACTGAGCACAGCCAGGTGAGAAGCAGAGCGAGGACGCGGATGGGCAGCCTCACGAGCCATTTCAGCATCTCCGCTCTGCACGCATTCTTCTTTAAATATATTTTTACTGATTTCAAAGAGAGGAAGGGAGAGGGAGCGAGAGAGATGGAAACATCAATGGTGAGCAAGAATCAATGATGGGCTGCCTCCTGCATGCCCCCCTACTGGGGATGGAACGCGACCTAGGCATCTGGCAAAGGATTTTTAGACACAGCTCGAATCTTCGTCCCTGTGTCTGGATGACCTGGAGAAGGGACCCTCTATGTCCCTTCCCTCCCTGTGGGGAGGGTGCAGGAGGGCACCGGCCCTGGAGCTGCCAGGGTCATGTGGGCAGAGCACTCTCTCCAGCTCCGTCTCCTCCTTACTCAATGGAGTGAGGATATCTGCCAACTAAAATCCACTGGCTGCTGTGATGATCAGGGGACGTAAAAGGGGGATGCCATTAGGAGAATGAAGACACGATACAAAGAAGTTACTGTCATCATCGTTCTCTGTTCACCCTCCTCCACCCCCCGTAACCCACCCTCCGGGGACGTGTAAAGACAAACAGGCTTCTGTGTCTTCATCTTATCTCCCCGACAACCAGGCAAACTCCCTGCCAAATGCTTCTCGCATTCTACGAGCGTGACTAGGTGACTGGGAGGGAAAACAGCCCTGCTGGTGAACACCCGTTTCCTGGTGAACACCTGGTCAACGTGGGAGGCCCACGTGTGCTCAAGCAGCACTGAGTCTGGACTGAACAACTGCCCAAGATGCACAGGCCCACCTGCTGAACCGCGGGGCGACACTGTCCTCCGGTACAACGCGCAGGCTCCCAGAGCCGGGCTCGCGGGATGCAGAGCGAGACTCCGGGTGTCCGATCGGTTCCACCCCGGCAGCCATGCGCCACTTCCCCGATCTTGGCACGGCCGCAGGCTCCCCCGCCCCCCTCACCGGGCTCTGCGGCCTTCGGGGTCACACTGCAGGGCCCTGAGACTCTCAGCACTGCTCGCCTCTGCGACCAGGGGACTGGCCTCCGGAAAACCTGGCGGCTCCTCTGAGGAGCCGTCCCAGATGGCCACCCTCGCTCGGGGCCGCCGCCTCCTGGACGCAGCCATCTCTCCCCTCCCGCTCCTGCCCTTTAGGAGGCAGTCACGGCTATGCCATCGCCAGGTGACTCCTGAAGGATAAGGGATGGATCTTCTTCGCTGTCACTCCACCTGTCCGAGCCCAGTGCCCAGGGAGCCACAGGGGTGAGAGATGTTTGTTGTTGTTTAAATAAAGGAGGCAGCAGAGGGGAAAGGACTTGTACACAGGAGACACAGAGGCGGCTCTCCATTGGGGGGTGGCTCGGTCCTCAGGCAGCATTTGGCAACGTCTTAAAACACTGCAGTGTCACACGGTGGGGGTGCTACGAGCATTGAACGGATAGAGACAGGGGTGCCGAGCTCCCCACAGCGCGCACGGCAGCCCACAACCAAGAATTCCCTGGCCCCACGTCAGTGGCATCAGGGCTGAGAGAGCCTGGCGGTGCGGGACGGGTGGAGGGACACGGCACTCTCCTGCGAGGGTAGCGTCAATAACGCTACATTTTCATCATATAAATAACGTAAGTTATCTTCTTGAAGTCATTTATAATTGTTGTTTAACCTCGACTAACAGACGACGAAATGAGACGGAGTAAAGGACTCGCTTGTGAGTGGCCGAACCGCTGGGGCAGAGCCCGGACTGGAGTCCAGGTTCTGCATTGGTTCAGTCCTCTCCCCGCTTTCTTTACTGGGGGAAGATTTTTTTGGTCCAAAGGAAGGTCTCAGACAAATGGGGTGTTTGGACCAGAAAGTCCCTTTCCAAGTCCCCAACTTCTCTCCTTGGGAAGAGGAGGCCCAGCAGGAACACAGCACAAGGTGGGCGCCAGGCTCTGCGGGAGCTGCCCAAGGTCACGGCTGCGGGGCCCACGCTGTCTGCTGCCCGGCCTCCTCCCCTGCTCCTGCCCTTCACACATAATCTGTCTTTCACACACGCCGCTCTGCTAGCCGCCCCTTTCTTCCCGCGTCAGCTGGTAAACAGATGCCAGGAGGGCGGGGGGCCCTGAGCGTGTCTCAGACGCTGGGGGAAGGGAAGACAGGGCCCAATCGGCGCCCGTCACGGAAGGCTGGCTCAGTCCTGCCTCCCAGCCTTTCCAGCACGAGGCCCGTCGAGTGCCAGTCGGGCTTTATCGAGTGAGAGGAGCAGAGGCAGCTCAGGCATTCACTCCGAGAGTCAGAGTTGCCAAAATAAATGACTTCACACAAAGTGATTATGCGAGGACCCAAAGGAAATCAGAAAGATGGGAAGAAAGTGCTTAACATTTTTTAAAGAATGTGTGTTTCTGGCCAGAGGAAATAGCATGTGAGGAGGCTCAGGTGATGGAAGAAGAGGCTGCAGAGGTGGGACCATCAAGGGCTTTGGGCAGCCCTCCAGGCAAGAGAGGAAGAGGGTCTGAGACAAGGTGATGCAGGAAGGGAGGCAAGAGGGAGACCTGTTGGCCTCCGTGGGATTCTAACAATGACTGCACACTGGGAGGAAGGCAGGAGGAAGACCCAGGGGTGATGCTGTCCCATATGGCAGCCACTAGCCACCAATGAGCATCTGAACGTCACTGAAATGAAATTAAGAATGAAATTCAGGCCGGAACCGGTTTGGCTCAGTGGATAGAGCGTCGGCTTGCGGACTGAAGGGTCCCAGGTTCGATTCCGGTCAAGGGCATGTACCTGGGTTGCGGGCACATCCCCAGTGGGAGGTGTGCAGGAGGCAGCTGATCGATGTTCCTCTCTCATCGATGTTTCTAACTCTCTATCTCTCTCCCTTCCTCTCTGTAAAAAAATCAATAAAATATATTTTAAAAAAAAGAAAAAAAAAAAAGAATGAAATTCAGCTTCTTGCCTGGCCGGTGTGGCTCAGTGATTGAGTGTCAACCCATGAACCAAGAGGTCACTGGTTCAATTCCTAGTCAGGGCCCATGCCCGGGTTGTGGGCTCGATCCCCAGTAGGGGGCGTGCTGGAGGCAGACCGATAATGTTTCTCTCTCTCCCTCTCTCTCTCTCTAAAGTCAATAAAAACGTATTTTAAAAAGAAGGATTCAGTTTCTCAATCACACTAGCCACATTCTCAGCACCCAAGAGCCGCACGTGACCAGTGCTACCGCGAGGACAATGCCGATGACAGGGCGGTCCCGTCATCACAGGAAGCGCTAGTGGCCACACTGGTCCAGAGCGACTCTCGGGTTTCTAGTTTGCAAGACTGTCTGGTGGGTGGGTGAGACGTCAGGAAGCGGTTATGCATTCACCCCGACAGAGACCACATGAAGAGGAACCTGGCGGGGAAAAGGTGGGGTTTCAGACAGGCTGAGGGGAGGTGGCCCTGGGGCTGCCGTAGGCCTGCAGAAAAGACGGTCTGGGATTTGGCAGAAACCAGAGAGGGACAACAATCTTTAAGTATCGCGGTTCTCCAGATTCGGGTAGAATCCACCGTGTGAGAGTGGACAGAACTGGAAGGAAACGTTCAAGGTCGGCACAGAGGCCGGGTCTGGACCGGAGAAGGCTGGGGAGTGAGGGAAGGCGAGCGAGTGTGGACGGCCCCGGAAGCTCAGCGGCAGCAGGTGAGAGGAACAGGACCACCCGGTGTGTCAGCACTCCACAGGTCACCTGAGGCCAAGCTGCCTCAATGCCAGGAGCCTTCCCCACCACGCCAGCGAACCTCCGTGTCTGAGCTGGACATTCACCTGCATTCAAGGCGCACTTCCACGTGGTTCTCTATCGGATTCGAGTATGCACCCTCCGTGACACCACTGTGAGCGCCCCGGGGGGTGGGTGGGGGACTGTATCTTCTGACCCCCTGTCTGGGCAGCAGACAGGTGACCCTGGGAAATGTCTGAGGGCCTGCACTCAGCACAGAAACCATGTGGGGGGCGGGAGGCCAGCCACTCACCCCAGTGGAGACTGCAGACCCCGTGCGGCTGTGCCTGCGGCTCCCTGTTCCTCCCGAGCCCCTAACCCCTAAGGAGGCGTGAGGAGGCCGGGCTGGCCGACCCTGACGGCACAGAGCGGCCGCACACTCACTGGAAGGGGAGCTTCTCGTCGTTGGGCTTGACGCAGCGGACGTAGTGCGGCGTGGTGGCGTTCAGCGTCTCCATGAGCAGCTGCAGGGAGGTGCGGAACTGCGGGGAAGAGCAGAGCCTGGTCATCGACGCGCCTTTCACGCGATGCATAATAAGCATCCAGGCGCGCCCACAGCAGCGGCCGTCACTGTTACTGCTTTGATTATGACTGCGAACCCCGGGGACAGGAAGAAACTCGGAGCCCTGGGTCCGACTCTAGCTCGGACCCTCCTCCCACCGGGATGACTAAAACCAGTCCCTCCTGTATTTTGGCCTCAGGGTTCCCGGAACCAAACGGGGAGAGGCCACCCCCGCTGTGTCTAACTCAGGGTCGCGGATCAGAGGAGATGACGGGCGACCAAGTGCTAGGAGAGATGATCACAGTGCCTGGAGGCCTCGGACCCCTGGTCTGGGCCCCGGGGCCTGCACAACGGTGCCCGGCCGCTGGGAATGGCTGCATTTATATGAAAGTCCATAATAGGCAACTCCGGTGAAACAGGAAGCTTAGTGTGGCCAGGGCTTGGCAGGCACTCCCGTCGCTTCTCTTGGGAGACACGCTGGACGTGACATCCCATGAAGACTGAATGCCCCGCCTGGGGCTACAGCCACCCTTTCCCTCTCCTGCTCGCTCCCTGTAGAGAAGGTTCCGCAGTTTCCTTCTTCAAACAGCACAGAAAGACTGAGCCGGTGGCGGGCTGGGACACCGGGCCCCCTGGCCTCCCTCTGACCTGGTGGCTCCCTCCTCTCCACAGGCCACCCTGCCCGGCCGGCCCACAGCGTCCTGCCCCCCGCGGGCTGACCTGGTGGCCCACGGTCTTCTTGTGCTCCTTGTTGGAGGCTTTCAGCAGGGGCCTGGAGGAGCGGACCTGGATCTTGGAGCCCTTTGCAGAAGTGGAGGGGGCAGGAACAGAGTCCTTGTCGTCGTGAAACAAGTCAGCCACCAGGGGGCACTAGAAACAAACACAGGGAGGGCACTGCAAACAAGGCGGCTTGGACTTGAACTTTGCTCAAACTCGTTCAGAGAAGCTCCCCAGTATATACCCCAGAGGCGCGAAAACACGTCAAAACTTGTCCGCCACTGTTCGCAGCGGCCAGCCCCCAAGGGAAAGCAGCTCCGACGATGTCCACCGGCGGAGAAACGGTGCACAGAATGTGGTATGTCCATGCGGCGGACTGTTACTCAACAACATAAAGGAGTGGGGCCCCGACACACGAGACAGTATTATTGGATCCTGTAAAGCTATGGCACGTCCCTGAGCCCTAACTCATGAAGTCACCACACGAAGGCTTTGCAGAGCATAAAGCCCGAGCCGGGCGTAGCCTGGAGGCGCTGGGATGAGCGTAGAGGGGCGGGGGCTTCCCTGCCACCTGCCGGCTGAGTGAGCAGGAGCGGGCACTGTGGGCGTGTTGGTGAAAAACGGGGGTAACTGGCCTGACCCGAGGGAGGAAACCCCTTCAGCTTTGTCCCATGAGCTGGGGCATTCTGGAGAATTTGTATTTTCGTTTAAGAGCAACATGTGCTGCAGGTCCCTGCTATTGAGACTGCGTTTGAAAGGGCGGGACCTCCGGGAGGGAGAGGGAGAGGGGTGGGTCGGGACATTAACTCTAAGAAAGAAGGGGTAGGCTATGCATTCTACTCAGAATGCGCTTTATAAACTCAGTGAACGTAGAAAGGCATCTCGTCTGACCACAGGGCTGAAAGACCGTGTTTGACCTGGGGCTGTAGGCAGCAGTACAAGACCACGCAAGAAATAGCAATTACTGCACCACCCACCCCATCCACCACCTGGATGAGGGGCTGGGCCAGACAGGCACCTGAGGGGCCCACCTGTGAACCAACCTCCAGTCTCCATGAAAAGCAGCCGCCTTGACTAAGGATTCACGCAAAAGAACACACTTCTGAGTGAGGGAGACGATGCTTTTTCTTTAATTGACAAACTGCACGCAGGCCTTTTCAGAGCTATTGCCAAGTCTGTGTATACGCTGGCTCACTGGCAATGGACCTAATATAATTCCTCTTAAGCCATAAAAAACAGCATCCACCTGGGCCTTTAAAAAAATGTTCCCCCTTCAACCTTGGAAACACTCAGATGATACTTTCAAACCAGCCCAGCAGGTCCCTAATACTTTGCCACTATTTGCTTGTCCACAGGAACTGGCTTTGGCGTTCTCTGCTATTCAAGTTTGTATAGAGATTGTAAAAGCCTGAGGCAAACCTATTGGGAAGGGATTAAAAATATGAAAACACTTTCTAAAGACCATTTGACAGTTTAAGAACATTGTCAATTACAGCTATTCACATAGCTGTTACCTTGGAAATCGCATGGATTCACCGTTCACTTCTGTTTATAAGAACATAAAACATATTCCCCTTAAAACAGACATGTGAAACTAAAACAATACACTGTAGTAACCATTTGGTTGGGATCTCTCACCTAGCATCTTCTTTAAAATTTTAGTAAGCATAGTAAAAAAATAAATTTTCTTTTCAATCAATTATTTTACAAGGTACCCCTTTGGGGGAAAAAAAAATCTACACTTTTAAAGAAAGAAATATTTGCACGCAAAAGGGTTTTAAATGGACTTTGGAGAAAAAGTCTTAGCATTTCATCTTCCTACATTGGAAAGGGAATGGTCTGTTTATTCCAAATATCATTAGAAGCTTTTCAACTACCAGCACAAACTGATTTTATTTTACTTTGTTTTTTTAAGTTTTTTGGTTTTTTTTATTGCCCGGCTGACATGGCTCAGTGGTTGAGCATCAACCTATGAACCAGGAGGTCATGGTTTGATTCCTGGTCAGGGTACATGCCCAGGTTGTGAGCTCAATCCCCAGTGGGGGATGTGCAGGAGGCAGCCAATCAAATGATTCTCTCTCATCACTGATGTTTCTATCTACTCTTTCCCTTCCTCTCTGTAATCAATAAAAAAAAAATTTTTTAAAAGAAAGAAAAGCTTTAAAATTGATTTTTAGAGAGAGAGGGGGAAGACAGTGGAGGGGGAGAGAGGGAGGGGGGGAGAGAGAGAGAGAGAGATCAATTTGTTGTTCCACTTATTTATGCATTCATTGGTTGCTTCTCGTATGTGCCCTGACTGGAGATTGAACCAGAAACCTTGGCAATGCTCTAACCAATTGAGCTACTCAGCCCGGCACAAACTGATCTTAAACAGAAAGCAAATTAAATCAAATGCCTTTAAAAGCAAGTGTTTTATAGTATGTCGAATATATCTCAATAAAGCCATTATATAAAAATTAATTAAAAATTAAAAATAACGAAAAAAACATTAAAAATAAAAAGCAAACATATTTGCTCAAAATGGAATGTGGGTGTCACCTGTAAGGAACATGCCAGTATAGGAAGCAGCAGGTCTCCTTCCTGGGTGAGACGCAGAAAGGAGCCGGCCCTCTGAGCCCCACCGTGACTCTTGGACCCCAGGGCTGGTCACTGCCCACACGGTTCACCCGGCCTCTGGGCCATGCTGGCCTCGAGCTCCCTCTACTGAGATGGAGCAGAGAGATGGCACCTGGACTGTGTGCCAGGAAACTGCCCAGGACGACCCTTGTCACCTGGCACTTACTGGCAAACACTCGATCCACCGCTCGGCCCTCTGACCTATACTCAGTGCTGCCCTGGAATCGGAAATCTTCAGAGGAAAAATATTCTCGTTTGAGGTTTAATATTTCGTAAGCCAAAGCTGGGAGGGAAAGCCTCCATCCCCTACTGTCTAAAACACATCAGGCTGGAAGAGGCATTTCTTTACTAAGTATTCACCGCTCTCTGACGGCTGAGAAAGCAACTAGCTACACTGTGGCCTCTTAGGCCGGCATCGGGCTTCACTAGTTACATCCTCATCATCTCAGGTCTTGAAGGCCCTGGCTGTGGACACTGGCTGTCCCCTGGCTGTGGACACTGGCTGTCCCCTGCTTCTCCCGCGTTACCTTGCTGGCCTTCAGGATGTTGATCTGCTCCTCATACACCGTGTCTCTGTTTTTCTCCAGGAAGCCATCTGAGAGGTACTCCACCTGGGCCACAGGGAAGCACGCAGGAGTCAGTGCTGCGCTGGTCAGCTTCCCTGGGCAGTGTCGTCGGGCCCAGGCCCACACCGTGTGAACGGGGACCCCCCAGCTGCTCCCATTTAAAATGCAAACCAAGACGTGGTCGGGAGCTATGCAGAGGGAACTGGGCATCCCTTCTGTGGAAAAACAAACTGTTTGCAAAAGAAATTCTTTTTCTGAGGAGGCTTCCTTTTGGGGGTGTAAACGCAGCTGTCGGCCACACTCCAGACCTGCTGAATTAGAACCTGCGTGTGAACAAGACGGCAGGCACCTTCGTGCACATGGGATCTGAGCAGCACTGGGCCAGTGCATTCGGAACAGAAATCTATGGAGAAAAATCCCGTCTCCACCAGCTCCTGGGGAAGGAGGCTCCTGGGAATAGCGGCTCCGTTTCCCCTTCCGCTTCTCTCTCAAGCTCCAGGAGGGCCGACTCGGGCTCTGTTACGCTGCCGTATTCCCAGGAGAGACCTCAGCAAAGGTTTGTCAGGCGTACACCTGGGAAACCACGGCCACCCACTGGGTTCTGCCAGGTGGTGACGAGGTGGCGCACACACAGTTGGCGTGGGGAGGGAGGGGGGTGGGAGGGCACCCCACCTAAGAGACTTTAGGCTGCAGCAGCTCCCTCACAGGCCAGAACCCCGAGTCTGGGGCAGGGAGCAGACCCACCTTGTCGGCGAAGTGTGCCACGATGAAGGCCGTGTTGGACATGCGGGGTTTCTGGAAGTGCTGGCAGCCCCCGTGCCGGTCGTACAGCTTCTGGGCCCAGTTCTGGTCAGTTCCTTTGGGGACCTGCAGAACCACAAAACCAGGGGCTCCGTGAAGAGGACAAAGGAAGCCAAGGGCTGAGGCCGGGGGATGGAGTCCTCCAGGAAGTGGACCTCACGACCCTACGTGGACATGGAAAACAAGAGTCAACCGCAGACACGTAGGATCCTGCCACGGTATGTTCCCACACTGAGCCCGGAAGACCCTGCTGGCTGGTAGACGCTGGAAGGGTTAGAAGAGCTTGAAGATGGAGGCCAAGGTCACGGAGGAAAGTCACAACTCAAGGAACAAATCTGAAGAGGCTTCCTCCCTCCGGGCAGGCCAGGAACCAGTGTCACCAACACGCCCGGCCACCCGCAGCGCCCGCTCTGCTCACGCAGGCCGACAGGTGGCAGGAAAGCCCTCTCCGCTCTCCGCTCATCTCAGCGCCGCTGCCCGGCCCGGCTCCAGGCTGTCCTTCTCCCCAAGCCTTTCCTGACCGCTCCAGCTCACTCTGGAATTCCTCCCAGTTAAGCTCTCTCATACATACACCACCTAACACGGCTCATCGCTGGTTTTTGCATATTGTCTTGTCACTACAAACTGTAAGCTGGCTGAGTTCCGGCCGCACTTTGGGTGCTAAGTACCTAGTGATTAAGCTACTTGGTCCTGATCTCTGCTCCCCCAAATTTAAATGTAGATGCAGAAGTTCCACTACATTAGGGATGCTGCCCCTCTCACTACATTTAGAGGTGGCTTCAAAATGGCACAGCGGCTTGCTTTGTTGAAAATGTAAGAGTCACTGTAACCACCATTCCAACAGTCAAGGAAGATGGGAACCCTGGCGACGAGAAGGTGCCCCTCCTCTGTCACCCCGAACACCGTCGCACACCCCCGCACCCCAGGTAGGGGTGACCTATGGACTTGCCCGCCCTTCATTAGTTTAGGTTGCGTATTTGGACCAGGCAGGACTGAAGGTGACCCTTGCACTAGCTCTTGAAAAAGAGCTTTGTTTAGTAAATTAATGCAATCTGTGCCACATGGAAAATGCTTACACAGATGAGAACGAATTTCTCAAATACTTTGTAAGCAAAGAGATTTTTCTCAGTGTTCAATGTGGTATAGCTAGTATTGAACATCCAGGGCTAAGTGCCGTAGGAAATTCAAGCAAACTTTCTCTTGAAGGAGGCTACAAATTGTGGTAGGCAGACAAAATAAAATGTATAGAATTCAGCATTTTATATATATACTGTTTGATATTTAGAACCACCAGGTATGGGGGGCGGAGGGGGGCGGCCAGGGGATGAGCGCTGGTAGGCTGGGGTCGACAGGAAGGGCAGCACTGTGATGAGCAGCCCCACCTAAGTCAACACTTGTATTTGCTGGGATCAAAATCATGGTGCCTGGCCAGTGTGGCTCAGTGGTTGAGCATCAACCCATGAACCAAGAGGTCACTGGCTTGATTCCCAGTCAGGGCACATACCCGGGTTGCATGCTTGATCCCCAGTAGGGGGCGTGCAGGAGGCAGCCAATCAAGGATGTTCCTCTCTCATTGATGTTTCTATCTCTCTATCCCTCTCCCTTCCTCTCTCTCTAAAAAGCCAATAAAAACATATTAAAATCACCTTGTCTTGACAACGAAACTGGACTTCATAATCCTACATATGCACTAATTCAGACGGGCCTGAACCAATGAGCAAGGTCATGCGCACACATATTTCCTGATGAGGGTCAGTCTCTCTGCTCACGCCCCATCCTCAACTAAAAATGCAGGGCAGCAAGAATTCCAGAGAATACTAACAGCGAATGCCCACAATGCTGATTATTTGCCGGGCGACTTTCCTATAGCTTTTGGACATAGCAACTCATTTAATCCTCACCATAATCCTATGAGCTAGGCACTATGTTTAGACACATTCTATAGACAAGGGAGCTGAAACAGAGAGGGCAGGTAACTTGCCCAGGGACACACAGCTGGGAAGCGGCAGAGCTGGGTTCAGTCCAGGACAGGCTGCCTCCGGAGCCGTGTTCTTCCCTCTTATGCTCTCCTGTCTGACAACAGAGTTTTGAAGGCAGCCCAAAGGCAGGGTTAGATGGAATGAAGGCACTTATCTCCAAAAATCTGCCCATAGCAGTAGATTTAAAATGGGCACAGGAGAAAGAAAGCCAGACTTGTGTTCTGATAAAATCTAGACCGCGGCTATCAGCAACTCTGGAATATGCAGCAAATCGAATCCTTTAAAAAAGAAGGTACAACCAACTATATTTTACCACTGATTTCTGAATGGTGAGATGGGTCTTCTTGAATGGTTAGGGGTTTTTTTGAAGTAGAGTTTTTTTCATGTTTAATTTGTATTTGTAAGATACACACACACACACACACACACACACACACACACACACACACACACACTATCCAAATAGCAAAACTGTCGTGCCTTTTATTTATCTCTGATTCCAGTCTTGGCAATCGTTTTAAAGAAAAATACTTTTTAAAAGCCTAGCGGGGGTTAGGGGGGGTGTAAATGTACACGTGGCTTCATACAAATGCCTACACTCTCCTGTCAAGGTCCCAGGAAGAGGGCCCCGGTCAGGAGGGAGCCTGGGTCCCAGCTCTGCCCTCATCTGGGCAGGACCTGTCCCTCCGCCCCAACAGGTGGAGTCCACAGGAGCCCACAAAAGCTCAGCGGGGAAATCATGGGTCTCACCTGCCACCAGGCCAAGCCTCTCTGCCCCTCACAAGCCACCTGGCACAGCTACGGAGACCCCTACCCTCTCTCTGAGCCTAGGACACTAGGGCATCGAAGCCATGCCACCGTCATATCGTGACTTTCATGCCACCCAGTATTTGCCAAAAGGGGCAGCATACTTGCCAGTCACAGGACCTACTGGTACCTTCTGGTGTGCAGAACCGACAGTGCTTCTCTCGGCAAACTCCAGCTCTGGGACCCCACACTGCCCCGCACCATCCAGCTGCCCTGTCCCACCCCAGCCTGGAGCTGACCTAATGCAATGACAGCACCAGCAGCTTTACCTTACACTCCTCATCCAACAGGTCTAGGATGCCCAGCTTGGCTTCTATGAGATCGATACAAGGCTGGTTGTCGTAAAAGTCAATCAAGGTCCAAGGGATCTGCTCCTTCATGTACTCTTCTTGCTCCAGTTTGAAGACATGCTAGGGTGGGAGCGAAGGTCAGGGTCAGGGAGCTGCATGCAGGCCTTCACATCCGCCTGCCCTGAGCTGCAGCCACGGGGTCTCAGTCAGTCATGACTGCAGGGAAGAAAGCTCGGCGGAGGCCCGCCCTCCCAGGTGATCCCCTCTCCTCGACGTTCGAATCACCACCTGCAACGCCACACCCCAACCAGCCACAAGAAGCCTCATGCTGCTTGCAATTCTCAAATGGCCCAGACACCCAGGCTCAGGAGGGCTGGGTCGAAGCCATCACCCCGCTGCCCCATCCAGACCTCCTCTTGAGCAGCGGGGAGCACCTTCGTAAAGCGGGGGTGCCATCAGGAACCCTAGGAAGGTCAGGGCAGAGCCAGAGCCCCTGGCCCTGATGGAGAAGTGGCCGGGCCGTCGCTCTCGGGAAAACAGAGCCCCCACCCCGAAACCCCAGGTCCAGACACCGAGCCCACCGAGTTGAACTGCTGCTGCAGCTTCTCATTCGCGTAGTTGATGCAGAACTGCTCAAAGCTGTTCACCTCGAAGGTCTCGAACCTGCAAGGGAAAGAGGAGAGGACACAGTGAGAGCCGCTTCCTGTGACTGAAGGAATCCCTGGGCAAAGCTGCACTCTCCCTCCCCTCCCACCCATCCACCCTGAGTGCCGGCTCCAAGGCAGGGTCCTGCTCTTGAGCCTGGAGACCGCTGGTGCAGGTGCTGGCAGGGCAGAGTCCTGCTCAATCAGGAGAGTAAGGATGCAGAAAATTCAGGAAGGGCAGATATAACAGAGAAATCACCCGGGAGTCCACCACTCCCTCTGGCCACCAGTTACATTTCGGTAGGTTTCCCTTCACCGATTTTACGTTTTTCAGCACATTGGGATTACATGTAAAATGAGACCGATTTTTATCACTTAACTCTCCACGGCATGTTCCTCAGAGGCATCTGTCTTAGCATCTGCCCCATCGACCACTGCACGGATTGCCCCGAGGAGTGCACCGGGCGCCCAGGTGAGGGGGCAGGAGGCGTGGAAATGTAGCTGGTGGACCCCCTACGAGCTGGGAGAGGTCGTTCCACCCAGAGGCGAGCCTTTCCCCAGGTCACACAGAGGCTCGTCAAGGGCTGGCCGTGCCCCCCCGCAGACGCATCACAGTTTAACCATCTCCTGTTGAGGAACATTCTAATTCTTTTCCCACTTTTCAGCAGTAGCGACGCCGTGACAAATACTGCAGGTACATCTTTGACTTCGCGATTCTCTCCATAGGATGTGATCCTAGATGGAGACACACACTTCGGAGCACCGTTTCTTAAAAGGCAGAAGCAAAGTAACTTCCGGAAAGGAGGGACCAGCTCATGTTATCACCCACCCCCGGCCCAGCCTCCCAGTGCACAGCCGTGTCCTGTTCTCTCAATCCTGGGTGAGCACGATTTTTACTTTTTAACTACGTTCATGGTCACTGGCTTAGAGTTTACATACAATAAGATGCAGCAAATTGAAGGGTGTACTTCTATGAGGTTTTTGTTGTTGTTGTTGTTAATCCTCCCCAGAGGACATTTTTTCCCATTGATTTTTAGAGAGAGTGGAAGGGAAGGAGGGAGAGGGGAAAAGAGAGGAGAGAGAGAAACATCGATGTGAGAGAGACACTGTTTGCCTCCTGCACGCAGCCGGGGATCAAGGCTGCAACCCAGATACGTGCTCTTGACTGGGAATTGAACCGGAGTCCCTTCAGGGTGCAAGGGCCGGCCCTCGAACCACTGAGCACACCAGCCAGAGCTACGTGGATGGGTTCTTGACAAATGTACAGTGTGTGACGACCTCCACAACTCAGCTATCGGACAAGTTCCCTTGTGTTCCCTGGTCCTCCCTCACTGGGAATGTTCATGCATCACAGCTCTCTGGCTTTCAACTTCTAAAAGCCTCTGGTGACTTGGCACATGAATAATGTTTTTGTTGGAATTTTAATCTCTGGTCCCTAATGGAGCTCAACCTTCTTCTGTGTGCGGGTTCCAGTCATCTCACTCTGTGAACTGTCTTGTATCGTCGCTGACGTCTCTGCTGGGTTTTAACTTTAAAAAATGGATGTGTTTGAACTATTAATACTTCATCAACTCTGTCGTTTGCTCATCAGCTCAAATGTTTGCAAACAGCTGGATCCCTGGGAGGAGGGGGAAGGCGGAGCAGCAGGAGGCAGAAGAACCAGTACTTGGACCCAGAGAGTGATTCCCGAGGCCACATTCTTACTTTAGAGAAGAGTGAACGGGTCACTGGGAAGAGAAGGAAGCAATGGCCCGGAAGGGCTGTGAACAGGAAGAGCTTCCAGAAGAGGAGGTACTTGAGATGGAGAGTGGTGATGACTGAGGGCCCGGGGCTGGGGCACAGGCTTCCGCCTTCTCCGTGACCTTAAATCTTCACCTCGCTCATTCTTCAGTGTGGACACGGCACTTCCTCAGTCTTACGTAAAAGGATGCCAGTCCTTCCAATGGGCTCTGCAAGGACCACCCCAAACATAAATGTCGGTGCAGCCCTGGCAGGGGTTGGAGACGGTGCTGGTGGAGGGGAAGTGCCCCACGCAGAGGGACCAATAAAATAAATGCATCAACACCCAGCGGGCGGGCCAGTGCCCAGAACACCTCTGGCTTCCCTTCCTCCCCAGGGCCCACCTCCTGCTCCAAAGAGTAAGACCTGGAGACACAGAAAGTCACTTGGGGGTCAAAGGAGTCAACTGCTTGCCGGCAACCGCCTTAAAGAACAGCCCCGGTTGTGCCTGGAGGAGGCGTCAGTCTGGGTCAGTGGTCGACAAACTCATTAGTCAACAGAGCCAAATAGCAACAGTACAGCGATTGAAATTTCTTCTGAGAGCCAAATTTTTAAACTTAAACTATATAGGTAGGTACATTGTTAATAACTTAATTAGGGTACTCCTAAGGCTTAGGAAGAGCCATACTCAAGGGGCCAAAGAGCCGCATGTGGCTCGCGAGCCGCAGTTTGCCGACCACTGGTCTGGGTTAATGAGACAAGATCAAGGACGCAAAGTGCACGCAGGGGCTGCAGTCCGCGCCTCCAGAGCAAGCAGGGGGAGGCACTGGGTGGGCAGGCGTTGCCCTGGTCTGCGGCCCTCGCAGCCCGGATGGTGGTCCTAAGACCTGGTCATGTCACTTAGAACCTCACTTCCTCCCCGCCCCCACACGCACCCCACGAGAGGCTGCCAATGCCAACCAAGCCCCAGCAGAAATTTAATTAATAAAGCCGAGAAGGAAGATAAAAGAGCCACCCTAGCAACTGGCCAGATAATAGCAATTGTGTGTGCTTTGCAGGGTTTCTACGGAGCTCCACAGATAAAGGAATTAAATATCTCCCACTTATCACTTTTTAAAGGTTTACAGCGATAGCACTCCACAAAGAACATGCTCATTAATTTGCGATGGCCTGAAATTAGCTCCTAATTCCCCATTTCTAAGGATATTATCTGGGAACAATTCCTCTGCCATCCAGGATAATTACTGCAATGCTGAAGGGCCAGAGATGAACGAGGGGCCTGGGGAGCCCGGAAAATGTCTAAGATGACTGATCTCAGGAAGCCAGGGGGACAGGGCACCTTCTCCTCGACGGCGGAATTCTATGGGGAGTAACTCTTCCCACCGACAGAGATGACTTTTTAAAATAAACACAATGAATCAATGTATAATTCACAACATTAACACGTCACACAGACATTTCTATACCAGAGGGAACTGGATTTCCCCGGTAAAATCAACGTTGATGTTATTTAGGCCGATGCCTCGGGTGGGAGGAAGGTCAGAACAGGGACTAAGACCTGAGGCTGAGACCCGAGATCTGTCCTTGTGGGGGTCCGCGTCTCACCCCAGTTCGGTCTCCTCCTCGCTCCCGAAAGCAGGCGAAAAATCATTTCCTTCTCATTCCGCCCCTTGCGGAGCGTGGCAGGGGTCACGCATGCCTCTAGAAAGAAGGCAGTGTTTGCTGGAAAGTGAAACTGCAATAAAAAAAAATAAGCAGACCAGCCACTCCAACCACCACGAACCTCGCACCCCGGGCGGAGAGGCAAGGAGGTGCTGGGCAGTCGGGGAAACAGTCCTTCCTGGAGCCCGGGGCAAAGGAACAGCCATCTCTTAGCTCAGCCTCGTCTGTGTTTTACTAAGATCGCCCTCGACCATCTACTGTGAGAACACACTGTATGAGTCCGTACCTGTGAAGTATCGATTCCACTCACATGGAGGATCTAAAGTAGCGGACTCAGAAACAGAAGCAGAGTGGCGGGTTCCGGGGCGGCAGGAGGGAGGACGGGAGCGGCTCAACGCTCTGGAGACCCACTGCACAACCGCGTGCATGAACCTAACCCTCCTGAACTGTACACGGGACGATGGTGAAGATGGTGAATTTTATGATAAAGGTTTTTTTTAAGCACAATTAAAAAAATTAAAAACACATCATTCAAAAGCACTGAAGAGGGCTGGATGCTAATTTTAAAGTTAGGAAATACTGCAAGAGGCACAGAAAGTCACAGGAGGGCGGAGAGGACTGTGAAATACCAGCCAGCCCCACTTCCGGCTTCCTGGGGCCCATGCACCCCTCTCCCTGCTCCGCCCCCTGCCCCCACCTCAGCGTCAGGCACGAGTCTGTATCCTGCCTTGCTCCAAGTCTCCTCGGCCAAGTCCTCTCCCAGAACAGGCTGAGCACAGGCAAAGTCCCTGCTACCATGGCATGTTGAAGGCTCAGGTCAAAGACAAATAAATGTGTATTTTTTCCCCAAATTGAAGCCATTTCTTTCTTGTTGCCTTGAGGAGTGAGAGCAATGAAGGATATGGCTGCAATTAATCAGGCCCGTAGAGGCAAGCGCTGGCTAATGCAACATGAAAAGGGGACCCAGCCAAGCTGCCTGGCGCCTTCCTGTTCATCTCCACCCCCGGCTTGGTCAGGAATCCCCTGCAGCACCGTCACGGACCCTTCGCTAAGGGGGGACCTCGGCTTGGGTCGGCTAAATCGCTGAGGGTGCCGCTTGCTCTGCACTGTTTTGGAGCCGGGGCAGGGGAGCAAGGTGCAGGGAAGCCACCTTCTACTGGGCACTGGGTGTCTGGAAATAAATGCTGGGGAGCACCTGGGGGAAGGGCCTCTCGCCGGGGGCTCCTCGGAGGGTGGTGGGGGCAGCTGTGGCCCATGCACCGTATTCAGCGTTCAGAGCCCTTTCTGCCATCTGACCTAACCGCCGGCTAGAACGGCACGGCGGGAGGCGTGTGGGTGGCGATGCTGGCCCGTGCACTCTTTGCTTCCGTGTGTACAGACGGGAGTGTTTATTCACTCTGGCTGCCGCTTCTATAGTAGGAGGGTAAGCATTTGTAGAAAGAGCTGGAGTGGCTCATCTACCCGGCCAAGCTCTCTCCAGCTGTCTGCAGAGCGAGCTTGACTGCAGGGCCAACAACGCCACAGACAGGGCTACAGTTCACCCGGGGACAGTCGTGGTCTGTGGACGCAGCCAGTGCCTGCCTGTGGCGAGGGCAGCAGCTCCACTCTGTCTTTGCTCATTTCTGGCCTGAGAGAGAGCGCCAATCCCTTTTCAATACGCCACTTCTTTATGACATGGTTTGACAGCGTCAATTAGCTTCTGAGAAGGCACAGGGATGTAAAAAGGAGAAAAGAAAACAGCATGGCACCTCTGGAAGGAGGCCAGAAGGTTAGGAGAATTCCCAAGAGGGCTGGCGGGTGGCCCCATGCTGCTGGGCCCCCAGGACAGCTGTCAGGTGTCCCCAAAGGAACCCAGGCCGCTCTCGGACGAGCGAGATGCACGGGTCAGGGGTCGGCACTGGAACCAGGAGGCGGCATCCTCAGGGTCCCCACCCTCCCCAAGGACGAGTCCACCTGTGAGACCACAGACAAGCCCCCTGCCGTCTGCTTCTCCCCTTCGGGCAGCCACAAGCCTTAAAGAAAAGGAACTCGGCTGTAAAAATTAACAGGCAAATGCAAGCACGAAACCCAGCTGCATGGGATGAGCCCCACTCCCAGAGGCCCCTCAACCACAAGCAACGCCTCTTCCCGGGGGTCCCGGAGAGGGGACGCTGTCCATCAGCCATGAGGCCCAGCTGGGACGTGTGTGACCAGAACAGAACTGGCCTTTCAGACTTTACACATCGGGAGCACTGAAGTCAAGATATTTCACCCTGGCCAGTTTTGCTCAGTGGATAGAGCCTCAGCCTGCGGAATGAAGGGTCCCAGGTTCGATTCCGGTCAAGGGCATAGGCCCGGGTTGCGCGCTTGATTCCCAGTAGGGGGCGTGCAGGAGGCAGCCAATTGGTGATTCTCTCTCATCATTGATGTTTCTATCTCTCTCTCCCTCTCCTGCCCTTTCTGGAATCAATAAAAATTTTTTAAAAAGCTATTTTTACATATAATGAGTCTGTATGATAATCTTCCCCAGTCGAAAGCTCAGTAAAATGAGAATCTGCCCAGGTAGATGAAGGGATTGCTGCAGCCCTTTCTCTGGGGCCTACTGCAGAAGGTAACCCCAAAGGTCAGTGTTTGGGGAAATCCAATTAACCTGGAGATGCTCACGGCGGAGGGAATGGTGCAGAGCTAATTACTGCCAGTCGGGCAGCATGTCCCCGGGGCACAGGCCGTGCTGTGCTGTCCCGGAGCCACCAGGGGGCTGCGCACAAGGGCAGGCACTCGGCTGAGCGGGAGCAGGGACCTGCCCAGGGTCGCGCAGCTGAGAGCCCACACTGGCGACTCTCCATCCCCGGGAGGTCTCCTCTCACACTTTCTCCTGCTGCTCTGACTGTGCTCCTATTCCTAGAGGCGTGTCCCCGTCCCCTCCATGCTTTCACAAGATCCAGGTCAAACCTCCCCTCCCACAAAGCTTTCCTGGCTGTGCCCACCAGCGTGCTCTCTCCTGCCTCACAGCTCGTCCAGCGCTAAGTGTCTGGACCTCGGCCGGCCCGGCACAGCTTCTCCTGCGGTCTCCTGTGTGGCGTGGCCTGTGCACAGGCCTCTGCGACGCCAGAAAGCCGCGTCCTTCTGCCGTTATCTCCACTGCACGCGGCGAGGCTGGATGTGAAACCCAAGGATGGACAGAGCAGAGGAGGTGCCACGAGGGCCGGGTGGGCGGGGAAGTGGCCACTTTGAGAGGAGACGCTCCTTAACTACGGCCTCAGCGTCAGGGGGGTCTGGCCGATCAGCCCCCAGAGCAGCCGTTTCCACGAGAGCATCGCTGTCCTCACGCCGCTCTGCTCTGTGGGTCCGAGTTTCTATGTTAAGACAGAAGCCGTGGCTCCTACGATATGAAGACCCCCGAGGACTTTCTGTTACTAGCTCAGAGGGGGCAGGGCCCGGATCATAGAAGTGCACGGGGTGAATGGGGGGTGCGACCCAGCACATCTCCCTTCCCACAATTCCACGGGGACCAGAAAGAACCTCAGACTGGCTCAAAACTTCATGCCACGCTACGAGGACTACAGCGCAGACGGGCTGTCATCTGCAGTCACCCAGCGAGCTGTGGCAGCAAGGAATCCACGCGTCTCCCCAGGCCTTGCCACCACACGTCTGCTGTGCCTCTCCCTGCAGAACAGGCTGCTGTGAGTAACAACGGCCCTTCCCACCGGGTTAGAATTCTGATGGGAAGAGAAACCTCCCAGAATGAACACACAGCCCAGACCTGCCCGGTGCTGGGCACGATCACGGCATCAACATGACCACCGTGACTGGTGACCTGGGGAAGGAAGTCGGGTGGTAGATGTAAATGAAATAAACTGAAGACACGAAACCTGGATTTAAGTTCACAGTAACTTCCAGGCTGAGTTGGGTGAGACACTTCCCCCTCTGGCTGTTTCCTGGTTGTAGAAACGTATCTACAGGGTTCCCAGTCGGGGAGCTACTGGTGTTAGGACAGGCTCTGCTCCCCCTCAGGACTGTCCTCCATACTGTGGGACACCTGGCGCGCTGGCCTCGGGCCACCCCAGTCACCGTGACAACCAGAAACGCCACCCCCCACTTCACACTCCCCCACTGAGAACGGCCTGGGGGTCTCCAGGCCGGGCGGCCATAAAGCTCCAGCAGGAAGACACCCGGCCCCGGGAGGCCAGGGCAGGCGCGGGCGACACCCACCCGTAGATGTCTAGGACGCCGATGAAGGAGTGCTGCTTGAGGGCGGTGTGCAGCGCCTTGTTGACCTGCTCCACGATCCAGCCGAACAGCTGCGCGTAGATGTGCTTGGCCAGCGCGTTGCGGGCGTTGACCACCTGCTGCAGGGACATGGTCTTCACGTAGGTCTCCGCCGTGGTGACCAGCTTGCGGTGGCACAGCCAGTGCTCCATCTGGCTGTGCTCCACCCCCAGCAGGCGGCAGAAGGCGCTGAGGTGCTCATCCTGCGGCTGGAAGATGCACAGGGGTGGGGTCAGGGCGGGGATGGGGTTCCGGAGGGGCGTGGCGGACAAGCACCCCTGCGTGCCCTCTCCCCCCTGCCCAGGGGAGCATGGGCCCCAATGCTCCAGTCTCACCAACACTCCGCTAAGTGGAGAGGACAGCTAGGGCCCGAAGAGTGTCATTCAAGCTGATCATGACCCCTGCCACTGACCAAATGATCAGGGCGTTAGCCAACAAAACTCCCCCCTTTCCTGTCCCCTCCTCCACCGCCAGCTGGCTGCAGAGGGACTGGTTGAGAGGACACCCCGACTGCAGCGAGCGGGTAAACCATTAGGAGTGAGGAGCTGGGGGCCAGCAGGACCCAGGGGAGGCCGTGCCACCTGCAGAGCTCCATGCGCAGGGCCTGCCCTCAGCCAGAAAGAATCCGCACTGACCAGCGAGGCTCTGAGCGGCACTGGCACGGGTCTCAGCGCCGTGCCAGCAGCGAGCCCCAAGCCGAGCCTGCACGGACGGCACCTGTCCGGTCTTCCAAGCAGATGTTCTCTCATCGTAGCGCCAGGGCCACTAAATCACATGCCACTGAACTTTACAGTCTTAAAGCTCAGGGGAAAGTGAATCCAGGCGGGAAGCTGGACAAGTGGCTAAAGTATGGGACTGGTTTTGACCTGAAATATCACCCGGAACACGGCCTGCTAACGTCACAAGCTGAGAGCTGGGAAAACAGGACTTCCTCCAGCCTAAGTCCCTTCCCCCCACCCCCCACCCCGAGAAGCCCAGCCCTGCAGCAGTGCAAGGTCTCACCCAGGAGCCCAGGGCCCAGTGACCCAGAGAACCCAGCTGCTCCGTTGGCTGCACTTTATCCCGACCCTCCCTTCCCCCAGCCCCAACCACACCACCGGCCTCTGAGTCACTGAAACCAGATGTCCCACAGGAACTTGTCTCATTTCACCCAAGGTGCATGTTTCTTGGGCACTCGGGGACCCCCGGAAACCCCGCTTTTCCTCAGAGGTGCCCCATTATTCATCCCCCACCTCACTCCACACGGGAAGTGACCGCCTAGCCATGAAAGGGCGGCCGTGAAAACATGCCGGCCGCCTCCTAATGGCCCTGCATTGCTGGTGGAACTCCTTTTCGGACGAGGCTGACTAGCAGGCTTTGCATGAGGGCTACCACTTCCCTCTCAACACTCCATCCCCAGGCTGTGCTGTTTCTCCTAGGGATATTTAAAATCTAAACGGAATAAACACAATTACAAAGCAACAGAATGCCAGAGGAGGAGAGAACCTCCCCAAATCATTAAGGCCCAAAGCATGTTCTATGGAGCAGTAGTTACAATAGTTAATTGGCTTTTAACAAAAGGGGGGTGGTGACATCAGGTCGAACACAGCTGTGCTGGTTTGTGAACCTGTAAGCACCAAGAGGCAGACCCTGCACCACGCACTTCCTGGACGCTTAGAACCCAAAGAGCCCTCGCTTTCCCACGAAATGGCCTAGAGCAGTGATGGCGAACCTATGACACGCGTGTCAGAGGTGACACACGAACTCATTTTTTTGGTTGATTTTTCTTTGTTAAATGGCATTTAAATATATAAAATAAATATCAAAAATATAAGTCTTTGTTTTACTATGGTTGCAAAGATCAAATATTTCTAAATGTGACACGGCACCAGAGTTAAGTTAGGGTTTTTCAAAATGCTGACATGCCGAGCTCAAAAGGTTCGCCATCACTGGCCTAGTCACTGGCCTAGAGCCAGTGGTCGGCAAACTCATTAGTCAACAGAGCCAAATATCAACAGTACAACGATTGAAATTTCTTTTGAGAGCCAATTTTTTTAAACTTAAACTATATAGGTAGGTACATTGTATATAGGTATATAGGTAGGTACAAAGAGCTGCATGTGGCTCTCGAGCCGCAGTATGCCAACCACAGTGGTCGTGAGCCACATGCGGCTCTTTGGCCCCTTGAATGTGGCTCTTCCTAAGCCTTAGGAGTACCCTCATTAAGTTAATAACAATGTACCTACCTACATAGTTTAAGTTTAAAAAATTTGGCTCTCAAAAGAAATTTCAATCGTTGTCCTGTTGATATTTGGCTCTGTTGACTAATGAGTTTGCCGACCACTGGCTAGGATTAAGGTTCCCAGGAAAACACCTTGGGAATGGTCATTCTAACCCAATCCTCCTCCTTTCTCGGATGTGGCCCAGAGCGCCTCACCCAGCCTCGCGAATCGGCGTGGGCTGGTGGGTGTGGAGAGCCCCGTCTTTTCACTCTCTCAGCAAGTGGGGTTGCCATGGCCACTCTGCACGGACCCCCCATCTGCTCGCTCCCTCCCCCAAACAGAAAGCCATCCGTGGCAAAGGGAGGTGCCTGGGGGCTGCCTGGCAGGCAACAGGTTCTGAGGGGGCAAGTGTCCGACTTACTCATCGGACCTATTTCCAAGAAATTCTTCATTGCCGGGCACAGCACGGCAGCTGGATTCCGACATGCAGACGGCCTGCTACAGCCACGTCGCCGCCCACGCCTGCCCTCAGGTCCCTCCCCTCCCCGGCAGCTCCCAGGGGCACACGGTGGAGAAAATGCCGAGCATCACCTGGGACGGGATGGGTTCCCACCCACCACGGGGGGGGGGGGGGGGGGGTGGCTCCCCCTGCGTGACCCTCTGCTGACTGTTGATTACAGGTGCTAACTGAAGCTGATGTAACATCATGCAATTACATTTAGGCTTAATTAAATGATGCTAAATCCATTAACCAGAGCCAGCAGCACAGATCGCAGATTAGGTTTTTGGGCCGATGTGGCCAAATTCAAAAAAGCAAATCGCCTCTGGCGTCCAAGTCACTGCAAGCGGCTGCATCTCCCAGGCAGCTCTGGTGGTCGAGGACCACGGTTCCTGCTGTAATTAAAGATGAAAGCCAGCGAGCAGAAGGCACACTGCGCATGGATGGCAGCGTTTCCCTGGGAGGCCCACCCCCCACCCCGCGGAATAGACCACAACGCATCTGAGAGGGGACCCTCCCTGCATCCTCTTGGTGAGGCGTTTCTCGGGCACACGCTGCGTGCCAGCACTGTGCCAGGCACCAGCGGGGGCCGTGAGGCCAGGGGAAGGCGGCCCAGGCCCAGGAATGGGCAGTGTGCAGGGGAAGTTCGCTGGCTGGGCCTGGACTTGGCTTTGTGACCTTAGAAAGGAGCGTCCTCCCTCTGGGCCTGTGAAATGAGGAGGATGCCCCTGGGGTCCACTCTGGCTCTAACCACATGATGATGGTCGTTGAGAACTGAACCGTGGGCCCTGTGGTAAGGCAGGTGCATCACCCCCTTTGCAGACGAGGAAGAGACCAGGAAGGTTAAGGAACGATCAGTAAGAGTCAGATCCAGGATTTGAACCCTGGCGGTCCTGACTCCCAGGTCTCAGCTCAATAAGTTCTCTCCATGGCCTCTAGTTGGAGAATAATCCAAGACTCGCCAGACCCATGGTCGGCAAGCTGCGGCTCGCGAGCCACATGTGGCTCTTTGGCCCCTTGAGTGTGGCTCTTCCTAAGCCTTAGGAGTACCCTAATTAAGTTAATAACAATGTACCTACCTATATAGTTTAAGTTTAAAAAATCTGGCTCTCAAAAGAAATTTCAATCGTTGTCCTGTTGATATTTGCTCTGTTGACTAATGAGTTTGCCAACCACTGCGCCAGACCATGGGCCTGCGCTCAGAAGCCTCCGACTTGCAGGTACCTCCAAGGGCAAGGGCCTGCTGTGCCACGTGGTACCCAGACCTCTGTCTGTCAGGGGTCCTGCCCCCTCCTCACACTTGGCACCTCCCAGGACTTGGCGACAGCTGGGCCTAGGAGAGGCCTGTGATGACCCCACACAGAGTCACTGAGTCACGGCAGGACATCGGTCTTGTCAGCACAGCCCAACGAGATACCTGTGAGCACAGCACGGGGCTGTCCGTTCTGCTCCGGCACCCGCTCCACCAGCGGCCCAATAGACATGTTGTTATGGCCGCACATCGGGTACCACGCTGGGCACCAGGAAAGTAACAGTCATCGTGAGTGTGTATCAAGCGCCTTGCAGTGTGCAATGCCGTCACACGGATGTCTCAATATCCCGCCCCTGCTCTCAGGATCTCGGCAAGTGTGGTCAGCTGTCCTATCTCCCCAATTAGCTTGTGAAGCTCCTTGCAGACGGTCATGAGTGTGGAGCCTAACACGCCTTCACAGCCTTCCAGAATGGTCTGCAGGCGGGAGCTCCTCGCACTCATGGGCTGATCACATGGGTAGCATTCCAGGGACCTCAGGGCACTTGCAAACCAAACCATCAAAAATATTGAGGTCCGGCCCATGGGCTCGGTCGGTTAGAGTGCTGTCCCCATACGCCAAGACGGTGGGTACACTCCCCGGTCAGGGCACATATAAGAATCAACCAGTGAAGGCACCAACCCAATGCCTGTCTGTCTAGCTCTCTCTCCCTCTCTCGAAAGTCAATTAAATGTACTGAAGAGCCACTACATTCCCTGCCCTCCGTGATAGACATTTGATGGCAGCTGATTTGGAAAAGGATTTGTTCTTTCAAAACACTATCAGCAAGGGACCAGAAACCATTTCTGGGAAGAATAAATAACCTACGCGTGCCCTCTAAACGCACAGACGCGTTTCGGTCGTGGGGAACTGCGAGAACAGGGGGAGCTGCGGACATCTGCCTCCGCGCTGGCATGCGACTTACTGATACGCTACAGGAGTCATCCTGGCGCTCGGCCTGAATCTCCACGTTTCCCAGGTGCAGGATGGAAGCGATTATCTTAAAAATGCTTATCTGGTGGGACTCTCTCACTCCTGGGGGAAAAAAGAACAAATGACACTCAATCTCCACAGCAGGATAGAAAGGGCATTTCACCTTTTTAAGGGCCTTTTCGTGTTTTTTTTTTTAAAGGTTTGATTTGCCTTTCTGGGGCAGTGACTCCTAAAACGATTCCAGCTCCTCACCAAGTAATTGCCACTCACAGCACAGCTCCGAGGGCACCGGGCTCCCCGACTGAACGGGCGTGCCTCCGCTCTGACCGTCGTGATCAGACCAGAGGGGTCACGGCACCGTCTTCCCGTCTCCAGGAGCAAAGGAGGGGCAGCAATCTGCAGGCTCATTTTGGACTCAGATTTCCACCACACGCTTCATGGGTGTCGTGATGAGTTTAATAAGAATGGTCGTTTATCTGCCGCCATTTTCCTCCCAACACAATCTCCCACAAACATCTGCGGCACCCATCCAAAGTGCCGACGGGGGAGGGGGAGGAGAAACGCCCGGGAGAGCCGCGACGGCCGGGCGGCCAGGGAGCCGCTGCTGCCCCCCACGCCATATGCTCCCTCGCAGGGACAGGCACGCACGCCTTCCCCGAGCCACTGTGGCAGCAAACGCCCTGTCACATTTGTGTACGTGACTAAGTTGCCAAAGACATGGATAATCTCTTACAATGTTCACTTCGCTGTCAGGCATTATCCCGTCTCCTTAAATTGCAAAATATTTCAGAAGCAAAATAAAAGTTACGGAATAATGCAATGAACACCAGTCAGCCTACCACACTGTTGAGGAAATAATACAGTTGTTCCCACATATTCCTCCCCAGCTGCAATTAATTTTAAGGCAATCATTTATCAGACTAAAAATAAGTCAGTGACACCTATGTTCGTGGGAGTAAACACGTGTCCTGCCAGGATGGAAACCTTTGCTCATTTAGCCCAGAGAGCAGTGCACCCTCAAGTTCCCACTTTGAGGACAGGTCAACAAGAAGTGTGGACACCTGAAAGCTGGGGCGGGAGAAGAGCGAGGAAAGACTCGCTGAGGACAAGAGGCCTCCCCGTCCGCTGACGAGGGTGGACAAGCCAAGTGGGAGTGGCCATGCTTTTCTCCTCCCCATGAAAGGAACCCTGCCGGCCTCCCCCGCTCCCCCCAAGCTCCTTACCAAGGAGCGTGAAGGCTTGTCGAGTCTTCTCAAAGTCCTCCGCGTCGTCCACGCCCTCGATGGACGTGTCTCCTCCCTGGGACGTGTAGAAAAAGTCCTCGGCACAGGCTGTGGAAGGAAGGAGCGAGGCATCAGACATGGGGATGGGGGGAAGCACTGAGGGAGGAGAGCTTCACCCCCAGTTTACCCGCAGACAGTGATGCGTGGGGAGTCCTGCTCCCTTAGTAAGCCACCCCAGACCCGGTGACATCCCCAGTCCACATGGAACCCTCTCCCACATTATCTGACCTGACAATGGCAAGTGGAGAGAAAACTTAAATAAGGAAAGACAGACAATGACACCCACAGCCAGGATGAGGTGTCATGTTTGTGTAAAACGGTTCTGTGGCGATCAGGGGAAGGGACAAGATGAGCGAGGCAGGGCCATTCACCCCGGAGTAGAATTTGCCCAAGACTTGTTTCTAAAAGGGGCCTAATCCACACAGGCAGGTAAGATGTGCGCACACCTAGAATCCCAGGCTCCCATGACCTTCAACGACCTTCGCCTGAGCATCTTGTCTGATAAAGGAGGGGCAGCGATATGCCCAAGGGGACATGCATCTTTGGTTCATTTGTTTTACTAAGTTGAAGCACCCTTGAGCCACTGGGCACATGGACAAGGCTGGGACCCTCGCTGTTTGCTCTCAGCCCCCCACTTCATTCCTCTTCAGTCCGGCCTTGGGGGCAGCCGGGGCGGCAGGTGAGGGCCAGGCTCGGTACTAGAGCTCAGAGCCTGCCTTGGCAGAAGGAGTAACGGACACCGCCCGGGAGCATTTGCACTGTGGGGCCAGGAAGCTAGCATTTAAGGCCACAAACACACATGATCCAAACCACCCCGAAAAGCACTCACGTTTCCCACACTCTATGTAGCACCTTTGGGTGGTACAACCCTGCCTGGGACTTAGTATCTCCATGTGTATAACGTCTGATGTCGACATTGGCTGGTTTTCCTCCTCCTCTGAGCATGTGCCGTGGAGCACGCATCAGTGGAACATGCCTAGACGCCCCAGTCCTTCCTCAACACGACTTTCCAGTTTGACCTCCTAGCCACTTCTGAGTCTCCCTCCTTCCTCCACTCTGACTGGGTCTAACCTTCAGCGCCTGCTGGCTGAGGCCTGTTGCAAAAGCTTAGCCAGTCTCCTGCTTCTGCCCCGTGCCTGGAACAGCCAGCAACGCGCTCTCCGTTAAAGCGCACAGAGACCCCTCCTGCCCCGCTGCCCTCAAGGCAGAGGTCAAAGGCCCTCGAAGAGCCTGCTGGGCCTTTCTTCATGAAGTGGCCTCCCCTGTCCCACACTCGGGCCTGTCCTTCCCCACCTCTCCGTCCCAGCTTCCTGCTGCCATTCCTCACCTCACCCGTCAGCCCCTTAAATGGCCCTGCTCACCTCTCCCTCCTGGCCGCTCCCCATTTCCCACTTTGCACCCCGTGCTCCACGCCACTGAGCTTTGCCAGTGCCTCCGCCGGTCAAGCCCACAGTGCCAGGCCCAGCTAGGAAGCAAACAGCTCAGTCCCCAGCCCCCGCCTCACACAGCCTGAGCCGGAAGCATCAGGCGACACCTCTGCCCAGGAACGAGCGCCTAAGCCAGGCGTAGGGTAGGAAGGAGGGCTCCCTGGAGGAGCCGCTCACACGCTGGTGCCTGGAGGCGCTCCAACGGGAGAGGAAAACGTGGACCCTGAACTCACCACAGGCTCAGCAAAGGGAGAGCCTATGGAGGAAGGCACTTCAGGCCTCTGTGCAGGGACATGCTCAGCCCCCTCACATCTCACCGCGCTGAGGGCTCTGGCACAGAGCGAGCGTGCCAAAGGCTTGGTGAAAGCACCAGGTCTCATTTCCCTGTAGGCTCGCCTTTCAGAGCACCTCCTGTGAGGCCTACGTGGAGGCAACTGAAGGTGCATGCACCTGCAGCGCAGCCCCCACCACCACCACCAGGGCGGCGACGTGGTGCACTCACTCAGGGCGAGCTCCTTCAGTTCCGGGAGGCTGGCCGCCGCGCAGAGCTGGTAGAAGATGTGGTAGTTCCTCTCGTCGTCTGCCTGGAGGAGGACAAAGGTCAGCAGTTTTAGGCTGGTCACCCCCAGGAGCGCCCCCTCCCCATCCTAACCCCAGGGTGCTCCGGTGTCAGAGGTCAAGACTTCTCCACACCTGCCCCTCAACCCCACCTCCGATCTTCCAGCCACTCAAGTGGGGCCTTCTTCCAACCCAGGGGGTTTCCCCTCTGAAATGAAAACGTTATTTCCTTTCCCTTCTATGAACATCATTGCTATTCCGCACACGGCGTGTCCGCCATCAGCACCCACTCAGCCAGCCGTGCTGCCGGCTCCAGCTGCATAGACACACCTCCCGCTGTGGGCTCCTGTCTCCTCGGGAGGCCTGGGGCTGAGGAAGAGCCCGCTCTGGCCCACCGCCAGGCTGGGCAGCAGGAAAGGTCCCTGAGTGAGGCAGGGCTGAGGGCACATTCGGGCCAGACCTGCCCTAAGTTGGCACTGGTGTTGGCATCAGGTTGTTGGGGGGGGGGGGGAGGCCCGAATGAAGGGAGCCGGGGGGAGGAAAGCTCCCGGGTGCTGAGGGGAGTCTGGCAGAGCCTGGGCAGCACCTTACCCGCACCCCGTGCAGCGGGCTGTGTGCTTGGCTGCAGGGAAACGAAGACCGTGGGGCTGTCTAGTCAAACCTGGGAGGTGGAGAAGCAGCCTCAGCAACACAGGGAAAGAAAAACGACCAAGCTGGCTAAGGAGATCGTGAAGCCATTGCCAAGAGTCAGCACGGAGACGGGTGCCACGAGACACGAACACCTGAGGCCTCTTTTGATGTCCCCTCTGGAGGCGGCTGAAATGCCAGGGCAGGAAGCCATTCGCCGGGGGAGAGTGTGCGGCCGGCTCACACCCGGGCACAGACCAGCGTCTCGGTCCCGGGATGGGACATCGAAAGGAGCTGGAGGAGGCCCGTTCTCCTGCTGGGAGCCGACTGACCTCCACCAGAGGCCGGGAGGAGGCAGAGGGGGCCATCAAGAAGCCGAAGAGCAGTGGGAAGAAGGGAACGGAAGGCGAGCACAGAAATGAGGAACCGAGTCTGGGGAGAAGCGGGAACCCCATTAATTTGAAAAGAAAACTGGGTTGGTTTTTGCCTTTTTTATAACCTGCCAAGTAGGAAGGTTCCCGGGAGAGCTCAGCCCCATAGACGCCGTGTGGCATCCCCTGGCCATGCCGCTGAAACCCACGGAGGACTCCTTCCTCACGGCCCCTTCAGGGTCGAGCACCGGCTCGCACCTAACAGGCACTCAGTATGTGTGTGTTGACTGAATCTGAAAACAATACTCACTGGGAAATAACTGGTACCATGTTTTCCAGGCATGATGCCTACAGCACTTGAATGCATACTTAACGATGGAAGGAGAGAAATAAAACCAAAAGAACAAGCGTCTCCCATTCCAGGCTCAGAGGGTGAGTTGCTCTTCGGATGCAGGGCGTGGGGTCGGGGAGCAAGTCTCAGCGTCCATGGGGGGAAACATACAGAACGCGCCCCGTCGCCCCCTCACCTGGAAGACCACCCTGGACTTCTCCAGCAGGTAGGTCCTCATGTTGGCCCCGATGATGTGGTACCTCTTGTCAAAGCCAATCTGAATATACTTCCCAAAGCGGCTGCTGTTGTCATTGCGGGTGGTTTTGGCATTTCCGATGGCCTGTTCAGAACAAACAAACGAAAGATGTGCAAGACGAGGAGGGCTTGCCCGACGTCTGGGGATCGCCGCTGAGGGACACGCCCGCTTTACCTCACCAGGCTGCGTCAGGGAGTGACAGGATGGATCTACACGTGCTTTTAAAGTATAAAATGGTACCCACACAGGGAAGAGGTCGTATTATTACTACCAAACCCATAATCCCTACTGTGGGAATGAAGAACTTTCAATGTCTGTGTGTGTGAAGAACTTGCATGTCATTCTCTGGCTTTTAAACCCAGGCTGGGTTTTTCTGGTGACTGACCTAGGAAACATGTTGATGCAGGAGGGAAGCCAGTCCAATTGCTATGAATGATACAAATCCAAGCTTTGACCATCACTGAGTCCAGAGTCCAACAAAAGAGGCGGATACGATGCAAGTAGTTAAAACTTGGAAAAGGAGCAAATGATAGAAGCAGGAAATTACAGAAGAAACTCACATGACTGATGAACATCAGAAAAAGACACACGGCCTCAGCAGTAATCAGGGAGCGGCAGGCTAAACGGACAGACCAGAGTGGCAGTAACCAAGGGCTTTGAGACTATGAAATGAGGATGAGGCTGTACAGAAAAGGAGACTCGCACACGGCTGGTTCAATGTAAATGGGGACAACCATCTGGGCACATCAATAAAACTGAACACCCATGCCCCTAACAACTCATCACCGCTACTTCTAGACAGTACCTAGAGGCTGCATGTGGCAATACAAATATATAACCTAAATGTCCACCAATAGGGGGAAGAGACACATAAAATGTGGAACAGTCATACAATGGATACCATAAAGCTGTTCAACAAAGTACATTGGAGCATGATTCATGGATAAATAAAAAGACGTTGAGTGGCAAGCATTCACGAGATGGTGGATAGCATGTGGCTCCATGCATGGGGAACATCACGGAATAGGCTTCTTATTTGCATGCACACATATGGAGTAAAATAAAAGTGGACTGGAACGTGTCATTTCAACGTAACTGAGATTATTCAATAACCAGGTACCTCCTGTGCAGCATGGAAACAGAAGGAAGGGAGCCATTAGCTGGGCCCTGCAGACTGAAAGCAGCTTCACGTGTCTAATGAAGTGGATGTTAGAGGGCGACAGACTTTTACCCCCAGGGGAGGACGGGGTTCTGACTATAAATACAGCGTGGGCAAAGGGGCAGGGGCATGTGAGAGCACGGACACGTGTGAAGTGGGTAGAGTATGTGGACACATGAGAGAAGCCAAGAGGAGATGGGATCAGCAAGGGATGTTGAGGCAGATTCTTATACAGGTGAATAGTTATAGGCTTTCTTGTTTTTTTATCTTTGAAAAGAAAATTCAAGCCCTGAGAATGTGCATAGTAACTGGTCTTAGTTTCTATCCATTTCCCTAACTGAAACCCTGGCCTCCTTTCTTTCTCCCAGGATTTTTTTTTGGGGGGGGGTAGGTACCCTCTGAGGCTCCCACAGTTGTATGCCAGCAGACTCGTCACCCCAACAAGCCACGGGACCCCGTTGGCCTGAGCTGGGGTTCTGCCCCGACTCTAGCTGTCTCCTGATTACCAACGGCCCTTTAATCAGTGCTGACTGTGAGCGAGTCGCTGCCGGGCTGCTGATAAGCTCTTACACAGAACGGGGTCAGAGAGCTCTGCGCTGACACCGAATCAGGCCAATCCGTCCTCGAATCACTTTTAATTCGAACAACTGCCACTTGGCGCAGCCCCAGGGGAACTCGGCCTCCTCACACCCGCTCTCTCCCAGTCTCCCCCGGAGGCGCTGCCGTCGCTGGGCTGTAGACATCATGAGATGAAGACAGAACCATAGCCCGCTGCTTCGTGGGGAGGAGCACTCCTTCCCCGGGAGGGGCAGAGCCATCAGCAGTCGGCTGCCCCCTGATTAAGACGGGCCTGGCTTGGCCATGACCCTCTGAGGAGCCACTGGGCTCCCTGGACACAAGGACCCGGCTAGACTCTAGACTTATGACAAGTTGGCGACACTCTGACCCCACCCAGAGTTCTTCCTGCCCAAGTTCATATCCAGGATCTCGTATTAGTCTAACACTTAATAACAGCTCAAGGATGGTAAAATTCTACATTTGACAGAATGAGCCTTCGGGACTTACACAATTTCCCAAGTCCCAACTCTACAAGGCAGAAATTTAATGTTTTGAGCCCAAATGACTGTAGCATTTATTTGCACGACATCATGCAAGATTAGGCTGGTTCATGTACACACTCCTTCCTCCTTTAGACCTTAGCAACTGAACCCCATCTGTGTATTTGGGGAGCATATTGCACTCACATGTCTCCCATGCTACAGCACCCTGCCTGCCCAGCCATCCACTCACCTACCCAGGCCATAACGGATACTGAAGACAGAATTTAGATCACTGCCATTTAAAAATCATTCCCAGAACAGGAACTCAGGGAGATGCTCGCGTGCCCACGGTCACAGGAGCATTAGTCACAGTAGCCAAAATAATGGAAGCGATTTCTCCCTCGGCAGTGGACAGCAGGCTCTCGGTGAGAGACGTGAATGCTGACCGCCTGGGGTGCTCCCAAGGGTTCTTGTGAGCAGCCACCCAAGGTGGGCACCCAGCAGTCCTGCTGCCGGCGGAAGGGACTCCAACCAGGAAGGCCAAGGGCGCTGGAAGGCTTTACCTCCATGATGGGACTGGATGCCAGGACCTTCTCTTCGATGTTGGTGTCACTGGCTGAGCCGCCCACCGTGGCGAAATAGCGCATGGCGTACTTGGCGGACACCGTCTTGCCGGCTCCGGACTCCCCGCTGACGATGATGGACTGGTTCTTCTCGTCTCTGGAAGGGAAAGCACTGGTCAGGTGCTGGCCATGGAAGGCGCTGCTGCCTGCGGCCTGAGCCCGACCGGGAGCATCTCTGTCTCTTAGGGACGAAGGTAAGGGACAGGATCGGCAAAGTGGGAGCAGGAAAGGAGTTCTGAAAGGGCTTGCGAATGACACACACCCTTCTTTATGACACACAGGAAGGGGCGCAGCCCGCCGGTCACTCGGCCAGGCTCTCTCTGGATGCAACGCCCCTTAGGTCACCGCCATGTACAGATAAATCTCCCCTGAGAACGTACAGATGCATAGTCTCACCCTTATTTCTGTAATAGGCCCACCTTGTGCTGCTGGGTAAGTTACCATATTTTCAAGAACAAGGATCCTTTCTTCTCCCCTGGTAGCTGAGCCTAGCGTGCCAGCGGACAGTTTTGAACACTTCTGTCCGTATGTATGTATCACAAAGGGCAGCCATTCGCCACCGGGCAGGTCTCGCCTCAAGTTTCCCAGAAATGAGATAAACAGCTATCAATTACAATAAGAGGGATTTCAGTCGGACTAAATGGAAGGTAGAAAGAACTCTATGTCAGATAGAAATGTATCTATATTTATCCCTTTAAAACAGCAGGAAGACAGATGAGTGATGGAAAGAGCAGGCGATGAGGTTCAAGGAACATAGATGGTCAAGCAGAGAGTTGAGAACAAATGTTTGGGCCACGGGTTGGGAGGTGAGTTGCTTGTAAGGGCTACACTCAGCCATCTGCCTCCAGTTCACACGCGCACTGCCAGGAGGCAAACACTTCACTTTCCATCTCCAGTGCTTGGCACAAAATAGATCCTCAATATATACAGTTGGACTAGCAGCTTCTTAGGGATCAACCAGCCCCTCTTTTCCAGATGAAGAAACTGAGACGTGGGAAGGTGGGTTTAGAACTCAGGGCTCCTGGCACCAGCCGAAAACTCTTCACACCAGCCCCGTGGCTTGCTGGGCAGAGCGGGTTATAGGAGAATGAGCAGAGCAGCCACCACCTCACCTGGCTAATAACCCACACAGGTAGGCTGCAGTTTATCCGCACAGAGGGCTGGGCCAATGGCCAAGAAGCTGGGAAAGTGGTGCCCTGGGGTTGATGTTAACTGGAGATGGATGAGAAAGACAGAAAGGAGCTGGGAGCACCGGGGAGATGCAGGTGAGCTAACTGGGCTGAGGAAGCCTTAACCTTCAGCCACTCTTCAAGGTCAGCAAAGAGCTGTGTGGTCCGTACTCACACAAACCATCATCAATGGGGAGGGGCCTGAGTGAATACAGGTGAATGATAGACTCTGTTGAACAGATGAAAATGGAAAAAAAAAAGTGGATCTTGCACAACTGGCTATACAACCAATTGACTGAAAATGTACTTAGAACCCGAGACCTGTTAATTGGAGAACGGAATAAGCAGCAGCTTTCTGAGACCTCTTGTATTTCCAGGATGTCGCTGTTGTCATCAGTGTCTGCTGTGGATGCCTGTATTTCCAATCCTCGTCTACTTTGTTATCTTAATTTTATTTAACGTTCTCGGGACCCTGGGGACCATGACAGGTGCCATCTCTCTTCTCAATGCCTTCAAAGTCCATTCCTGAGAGAACTGTGCAGACACGCGGCCATCCCAGGCGGCCAGGCAGCTGACAAGCTGAGCACAGGCCTCTGCCACAGGCCCGAGTCTCACCTTAAGTCTCTCTACCTGCAACAAGGAGGACTGGATCGCAGAGTCACACCCAAATGTGTGGAGTTCTGCCTAAAGTCTGTATGTTTAACCTAAAATTAATGGATGAGCCCAGGATGTGCTCTTATGTTGATGTCAATTTCACAAGTTTTGGTTATTTTGGGCTGGCTGTGGGGAAGATATTTATAAGGAAGGAATTCTACCCAACGTCCTTCAAAAACATAACCCAGCCCTGGCCAGGTGGCTCAGCTGGTTGGAGCGTCGTCCCAATACACCAAGGTCACAGGTTCAATCTCTGTTCAGGGCACATACAAGAAGCAGTCAAGGAATGCATAAATGGGTGGAGCAACAAATCAATGTGTGTGTTTTTCTCTCTCTCTAAAATAATCAATAAAATAAAAATTTTATCCTATATAATAAAAGGCTAATATGCAAATCAACCGAACAGCAAAACGACCGGTCGCTATGAAGCACACTGACCACCAGGGGGCAGACGCTCAACACAGGAGCTGCCCCTTGGTGATTCAGCCAGAAGCCAGGCTCATGGCTGGCGAGTGCAGTGGCGTGGCAGGAACCTCTCCCACCTCTGCGGCAGCACTAAGGACCCCTAGGTGGACATCCCCCAAGGGGTCCTGGACTGCAAGAGGGCGCAGGCCAGGCTAAGGGGAGCCGCCCGCCCCCGTACACGAATGTCGTGCACCAGGCCTGTAATATATATATATATACATACACACACACACACACACACACACACCACACACACCCATGTGTGACTCCATCCATTCAGCCCAATACATGACTTAGCTGGCAACTGAGATCAAACTGCTTTTCTCCTGTGCCCAGGAATTTCATATCCAGCTTGGCTCAGGCTGCTGTCAGGAAGGTACCACTACCCCAAACAGGAACAGCCCCTTGAAGGTCTGTGCCTCAGGCAGGAAACAGAATTCTGCGTAAGGAGCCCAGCCATCGCCAGCTTCCAGGAAAGACTCAGCCAGCAGCACCTGCACGTACAGGTACTCCCGGTTCACACGGCATCCCCATCTGTGACACCCAGGAGGCAAGATCTAATTGCTCTAAACCCCTTCTCCTGCAAAAATGTCCCATCAAACCACAGTGGCATCTCCCCTCCCCATTCTGGCAGGACCCCCGGGGCTTCTTTCTTTATTCTTTCTGACTTTGCAGGGGCCTGAAGCTAGCCCAGCTCACCGATCTTCTCTTCCTTGATCTCACAACTCAGTTCCTGCTACTCAATCATCTTCTGCCTTAAGGAGGCTCGTCGTTGACTGTTTTTCAATGTAATTAATCACCTATTTACATCCTGGTCGAATGGTGTACAAAACCCTTAGCCATGTGTCTCTTGCTTGGGATTCATAGCTCTTCCCATTTTAAAGAAGCCAAACCTGCAAGTTGGAAAGCCAGGTGACATGCCCAATGCGACCCCAGCCCACACGCGAACATGGGCTCCCGTCTGCTGCGCGATTTCCATCTGGGCTGGGCTGTGACATCCCTATCATCCTTATACCCTTTGCTGAATAATAAAGCACCCCTGAGTGAACTCCCCTAACAAACCTGGCCTCGTCGAAGAGACAGACACGAACCAGGTGTCCTCAGCTTCCTCACTGAAACGTCACTTCGGAAGCCCTTCCCTCACCACCTACCTTCACAGCATTCACCATACAACTTGACTGGTCTCCCCTCCAGAACAGAAGCTCATGGTGGTCCATCTCAGAGGCAGGGGCTTGGATGGGCCGGCCAGCACCTGGCGTGTGTCAAGAGGACAGCCCAGCAATGGCTAGCACAGAGACTCACATAGAGTGGTCCATACAGCTGAGCCCAGGGTCTGGTGTGCAATTTACTGCCCACAAATCGGCCGTGGTGGTCTCTGCCCTGTGCCAGTCTCTGGGGCCTTCCCAGGAGAAGGGGCCCGAGCACAGGGGTCCCACGCCTCAGACAGGCAAACTCTACTTCCCTGAACGGGGCACTCCCGAGAGAGGACAGAGAGTGGGGGACCATTCACGCTGAAGCCCCTACCCACAGCGCGGTCTCCAAACAAGAGGGAGGGGCAGTGTGGCTCAGACCCAGTAGGAAGGATGCCCTCTCTGCACACACCATTAAGTCCCTCCGCCGTTTCCTCCTCCAGTGACAAAGCATCCGAAAATTTGGGTGTGTCAGTAGAATACATTCGGTTCCCTAATGGGATCATCAATCTACTGTTTCTTGCCTGTCTGTGCCTGCCTAGCCTCTAATTATATTTTCAACACCCTCTCACAACCCAGATCACCTACTACCGTTGTGTTTTTAACTAAGCTAGAGGATGGGGACACCAAGGATTTTTAATTGAGAATTTGTTCAACCAAAATGTTTGTGTCAGGACCATGGACAGAGTTAATAACTAGGCGACAGGCTAGGCAGAATAATGAAAAAGAATCTTGGATGCAACGCTAAAAAAAAAAAGAATGAAAATACTTTAGTGGGATGATACCATCTTTAAAAAATCTGAAAAAGAAATAACGCCGAAATTAAGGATACACAGACAGAACTCTATGAATACAAAATGGTATCAAAACCTTTTTAGAGTGGGGAAGTTAGGTCAAGTCAGTGGGGGGGGGGGGGGCAGATAAGACTGGGGAAACAACTTTGGATTCTGTAGGGGAAAGAGTAAGGCTGGGGGCCAGAGAGAGGTTAGGATGGAGGCTGAGTTAGGGGAGAGGGATACACGAAATTACGGTAAGGCACCCCGAGGCTGGGACGGAGCCCACGGCCACAGTGACTCTAAAGTCAAATGCTTCCTCCCAAGGCGGGAGTCACTAAAGGGCACTTCTGCTGTGAGCAGGGGCTGGGCCAGAACGCTCCAAGCACGAGATCCTATGGACCCTGCCAACAAGAAAGCCCAGCCTCAAGGAGACACATCCTGGCACCTGGAGGGGGGTGCCTGGGTGAGGGTCCTGCAGGCCCTGGGTTCCAGGCCTGTGGGAGGTGGACCAGTGTCCCCGAGTCCTCTGCCGTCAGACACTGATGTCCGACCCCCCTCACCCTCCCTCGGGAAGGGCTGTGCGCGCAGGCACAGCTCAGAATTCAAACCATCGGGCAGGCTGTCATGGTCACTGGAAACAACTTGATTGACAGTGGTCAGAGTCCTAAGGGTCTACTCGGAAAAAAGAAATTAAAGCTCTGACCGCGTAGGAGCTGAGTACTCAGCGCATGTAATATCCAAGGATCATGTTCCCACTCCAGTTCCACGGCGGCCCCTGGAGAGCCGAGTTCTATTTATAAGCCGCCATGTGGAGTGCGGGGCAGGTAGCGCCATGGGTCCAGC